TCCATTTGCTCGAGCTATCCTTCGACGGTACCTCCCTGCCCTCAACTGATCACTGTTTCGTCACGTGACCCGCCACCAGTCGCTTTCTCGCTCCCGCGCTACTATCCAGAATATTCTCAGGAATATGAAAACGATTGGTATTCGTACGATTGGTAGCGAATCAGACGCCTGCTCTTCGAAACCTTTCAACGACGCGTTGGGAATAATTATTCTTGCTGTTAACTTTCTAATGGTACAAGAGCTATGAGCCACAGAATTCCTAGGGTAGCCAATCAAAATGTGCTATTTTGCTCCTTATTCTCATTTTGTTTTCTTTTTCGCAGACCCTTCTCGTTCTCTCCAAGCAACCTTGTCAGGGGCGCAATTTACAATCCATTCAACAACAACAACATCAGGAACAGCAACAACAGCAACATCAGGAACAGCAACATCAGGAACAGCAACATCAGGAACAACAACATCAGGAACAACATCAGGAACAGCAACAACAGCAACAACAGCAACAACAGCAACAACAGCAACAGCAGCAACAACAGCAACAGCAGCAACAACAGCAACAGTTGCAGCAAATACCGACAACAGAAATACGAATCGCGATTCATCGTTCCATCTCAAGTGGAGCGACAACAGCAGAATACCGCATTCTACCATCCTACTCAGTACGCATCGCAGAGATCATTTCCCCTCACCTTCTGTTTCACTTTCCCTTTGGCCTTCCATCCTACCATCGCCGCATCTCGCGCAACTATCCCTCGCTGCCAACTCTGCTATTCCTGAAGGCACACAAATAAGCATTGCAAAACGTTCGCGTGATGGCGCTTCAAGTCAACTCGGCCCTTTGGCAATAAAGCTGACCAAGTCCAATGCAACTTTGGACGGATATCAAGGAACACTGAGGACGTCGTCATTTTGGGCACAGGAAGGCATGGATACTTTTTTTTGACTGGATCACCAATCCTCACAATCACGAGCGACTGTGCCAAACACCCCCCCCCCCCCTGTGTCAGGACAGAAGCCGAAGGACATACGCCAGGAGATTGCAAACGTGGTCAACAGCAAACACAACATCAAGCGGACTGAACTCCAGGTCAAATCCAAAATTACGTATGTCAAGTACAAATACCACGAGTCGGCCAAGATGAACTCCACTGGCCAAGGAGCACATGTTGCCGCAAAGCAGTTGGAGGTATGTCCAGAGTTCACTCGACTTCACGAAGTCTACTGGGGGAATCATGCTGTAAATCCTCCCCCGCCAAAGAAATCGGCGCAGTTTGAGGATAGATCTACCACCGCCTATGAGATTACGAATGATGAGAGCAGCGACATGGAACCCCGTGAAGACACTTCAGATACCAATCCCAATGCAGGTAGAGAAGTACATCCTTGGCATCGTTTTGAAGCTACCAAAAGGGTACCACATTTCATTTATGGTAGTCTAATTAATATCTTTCGCATTGATGTTTGGATATTGAATCTAGGTTCTCAGGCGGATCCTTTCAACATAGCCCTACGCAATAAGCGTCGGAGAGGCAACGGCATATCGTCTTTCGCTGTGCTTACGACTTCTATCGAGAAGACCCCAGAAACTGACACAGCAGCACCGAGTGACGTATTATGAGACCAAGAGAGAGTTGAGGGCAGGGGAACAGGCAATCGAGAATCGTGAACGTGAACCTACAGAAAACCTGTTTCGGCTCTCGGATGAGGCAAGAATGAGGCAAGAATGAGGCAAGAATGAGGCAAGAGTGAGGCTTTTGCAGGAGCTTGCAACCGGGAAGGCGGATTTCAGGAAGGAGATGGTGGAAGATAAGGCTGAACTCAAGGAAAAAAGAGCTGAGTTCAGGAGAGAGAAAGGCGAGTTCGCGATGGAGCGAGATCAGGTCAAAATGAAGGTTGCTGCATTGAGAAAGGAGCTAGAAGTGAGAACTGTTAAGTGTCCAAAATACCATTAAATTGGCTAGCTTTATTAGTATTATTAAGACCCAAGCTTCTTTCTTCATTTCCTCACCCCAGCTGTTCATATCACATACACTGATGTAGTGATTTGATTGACTGGCGAAAATGCGTTCAAGGGAGGAGACTGGTATCCCCTCGATGGTTTTGTCGACGTAAATAAAACATTACACGTTCTTCCGACTCCTATCTGATCGCTGTGTTGGTTTGAGTGTTTATATTTTCTTTTTTTCTTTTTTTCTTTTTTCCAGTGCTCAAAGATCCAACGAACCTCGAGTCAGCCAATCATGTCTGTCGCCCTCCTCTGTGTTCGGGTGCATCAACAAAAAACTCTCTCAGACTCCCACGCCGACAGCCACAGCAATGATAGTAACAGAAACGGCAGCGACTGACAACAAACAACCCTCTCCCCATATCCACATCCAGAAAATAGAGTTACGGTAATGCTTTGACCTGCAAAGTTTACTTCTTTTTATGTTTTTAAAATCTAAGATTATGATCATCTAGGACTAAGGAGATGCTTTATCGACAGTCAGCCATTACTACGGCTCAACTGTGTTCCAGAATGCTCAATTCATTTTCTGAATGATGTTGACCTTGTGGTATGGTGCACACACATGTGAGATTTAGCAGCCCATGGGCTTGGGGGAGATTCCACTATGAAACGCAATAATAAAGAATATCAAAGTTAGATCAAAACTCACCTTTTGGCAGAAAATCCAAAAAGTCAACAAGCAAACATGACCGATAACAGAAATCACCAAAGACTTACGTGCACTTGGTAGCAAGACCTCCAGTAATGGCAATCTTCTGGAAGTTGAAGTTGCTGCACTTGGCGCAGAGAATATACACACTCTGTCTGTTCTTCTTGGCCATGCTACCGTGGATGTTGTACAAGTTGACATTGGTGATGGGGGCGGCACCGCCGGGGTTGCCAGTAGCGCCATCGTTGGTGTAGTCTTGCTGGATGATGATACCGTAGTCGGTGATTCCGGACATGGTGATGTCCGAGTAGGTGACGTTGTTGACCTTGCCGCCGGTCGCGTTGGCGTAGGCCTTGATGCGGACCGCGTTCGCAGAGTTAACGACGGTGTTTCCCGTGATCGAGACACCATCAACAACAGATCCGGCTTTGATGGAACCCTGTTTGTGAAATTAAATAATAGGAATATTAGTCTACACACTTGTGATTCATGTTAGTATTGGCGAAAAGAACAAAAGAAGTGCTCATTTGAGAATGTACCACTTACGATCGAAATACCGTGACCACCCTCACAGTGGTTACCGTTAAAGACGATGTTGGTGCCACTGTTCAAGGCAAGACAGTCATCGTTGTTGTACACCTTGGCACCGGTGATGGTAACGCCCGAAGAGGAGCCGACATCGAAGGCGTCAGTGTTGTGGCCAAGAGCGTACTTGGGTCCACCTTTAGAAAAAGAAAGAGAAGAACGCACCAAATGTTAGATATATCCCTCTCGACTTGATTAAACACCGTCATCGCTCTACGTCGAAAAAGAAATAAACATGGGGCGTGATCCTTACGGTTGTCGATGGTGATGCCGGTGAGAGCAAGTCCATGGCAGCCGCTGACGGCGAAAGTGTGCACTGGAGAGTTAATGATGGTCAGACCAGTGATGGAGCCGCTCATCTTGCTGAGTCTGACAAACTTGGGCTTGTTGACGCCTCCGTTGCCTCCCTTGCCATCCCAGTAGAGCTGGTTTGTGACATTAATGAGTACAAATGTTAAATTAGGGTCAAGGAGATCATGTATTACGTTACACAATGAACGATGAGAAAGAAAAAACAACAAAACTTACTGGTCCGCTGCCGTCAAATTTGCCACTGGTGCCGTCGATTTTGATGTTGGTACCACCAATGGTCACAAGGTCGTTGTTCCCGTCCAGATTTCCCTTGGCGAAGGTAATGGTGCCGGCTAATGTCAAAGGTTAATTTGAATACAAGATTAGAATCGGGTGTTTTCTTTGGAGAGAACAATGACTATAACAAATCCCGGATGGTCATACTGATTTTGATTGTGGTTCCAGTCTTGAGTCCAGTGAGATCAATCTTCTTGTTGGCAGGCACGGTGAATGGGCCCTGAATGGTGATCGCGCTGCAGGCTTTGGTGCCAGCAATTTGATCGTAGGACGTGGCGACGCATCCGGAAAGACCCTGAACAGGTAGAGGGAGGAGAGGAAAATAACAATAGGCTGTAGTAAGTACACTAGTGTTCTCCAGTTGCCAAAGATTTCGATTCGCTATTTTCTCTATTCTCCACATACCTTGGTAGGAGCGGCCATGACAGCAGTAGCCGCGAAGGCGGAGATGATGAGCAAAAACTTCATAGTAAAGGAACTGTAGGTAGGTGGAGTGTAGGGGTTGATTGTTGCGATTCTGCTGTTGGAGTTGGTATTGAGAATTATGTTTTTTCCAACACGCCCGATGGCTACCTTTTATATCAGATGGGGGTTTGTAGGGCTTTCGATCTTCCGGTGACCATTACCCGCTTAGAATGTGTTGGATGTAGTTGTGTATGCCAAGGGACGACAACAAGAGCATACATTTAACATCTTCATAAATCGCGTCTGTGAGCCAACATATCTCTTCATAGGTAAGATATGTGTAGGATGCACACATTTCCCATGTCAATAACACTTATCTTTTCTGTCAACAAACAAACATATCATCATGTCAACGAACAAAGCTGTCGCGGCATGAGAAGCAGTCCCAAAGCAGCGAAAAGTGACGAAATGAAGTAGCCGCGAGCGACCAACAAGAACATTTCCAGACCACTGTCCAGCAGACCCGGCTATGTGAGCAATTAGAGAGGAACTGGACTGTAATCTCCCAATATGTACACCCCACTGTAAAAGAAGAAAAAGAGCCCGATATTAATTTTCTTTGCAATCCAATTGCACCACATGCATCTCTCAATTTCCCTAATGTACCTGAAATAAAACAAACCCTATTTGTTTTTCTGCTTTCCCCATAGCCCTCATTGATGTTCCAAGGAGCTGAATCAACTGCATGTTGCCATCCTTGAAGAATTAATTATGATCGTTTTCAATCTCAGACTCCGAATCCCGAAGGTCGCCACTATTCCCGCCCTCACGCGATGTCTTGACAATCGCAGGGTAGGCGCCGATCAGGCCCAGGTACTTTTCACAGGACAGGTACGTGGCCAAGATCGGTAGATAAGCCTTGAGCCTGGTCTCATGTACTGTCTCAGTCGAGCTTCCTCCACATCTCCAGGAAAGATATCGTTAAGGAGCTTGTTCTGGGCAAACGCATGGTAGAGCTGATCATCAATTCGCAGCACAAAGACGATACCCGGACCTGACGAAGATGACTCTGGATAGTAGAAAGGTCGTATCGTAGAGTCGCCTCTCCGTGAGCCATACTTGTACTGCAGCTCCAAAAAATCGCCCATGATCAAGGTCTCCTGTGAAAGGCGTAGATCGGGTCCAAGGTGTGTGCCGCTCAAAGATCTTTTCTTCAGATTGTGGGTCCTGTAAGTCTCGGTACTGCGCCATGAAGTGTTTGTCGTGCCAGATTTCTTCAAGAATAGGTTCCAACCATTGGGTTTGTACGCGACTTGGATTTCTGTGTCATCACGTGACTCGCCACCAACTAGGATTTTCACACCAACCCACGCGGCTTTTTGATTTGGCGGTGACTCGAAGTTGACGATGCACGCACTCCCACGACGCAATAAACTTCTTACAAAACAAAAAAAAAACCAACCCACGCGGCTGGATTCAAGGTGACCATCAGGTGGGAGGAGGAGAACACCATCACCAACAGCATGAAGTGCACACGCACTACCAAGGACAAGAGGGCATAGTGGACACAGACCCACAGGTGGAAACAAATCTATGGGCGCAAACTCTGAGAGGACGAGTGCCTTTGCGGACGAGCCGTTGCAGAACACACGGAACGGCGGTGCCCAGGCGAGCAGAGCGATACTCGAGTGGCTGACCACGCAGTCATCGACACCCTGCTGGGCCTGAGGCGCATGGATATTATGGAAAGGAGAGGCAACATGGTCATCAAGGAGTTGGAGGAGGAGCACACCTAGATCTCTTGAACGCGTCTCACAAAGCAACAAGGGTCGTCTGGACTCACACGCGTCGCTCCTGACCCGGTTAGGACGGGCTGTACAATCCTCATGTGCGCTGTACTGTTTAGGATACTTTACTGAGTGAGGTAGACGATGTGCATGCACGAGGAACACTTAGAAACTCCACTTTTTAATTGGATAAAATTAATGTGTCGTCACGGACGGTCATCTTTACCTTTAAAAAAAATAAAATAGCGGCGGATTCTTGGTGTACTTCTGGGGATATATGCCTCCCCTGGTTGGTTCCCACTGGGACCCAGACTGTTCATTATGTCCTTAATATGATTGAACCCCTGTTCTCTTCTTGTTCCTCAGTCTGCAACCAACTTATCTCCCACCCGTCTCCTGCCTCTGTTCTACTGCACACTTTTCTACTCTCCTTTTGATTTGTTACGCAAAAAATGGATTCCCAAACCTTGTTTACATTCACTTCGCCCAACTCCTAATCCATGCTCAGCCGCTGTAAGATCGTCGAAGTGACGCCTGTTTCTGTTGAGGAGACGCCTGACTCTGTTGAGAAGGTGGAGGACGAGAACTACGATGCCAAGACCACAACGACATGGAAGTGTGGGTTCTGCGATGTGTCTTTGTACCAGAGCGGAACACGCACTTGTTACAAAGAGTATCATGGTATTCCATAGTGCCCTCTAGATCCATATATCCCCTCCTCTTTTGACCAGGATGCAAGCTTTCGCTGTATATGAACAACGAATAAAGAAAATAAAAAAAGTGTAAGATTGGTACCTGGGACCCGGGGCCCTCTCAAAGTTGACCTCTTTTTTTGCCTGTTATCATATGGGTTACAGTGATTCGAACCCCAAAAAATTGTGGACATTTAAGTCGACAGAACTTTTTCTATCGAAGGAATAGGTCTACAGGTCATCCTCATCGGCACGATCGTTGTGTTTCTTAAATGTGGAACCAAGACCCGCAAACAGAGATTCCATCTGAGAGCGGAAGTTACCAAAGGTGGAATTGTAGAGCGCGTCATCCTCTATAAGTTCCATGTTCTTCTTTTTGCGCTATGGGTGAGCGAAATTTTGGAGTATAAGAGTGTCAGACTCATCAACAACTCTCCTCAAGAACTGTGGGTACCTTCCATCCACAGCAATGCAATCCAATTCATGCACTTTCTTGTCTAATTTCATCATCAGAAGCATTGTTCTATCATCATTGTTCTTGTAAGAAGCAGACTTGGAGACAACCAAAGTCATGCCATCACAATCCATTGCAACTTGTGTGCGTAATCCAGACTATTTCAGCTGTTGCTCTTGTATCATGCGCTTCGAGATGCAAGGTAACACGCTGAAATAATGGGGGTGACACGTTTTATCCCAAGGCTGTCAGGCCCCAGGTTGCCAGGATTACGCGCGAATAGGCTCGCGGCCATCCTCTCCCTAAATGGGTTGGAATCCAGTTCCAATTTTCAATATTTGCGCAGCGAAGCTCAGTGATGGTCTGGGTTAAAATTTGGAGTGAATAGCGGAGTGGATCGTAAAACTAAAAAGGAAGGTGAATTAGGGCCATGCAAATGGCATTCTCACTAGAAACGTCATTTGTGTTACAAACTTACAATCAAATGGTCAACTTAACTCCTCGTACCATGTCCATCCGGAACTCATAAAATCCTTCCTTTTTAGTTTCACGACCCACTCCGCTATAAACACCAAATTTTGACCCACATCCTTAGTCTCGACCCAGCCCTTCAGATTTCGAGTACTGGGTCGAGACTACCAGACCCTTACTGTGTGAGGTCTTCGGAACAGGATTCCAACCCACGTAGGGAGGGGATGGCCGCGAGACTAGGTTTGTTTAATCCAGGGACGAAGGGTACATTAGAGAAATTGAGAGATGCATGTCCACAGAGTCGGGTCGTGTTGGTGCAATTGGGTTGCAAAGAAAATTAATATCGGGCTCTTTTTCTTCTTTTACAGTGGGGTGTACATATTGGGAGATTACAGTCCAGTTCCTCTCTAATTGCTCACATAGCCGGGTCTGCTGGACAGTGGTCTGGAAATGTTCTTGTTGGTCGCTCGCGGCTACTTCATTTCGTCACTTTTCGCTGCTTTGGGACTGCTTCTCATGCCGCGACAGCTTTGTTCGTTGACATGATGATATGTTTGTTTGTTGACAGAAAAGATAAGTGTTATTGACATGGGAAATGTGTGCATCCTACACATATCTTACCTATGAAGAGATATGTTGGCTCACAGACGCGATTTATGAAGATGTTAAATGTATGCTCTTGTTGTCGTCCCTTGGCATACACAACTACATCCAACACATTCTAAGCGGGTAATGGTCACCGGAAGATCGAAAGCCCTACAAATCCCCATCTGATATAAAAGGTAGCCATCGGGCGTGTTGGAAAAAACATAATTCTCAATACCAACTCCAACAGCAGAATCGCAACAATCAACCCCTACACTCCACCTACCTACAGTTCCTTTACTATGAAGTTTTTGCTCATCATCTCCGCCTTCGCGGCTACTGCTGTCATGGCCGCTCCTACCAAGGTATGTGGAGAATAGAGAAAATAGCGAATCGAAATCTTTGGCAACTGGAGAACACTAGTGTACTTACTACAGCCTATTGTTATTTTCCTCTCCTCCCTCTACCTGTTCAGGGTCTTTCCGGATGCGTCGCCACGTCCTACGATCAAATTGCTGGCACCAAAGCCTGCAGCGCGATCACCATTCAGGGCCCATTCACCGTGCCTGCCAACAAGAAGATTGATCTCACTGGACTCAAGACTGGAACCACAATCAAAATCAGTATGACCATCCGGGATTTGTTATAGTCATTGTTCTCTCCAAAGAAAACACCCGATTCTAATCTTGTATTCAAATTAACCTTTGACATTAGCCGGCACCATTACCTTCGCCAAGGGAAATCTGGACGGGAACAACGACCTTGTGACCATTGGTGGTACCAACATCAAAATCGACGGCACCAGTGGCAAATTTGACGGCAGCGGACCAGTAAGTTTTGTTGTTTTTTCTTTCTCATCGTTCATTGTGTAACGTAATACATGATCTCCTTGACCCTAATTTAACATTTGTACTCATTAATGTCACAAACCAGCTCTACTGGGATGGCAAGGGAGGCAACGGAGGCGTCAACAAGCCCAAGTTTGTCAGACTCAGCAAGATGAGCGGCTCCATCACTGGTCTGACCATCATTAACTCTCCAGTGCACACTTTCGCCGTCAGCGGCTGCCATGGACTTGCTCTCACCGGCATCACCATCGACAACCGTAAGGATCACGCCCCATGTTTATTTCTTTTTCGACGTAGAGCGATGACGGTGTTTAATCAAGTCGAGAGGGATATATCTAACATTTGGTGCGTTCTTCTCTTTCTTTTTCTAAAGGTGGACCCAAGTACGCTCTTGGCCACAACACTGACGCCTTCGATGTCGGCTCCTCTTCGGGCGTTACCATCACCGGTGCCAAGGTGTACAACAACGATGACTGTCTTGCCTTGAACAGTGGCACCAACATCGTCTTTAACGGTAACCACTGTGAGGGTGGTCACGGTATTTCGATCGTAAGTGGTACATTCTCAAATGAGCACTTCTTTTGTTCTTTTCGCCAATACTAACATGAATCACAAGTGTGTAGACTAATATTCCTATTATTTAATTTCACAAACAGGGTTCCATCAAAGCCGGATCTGTTGTTGATGGTGTCTCGATCACGGGAAACACCGTCGTTAACTCTGCGAACGCGGTCCGCATCAAGGCCTACGCCAACGCGACCGGCGGCAAGGTCAACAACGTCACCTACTCGGACATCACCATGTCCGGAATCACCGACTACGGTATCATCATCCAGCAAGACTACACCAACGATGGCGCTACTGGCAACCCCGGCGGTGCCGCCCCCATCACCAATGTTAACTTGTACAACATCCACGGTAGCATGGCCAAGAAGAACAGACAGAGTGTGTATATTCTCTGCGCCAAGTGCAGCAACTTCAACTTCCAGAAGATTGCCATTACTGGAGGTCTTGCTACCAAGTGCACGTAAGTCTTTGGTGATTTCTGTTATCGGTCATGTTTGCTTGTTGACTTTTTGGATTTTCTGCCAAAAGGTGAGTTTTGATCTAACTTTGATATTCTTTATTATTGCGTTTCATAGTGGAATCTCCCCCAAGCCCATGGGCTGCTAAATCTCACATGTGTATGCACCATACCACAAGGTCAACATCATTCAGAAAATGAATTGAGCATTCTGGAACACAGTTGAGCCGTAGTAATGGCTGACTGTCGATAAAGCATCTCCTTAGTCCTAGATGATCATAATCTTAGATTTTAAAAACATAAAAAGAAGTAAACTTTGCAGGTCAAAGCATTACCGTAACTCTATTTTCTGGATGTGGATATGGGGAGAGGGTTGTTTGTTGTCAGTCGCTGCCGTTTCTGTTACTATCATTGCTGTGGCTGTCGGCGTGGGAGTCTGAGAGAGTTTTTTGTTGATGCACCCGAACACAGAGGAGGGCGACAGACATGATTGGCTGACTCGAGGTTCGTTGGATCTTTGAGCACTGGAAAAAAGAAAAAAAGAAAAAAAGAAAATATAAACACTCAAACCAACACAGCGATCAGATAGGAGTCGGAAGAACGTGTAATGTTTTATTTACGTCGACAAAACCATCGAGGGGATACCAGTCTCCTCCCTTGAACGCATTTTCGCCAGTCAATCAAATCACTACATCAGTGTATGTGATATGAACAGCTGGGGTGAGGAAATGAAGAAAGAAGCTTGGGTCTTAATAATACTAATAAAGCTAGCCAATTTAATGGTATTTTGGACACTTAACAGTTCTCACTTCTAGCTCCTTTCTCAATGCAGCAACCTTCATTTTGACCTGATCTCGCTCCATCGCGAACTCGCCTTTCTCTCTCCTGAACTCAGCTCTTTTTTCCTTGAGTTCAGCCTTATCTTCCACCATCTCCTTCCTGAAATCCGCCTTCCCGGTTGCAAGCTCCTGCAAAAGCCTCACTCTTGCCTCATTCTTGCCTCATTCTTGCCTCATTCTTGCCTCATCCGAGAGCCGAAACAGGTTTTCTGTAGGTTCACGTTCACGATTCTCGATTGCCTGTTCCCCTGCCCTCAACTCTCTCTTGGTCTCATAATACGTCACTCGGTGCTGCTGTGTCAGTTTCTGGGGTCTTCTCGATAGAAGTCGTAAGCACAGCGAAAGACGATATGCCGTTGCCTCTCCGACGCTTATTGCGTAGGGCTATGTTGAAAGGATCCGCCTGAGAACCTAGATTCAATATCCAAACATCAATGCGAAAGATATTAATTAGACTACCATAAATGAAATGTGGTACCCTTTTGGTAGCTTCAAAACGATGCCAAGGATGTACTTCTCTACCTGCATTGGGATTGGTATCTGAAGTGTCTTCACGGGGTTCCATGTCGCTGCTCTCATCATTCGTAATCTCATAGGCGGTGGTAGATCTATCCTCAAACTGCGCCGATTTCTTTGGCGGGGGAGGATTTACAGCATGATTCCCCCAGTAGACTTCGTGAAGTCGAGTGAACTCTGGACATACCTCCAACTGCTTTGCGGCAACATGTGCTCCTTGGCCAGTGGAGTTCATCTTGGCCGACTCGTGGTATTTGTACTTGACATACGTAATTTTGGATTTGACCTGGAGTTCAGTCCGCTTGATGTTGTGTTTGCTGTTGACCACGTTTGCAATCTCCTGGCGTATGTCCTTCGGCTTCTGTCCTGACACAGGGGGGGGGGGGGTGTTTGGCACAGTCGCTCGTGATTGTGAGGATTGGTGATCCAGTCAAAAAAAAGTATCCATGCCTTCCTGTGCCCAAAATGACGACGTCCTCAGTGTTCCTTGATATCCGTCCAAAGTTGCATTGGACTTGGTCAGCTTTATTGCCAAAGGGCCGAGTTGACTTGAAGCGCCATCACGCGAACGTTTTGCAATGCTTATTTGTGTGCCTTCAGGAATAGCAGAGTTGGCAGCGAGGGATAGTTGCGCGAGATGCGGCGATGGTAGGATGGAAGGCCAAAGGGAAAGTGAAACAGAAGGTGAGGGGAAATGATCTCTGCGATGCGTACTGAGTAGGATGGTAGAATGCGGTATTCTGCTGTTGTCGCTCCACTTGAGATGGAACGATGAATCGCGATTCGTATTTCTGTTGTCGGTATTTGCTGCAACTGTTGCTGTTGTTGCTGCTGTTGCTGTTGTTGCTGCTGTTGCTGTTGTTGCTGTTGTTGCTGTTGTTGCTGTTGTTGCTGTTCCTGATGTTGTTCCTGATGTTGTTGTTCCTGATGTTGCTGTTCCTGATGTTGCTGTTCCTGATGTTGCTGTTGTTGCTGTTCCTGATGTTGTTGTTGTTGAATGGATTGTAAATTGCGCCCCTGACAAGGTTGCTTGGAGAGAACGAGAAGGGTCTGCGAAAAAGAAAACAAAATGAGAATAAGGAGCAAAATAGCACATTTTGATTGGCTACCCTAGGAATTCTGTGGCTCATAGCTCTTGTACCATTAGAAAGTTAACAGCAAGAATAATTATTCCCAACGCGTCGTTGAAAGGTTTCGAAGAGCAGGCGTCTGATTCGCTACCAATCGTACGAATACCAATCGTTTTCATATTCCTGAGAAGACTGACGCCTCTCACACAGAGCATGCAAATATTCTGGATAGTAGCGCGGGAGCGAGAAAGCGACTAACTCCATCATTCATGACCACGTCGAATAAAAGAAAATATTTGTGTAATTATATACATAAAATGAACTACATCCTCCCTGCACAGCAGGAAAAGGACGTAGATGGTGATGAGATTATGTCTAAACATCGAAGAAAAATATACAAAAAATGAACTACACTGCCATACGTTTAAGCGCAGTGGGTGGATGTGGCGGTATCGCTGTTGCAGACAAGACCGGTCTTGCACTGGTTAAGGATCCAGGTGCCAGAGACGCACTTGGAGTACTGGTTCGAGGAGCCGTTCTTGACACAGACGGTGGCACCGTTGGTGCTGCAGGAGCCAGTCTGGCGACCCTCGGGGAGACCTGTAGGGGTAGAGGTAGAGGTCGAAGTGCGGCTAGTAGTGGTAGTCGAGGCTTTGGTGGTCGATGTGGGCTTGACCGAGGAGGTAGGGACGATGGTGCCGGACTTGACGGGGTAGGAGATGGCTCCATTGCAGGATCCGCGGGTAAGGGCCTCGGCGGGGACGTAGGCTCCAGCAGTGTTGACCTTGAAGAACAACCAAATCTCGCTCAAGACTCCGGAGTCACAGTTGATCTGGGCGTCAACACCGAAGGCGGCCTTGATAGCATTGTGCATATCGGCAACATTAGGGGTCGATCCTGGGTTGATACCTGCACCGGAGAGGACGCTGTAGAGGTTGTACTGTTTACGCAGGCCGAGAGCGGTGTTGAAGTAGTTGAAGACATCCTGATCCTGGACATAGTTGGACGAGCACTTGGGCGCCAAGGTCGAGACACAGGTTCCATGCTTGCTCCACTCGTGAGCCCAGAAGGCGTTGTTGTCACCCTTGTACGAGCTCCAGTAGGTGTTCATGTCGTCCATGAATCCGGCAGGGGTGGAGGGGTAGTTCTGGAGACGGGTGTCGATATCAGTGTAAACACGGGCGGCGTCGCATCCATTGGCGGGGCCCTGTCCTCCAGAGCAGGTGTCGGGCCAGAGACCGTGCATGGTGAACTCGTTAGAGGGGCCGAGACCCTGGTACCACTGCTGGACGAGGAGGAGCAGGCCCATGGAGGGAACACAGCAGCCGTCGAGGCCTGAGGAGGCAGAGGAGCAGGAGAGGACATCAGCGGGGCAGGTCAGGGCGCGGGGCTGGAAGGCGCTCGTGTTGACGGGGAGAGCCGAGACGGCAGAAAGGGTGGCAACAGCCAAGGAGGCAGCGATGGTCAAGAACTTCATTGTGGAAGGTGAGAATGGGTATAGGGTTGGAAGAGTGAGAGAGAAGGATGACTGAGAAGAGCTGAGTGGCGAGTAAGACAAGAAAAAAAAGAGGGAAATAGAGGCCTGTACTTATACTAGTGGAGGAAAGAAAGATGATCGATGCAGGGGAGGGTTTAGAAGGAGACAAAGGAAACAAAAAACTGAATCATCTTGCATGGAGTAGGACGGTGGAAGGAGGAGGAAGTATGTATTCTCTTTAGTGGTGAAACGAAATAAAATACTGAACATGTGCGGAATACATTGAATTCAGAAGTACAATAAAATGTGGTAATGGGGTAAGAGAGAGAGGACCCTTTGGACGATCATGGACACACACATACTCGCAACCACACATCCACCACTCACACTTCCTTGTACATGCACTAACAAACTTACTCGGTGGAATATCAATCCGATCGAGCTCCAAAACGAAACAGACACCAAGCAGGCGGGTGGGTAAATTGAGTTATGATTGGAGGTGTGAAGAGTATGTCAATGACCCCAGAGAATGGAGATCGAGGGTGTGCAAGGGTGCCTGTTGGGTATTATTCGGCGCATTTATTTTGTTATTTATTGTTTACATGCCTGCAGAAAAAAGGAGAGAGTGGGAATGAAATAGAGGGAGTGAAATTGATTGGAGTGGAAATTGAGAGATGGGTTCAAAGCGCATCAAAGAGAAGGGAGAGGGTAAACAAAAAAAAGATGGAGTAGGGAAGGGAAGGTTCCCACGAAGGTAGGGGTAGAGAGGAGGAGGAGAGAGACGGATGAATTACTGACCAGTTGAGGATGCACGAAGACAAACACGATGGTATGATTGCGCCGTCCTGTCATCCAACCAACGAAGGAGAGAGGGGAGGCGTGAGAGAGGCAGAGAGGAAGGAAGGACCGATAAGGTAAACAAAAGAAAAGACAAGATGGAAACATATGCCATTCTTTTGTTCAATGGCTGAAAAGAAAAAAGACGGGCAGAGAGAAGGCAGGATGGAGGTGCGACACGAGCCCCAGAGGAAAGAAAGGGCAGCAATAGGAAGGATTAAGAGGTCTAATGGAAGAATTAGTGTATTGCAATAGACCACGGTTAGACGAAGATAAGGTACGTATTGACTTTCTGGATTACATAAATTGAAGGGAAGGGAGTGGGTGTGTGTGTGTTGTGTGCTTGTGGGAGAACAAATAAACAAACAGACAAACATGGAGGCTCTCAATTATTTGAACAGGGTTTTGAGGTTAAAGGGACGAGAAAGGAGGGAAGGGGAAGGGATGACAAGGAAAAATTGAGAGCACCAAGCAAGAAGCAAGGTTATGGCCTGTTTGCCTATCACAAGGCACTGAGCATGCACACCTGTCAAGGACAGGATTCGGAAGCAGTGTGAAAGAAGGACGAAAACAAGCAGGTAGAAAAAAAAAAGAAAAAAAAGATGGGCGAGTAGCAACAAGGTGGGCAGAAACATCTACTCCGGCACAAAAACCCAGAAACGATACTCCAGTCGCATCAGCCATTGCAACGGCAGAGAAAAACATGAAGGCGAGCAATCGGAGGGAATGAAGAGGTATACGGCATAAAGTATCCACGGACAATAGAGAGTGAGGAGAGAGAGTCAGCATTGTAGGGGAGCATGATACTGTCGGCTATTTATGAACTACAACCGATCGAAGGAAAAAAAATGAAGTGCAACCGACATACACAAGGAAAAGCATCTCGGACTGAGAATGTTACTTTCATCGACATGAATAACCTTTCCGCTTTTCATTTCCTCGTTACTACTGGTAATTGATGACAACAAGGGTAACGAGCGAATGGTTGTTTCGTATCTCTATGTCATCAAGGCCATTCAACAAAACGCCCATATCATTCTCCCCCTTTCTCGATTTTTTACGTTCCCTCTCCCAATTGTTGTTTGTTTTTCCATGAGATGAATGGGCATCTACTTTTCCTTCTCTCCATGCATCTTCATTAATAACATGCATGCCCATTAGTCTCCTCTCCTTAGCACGGTGTCTCTCTCTCATTAGCAACATGCACTAGCACCCCTCCCCTCCCTCCCTCCTTGTCTATAGACAAAAGAACTAGGAAGCTACCCGGGCAGGGCCGGGATGCAGCCCAGGTGGAGGATGCTGTCTGATTCGCTCCAACACGACAGAGCTTGTTCCTGAAAACACTCAAGAGAAGTAGCCTTTGCTGACAGTGCGTAGTGACCTTGAGAGATGATTGGCTGGGCGGGTGCGGGGACGCATTTTGCAGTCCGCCAATCGGGACTCTGCTCTGCTACATCATCCTCCATCCACACATCCTTTGACAAACAAAACGAAACGAAACAAACAAACAAACATGCAGGCATGTCCAAACCATAAAGTCGAAACAGACGTAAATCGACCAAAGGAATAACGCAAAAGGATGCGTGCGAATGAGAGACTGAGAGGCAAAAACAAAGGGTGTTCAGAGGAAGAAGGAGTGAGTGCCATTTTGGCTGATGCTCACTTGCACAGGGGTCAGATACAGATCCATCCATTCATTCACATTCGGCATCCGTGAATCTAGAAGACCTTTTTTAAATGACGAATCCTCTTTGAGATTCCCTCTCTGCGCATCGATTGTAACACCATTGCCGCGGTCGATTGAACACGTTCGTCTTTTTATTTCTTTCGATAGCGTTGGTCTAGTCTCCACGTAGGGGTTGTGTTGGAGTATTCGTTTGCCGAAAGGGTTCCGGTCAGACCTGAGCTTGCAACCTATATACACACTCACACATACACTCCAATGTACACAGTCTCGTTACTCGGCGCCTACTACAATAAGCACAAGAAAAAAAAGAGAAACATGCCTCACTTGCTCCTTCTCATGTCATCTCTCTCCAAACAGAAACGTGTTTTTCGCGCTCTCGCCGAAAGGAGTTCAAAAAAATTATGTCCAGAGCCAGGAGGGGGATTGACTGACAGTACCGAAAAGTCCGAACTGAAAAAAGGGTCCAATTGAAAATCGACTAGCGTCCTTTCCTTCGGCTTTTGTTCTGGCAGCGGAAGTACTTGTTTGACGGTATTTTTTTCGTTGTTATTTATCTGCGCTGCAAAAATGAGAGATAGAGCGAGATGGGGGCTGAATAGAGACAAACGCATGCATAAGAGCAACCGCATGCATGGGATGGGCATGCAAGAGAGACTTTCGCTCCGCCTCGATCATGCACCAAAAATGAGGGTGAACTATGTCACCACAAAGTCTACGCCCAGTCTGGGTTTAGAAGAGAGTGAGTACAGTCGAATTTTGTCTTTTGTCGTCAAGAAGGTCTAGACGCATGTACTGCTTGTTGCTCTCAGGAAAGATGAGGTCAAGGCAAGGAAAGACAAAAAGGTAAAAGGAAGAAGGGCGTAAGGGATCCTTCGTTGTTCTCGGCCACTTCAACTTATTGAGATAAACTAAAAAGCAAAGAAACCGCACTACTAAACACTAATTAAAAGGCCTCGTTTTGTTAGTTTCGGTGTGAAATTTTCTTCATGAGAACCACGCCCTAGTGGGAATATTTACAGAAGAGGTATGCAGGTACCATGGCAAAGGTATCCGCCCTCTTTAGTTTTGCGTCCTTCCTCCATGGAATATGGATGACAAAGAGCGAGCGATAGTACTGCCGACCACTGATGATAACTTTTTTTCCCCCGTTGTCTACCATACTTTGTTTACGCCCGAACAGAAATGTAGCGGTAGGTCGTGTAAAGGTTATGGTCGGCGAAAGCAATCTGACAAAGATTATTTTGATTCTGTGTTCAAGGGTCGTAGAGGAGGGGTGCAATCTTGACAACAAAAACAAAGCATGCAGGGCAAATAAACAAACAAACAAACACTCAAACAGCTGTTGGAAGTGTTTGTTTTGGGAACGCAAAAAAGTGGAGTAAAAAAGTGCGGGGGAAGGAGGGACATAATCTAAAAAGGAAGGGAAGGGCTACTTGGATATGGAGCTGGTCAATTCCTCTAAAGGGTAAGAAAACGCGTCGAAGGTTAAGGCGAACTGTCTCTCCAAATTAGGGAAAATCAACACACGCTGTTGTTTTTTCAAGTGCTTTTTGTTATTCATACTCTTTTTTTGTATACTACGTCTACTTAAAGGAGGCGGAGTGTGCATCCATCCACGCGCTCCATTCGTGAATCACCTTCCAGATTTGCGCATTCGCCTCCTTGTCGTCTCGACTGCTGGTTACTCCTCCAACACCGCTGGCAACAGACCCAATGGGCAGTTTGTTATGGTAGCGGCGTTCAGCAGCCGTGTGCCCAGGAGTCGGGCTTGGTGGCGAAAATGACGGCAGTACTGGAACAGCGACGGGCTGAGAATTGGCGCGATGAAAAGGTGGCCGTTGATGGTGGTGGTGATGGCCGTGATCATTCAATGGGTCATAACAGTGACGAGGATACGAAGAAATAGGAGTTCTAGGATCCTGACCGTGAATGAGGCAAGCAGCACCAACGGCAGTAACAGAGGCAGAGGAGCTACTCCGACTCCTTGTCTTGAGGATACCTCGTTGCTCCAAGGGAGCAAGAACGAGAGGAACAATGAGTTGGCCGAATGATTTCTTCTCCCTCAACGATCCAAACGAGCTGGACGATTTCAGTACCGGTCCATTCCCTCCACCTACTCCTCCTCCGCCTGCTCCAACTCCCCCACCAACCCCGAGTATACCTGCGACTCCGCCATTGTGAACATTCATCCTTTTAGACTGTATCGACGGCGACAATGGACAAGGGTACAACGAAGAGCAAGTGTCGTCCAAGGGCAGCTTACTCTTCTTCCCAAACAACTTCTCCTGGAGTCGTTTCTTGCGACTGCCCGCAGAAGTAGTGGATGGCGAAGGTAGAGGCGAGATGGAAGTGACCATGCGGAAGCTGTCCATCCTGGGCGACGATCCGTTCGGGACTGTTAGGGTGGGAATTGGGGTAGGGGCTGCCCACAGAGCTGATATAGAGCTGGAGGGTGACAGGACCATAGGCATGTAGTTTTCCGGGAATGGGATCGATGCGATTGAACAACCAAGGCCTGGGGATGACGTTGACGTCAGGGAACCATCTTGACTCGTAAAGGAGACCGACGACGGTAATGAGGCAGCGCTGTTGATTTCCTTGATGAGGATGTTGAGGTTTGGTCTTGACGTCTTTGAACGACTCGCATCATTTTGAGTCTGAATGCTGAATCCCAACCCTAGTAGCTTCGACGGATTCGTAGGCGCGGGAAAAGTACTTGCTGCTCTCGTCGCAGTGTGCGTGGATGAGACAGCGGCGTTGATGGTAATCGGGGACGACGTTCTTGGCGTAGCGGCAGCAAGGTCGCCCCAGTCCGCCGAGGACGAGATAGAGAGAGCACTTGTGTGTGGGTGCGACGGCGCAGCTGCTAGGACGGTCGAGGCCGATTTTCGCTTCCAGTGCATGAGCGGCTTCTCGCAGATTCTCCAACCTTTCTTGACCGTTACCAGACACTCTTTTCCTTCTTGTTCGGTGGACGCCTGAGTAGATACCTTGGTGATGTAAGACTCGGCCGTAGTCGGAGACAGAGATGATGTTGTCATGGATTTGGATAGCACAGTAGGCGATGGCGGCGACGGAAAGATGAATGGAGGGGGTCGCTTCTTGGTAGCTGCTTTGATAGCGAAGGTGTCAATGGCAGCTGTGACATATTTTTTCGGAGTTGAGACAGCTACAGCGGACGTAATACCATCACTGAGCGCGGGAGGCCTGGCTCCCGGAGGAGGCTGGCTGAGATCTATCACAATAGGGGCAGAGTAAAGATCCTTCATAGGTGGGGCAACGAACTCGGCCAGTTCGTGCTGTGGTGTTGTTGCTGGGCTATTCCTCTGACAAGATTGTGCAGAGGAGTCTGAAGATTCAATCAAACTGTCAGGGTTGAGACTCCCGGACAGACAAGTCTCCTCGCCAACGCTCATGGTTTCGCTCTCGTTATCCAAGAGTAGGGTAGTTGCAAGATGGCGCACAGTAGCAGTGACCATGTGATTCACGCGACGCAGTGGGGAAAGACCGGGTGGGAGGTCATGGCGAGCGCAGTCTTGACGGTGTTTGAACTGCCAGTAGGAGGTCTTATAGTTGTACGGTTCATTAGGTGATAGACCATCCTCGGCAAAAGTGCAGAGACCCTTATCGAGCGTGCACAAGGAAGAATTTCTGGTGGGCACTAGAGGGATCAGAGCCGACACATCATGAGGTTGAGCCTGGCCACGGACTATAAAATGTAAAGTTAGTAGTTTTAGGTTAGGGTATATGATCTCCACTTACAGAAAGAAAAAAAAATCCCTGAAAAAAATCATGTATATGCCGAATGTATGAACTAGGATTAACTTACCTTTGGCACGGCCAGTCTTGGAGACAGAATGACCACGAGAACTTTTTCGAAGCAGCATAGCCTTCTTCTCTTCCAACGTCGACTTCCCAACCTTGGCAGCAGTAGTCCGCCATGGCGGCAATGGCAGAGCAGCATGTGCATCTGAGAACCTTTTCCACGACTCGAGCTGATCCACACTCTCATGCAGCAACATCAGGTTCTCGAGTGCCTCCATCGCGTCCTTGTCGTCAATCTCGACCTCGGTCGAACCGATACTCTGCAGGGTCTCCTCTGTGGATCGTTGGATCCGATGATCTTTCATATACTTATTTCGGGCTGCTCCGTGAGATATGATCGTGTGGCTGCTGAGCTGCGCTATGCTGCTACTGATGTTGTTACCAAAGAGCGCACTGGCCAAGTTCTGCATACAGGCTCTGTTCGGATCTGGTGAGGAAGGCAACTCTTGGGGGGTGATATTTCCAAATCCAGACAACGACAGATCGTCCCTCGAGCAATCCTCGATCGAATATCGACGTCTCCTCCCCCCCAGCACCTCCACATTCTCGTATCGAGCCCAGTGCCTGGCGGCAACCACAACCTTGGTCATGAGCTCCCGGCTGAGCTTAGGAAGGAGGTTGACGAGATCTTGGTAGGATTTCCCATGCGGTTGGATGAACAGCGCAAAATCGTCGCTGTAGGAAGGGGTGAACGACTCAGGACCTTCGGAGACGATCAAAGCAAGCAGTTCGAGCAACGCCTGCATTGACAAAGGATCTAGGATGATAGCAACTGCCTCTGATGTAAGCAGTGGAGCTAGTGTATTGCGAGTGCGTTGATCCTTTGTGGCAGAGGATGATCCCCAGTAGCGATAGAGGCAATCTTGGCGGAGGCAGGGAGAAGACGAATGGTGGCGAGGCTGACTGTTGGATGCATCAACAGCAGCAACATTGGCAATAGGCTGTGAAGTTTTTCTGACAGCGACAGTGTGATAGAAGGAAGACGATGGCTGTTCGAGAGGGGGCAGGAGATGCCAAGGAAGACTTTTGCTCGAGAGGGAATCATGACGACGAGGACGATGCGTGACGGACTGGGACTTGAAGAGGGTTCGAAAGATGGTCGACACTTGGGCCGAGGTCGATGATGGGTGATGGACATCCAGACTTGAGTTCGATCTCGCGGGTGGGTCTGTTTTGGGCAGCAAGAGTGACAATGAAAATAAAGGGGATAGTCAGTTTGTCAATTCGAGGATTTCAATTGCGGACAAAGTCAGAAGCGATGTGTGGTGTGAGCATGGCATGTTTGTGCCCTTTTTTTTTTGCTTACGTCGGCGACAGATCTCGGAACAGACAGCATTGACCCCCCATTCAGACTGTTCCCTCGTCAACAAAAAACCACACCCCACTTCTTCCTCAGCAGCATCAACAAGGTCATCCTGCAGGAGGCCAACTGCACACAGTGGCCGAGGGAGGGCCTGACCCTTGTAAACATTCGCAAGGTGAGGATACAACAGAGGCGACTGTAGCGGTGCTTTCCTGCCAGGGGTTGTAAGGGTTAGGGTTGCTATTGCTGTGGTGTGCGCGCGCCTCACTTTTGCCATCCCTCTGTTCTGAGACACACCTGTGAAGAACCCCATGATATCGTAGAAGCCTGTGGAGGGAGTGGAGAGGCTGCGGTGGTGTTGGCGTGACATGGTGCGCTTATTATTGTCGGCGTCTTTGTGTGTGTTGGTCATTTGAGCGAAACAAAGGTGTGGATGAGATCTTATGGGAAAAGATGAGGGATAGAAAGAGGGGCCGAGGAATTGTGATGCAGGCAAAAAGTAAAAGGACAAAATGTTTGTTGCTGCGTCGTACTTCTTTGAGTGTGTGTGAGAGTCGAGTAGTAAGAGAAGGTTAGAAAATCAACACAACCGGAAACAATAAAACCGAGAAAGAAAAAATAATAGAAGCGGGGAACGATGGAAGGTGAAAGGGTGTTCCAAGTCTGAAGAGAAGGGAAAAGGTGAAAAATAGAGGAACAGAGGGCTGGCTATATATTGAGTCTCCTTTCTGACTGACGGCATGCATAGGAGGCGATAAACAATACTGAAGGAGGATAGATCTTGAAATGAGGTGGCATGGTATGCATGGCAAGGTTGTGCACAGACAACAGACTTCATTCCTTCTGCATGGGTGAGTGTGTGATCTCCTTTTGTGTGCCATGTGGATCCTTGGGAAGGAATGAAAAGCGTCTGGGAGTATGAGAGAGGAAAGAGCAAATGAATAGCTACAAAGGAGGGGCGAGGCAGAGAAGGAAATATTGCTGTCCTGGAGCACTAATAGGTATTCCCCGAACAACAATAACGGTATATTAATAACATGGCCTCATGGTCTCTATTGTCAATTGACTTTTGGCCCCTTTGTTGTTTTCGGAGGAGGTGTGTAGATTTCATTTATGATTGTGCATGGCACATATAACGACGAACAACCAGAGGCGAGTGGCAAGGTAAAAAAAACAAGAGCCCTTCTCTTCATTATTGTCTTTATTTCAATTGGCGCTTGCGGTCGAGAAAGGATCAAAGTGTTGCCATCCTGGTTGCTTCTGTATCTTCGTCATGCCAGTGGACAGTTCACAACAACATCGACAGGTTTGAGAAAGAACGCTGTCCCTGTGCACTTGGTCTTCATTCTCTTGAAGAATGGATGCCAAATGCTTCCTTTTTTGCTGTATGTGTTTGCGTGTATTTGTGAGCCCAAGGAAACAATAGCGAGTATTGACCATGGCCAAAGTTACAGAAATGATCTGGAGTGGGAGAGAGAGAGAAAGGAGAAAACAGACAGAGTCATAAAACCACCCTGAGTTGCTCGTTGTGAATGCGTTTATTTGGTGGTGACAAAAGAAAAACTTGCAATCCGCGCTATGAAGTTCTTTGAATCGATCATCGTCCACAATCCATCGTCGTGGTTATTATCTGTTCTTTCAACTGTCTATGTAGAAAGTGTTGTGTGTGGATGTGCGCATGGAGAAAAAAAAAAGCACAGCTTACTTTCATTTGCTTCCAATGTGCTCGTCTCGGTCAATCCACAAAGTCTTTCTTCCCTAACGTTTTGACTTTGTGATGGAAAGGAGCGACCATCGTCAACGTGTCGACCTTGCTAATCTTTCCGTCTACAGTCACACGAGCCTTAAGAAACAGCTCTTAGCAGCGAGTTCATAATGTTGTAAAAAGTGCCGATCCGCGATACTTACTGTTGTTGAGCGGAAGGCGAAGATTACCAAGGAACATGCGGATGGTCATAAGGGTGTGCCCGCAGAGGCGATGGTGCCGGAGGGAATACTCGCAGGAGCAACTGTTGATCAAACAATCAGTTAGCGACAAGCAGTAACAAGTGGCTAGAAAGGTGATCGAGTCGACAACGTAACAACCATCAATTAAAAGGACATGCATTTGGATAGTCTCCTCTGTCATAGCTGGACATCTCGTCGGCGTAGTATGTCGGGAACCTCGCCTTAGTGAAGCATCCCAAGTGCTTGGAAGACTAGAAAACCTGGTGACGGTCTTTACCCTCGTCTTGTTCTTGATCTCGGGCTGGCCGGCGCAACGACAGTACCAGGTCTGTCTGTACGAGAATGGATTAGCCTCCGAGCGACCCTCACTCGTCTCCTGCCGCCAGTGAAATAAGTGCTGTGTGTCTATCCATCTCAAGCCGGTCTTCGTACGTTCGTCGGGATTAGTAAAAGATCTTGCAGCAAAAAAAACGAAGGGGTGACGTAAGGTGACTGTATGTCACTAAGCTTTTACTATTCTCTCCACACGAGTATTTCTTAGTATCCACTTTCATTGTTCATGCTTAATCTGCTCCAATATGGGGTCAGATTTCGAAGATATGCACGATGATACTAACAGTCGTCAGGATTCGGTACCATTGGAAGTCTGCCGTTGGATTCAAGAAAGGATAACTCTCGAGCAAGAAATATCCACGCCACTTTTTGCCAAGAAGCTTGAGTATTACTATCGCGCGACGCCTCTTAGACGTTCTTGAATGCCATGAATTGCTCGGCCGTCCCGCAAAGTCTGAGAAATGCCGTGCTTGACAACTATAAGGCCTGGCAGCGCAACAAAGATGATGCTTACTGGGCGGCAAGTTCACAGATTGACATTTCAATAAGTAAGGCAGTAGAAGAGATTGTTAGAGCGAGTGACCACGTCGGGAAGCGACTTATAGACAACCACATACTGTCAAAGGTGGGGTCCTCGCTGGCTACCCTTCCTCATCGTATGATCGGAAAACTAAAGAGCCGTAAGTTATTGATAATATTATTCGTGACCAAAAAGGCACGAAGCGGATGTACACAAATGTCATCTCCTTCAACTCGTTGATGAGCAAACATAGGGAGAGAGGCTTTCACATACACTGCGGCAGGCATTAAGCTCAGTGACCAGACTTATCCTCCACCATCGTTATCAACTGTTGATGAACTCTCGACATCGAGAACAACCCGAAAAGGTCCAAGTGTCCTCAGCGTGGCTTTTTTGCCTTATGATTCTTGACACACATCACTGATCCTGAATCGCCTTTGGACTTGCATGTGCTCGGCCCAGACTCTGCAAGCTCGACATACATCCCCAGTGCTGGTAGGCTATGGCGCTCTGTCGATTATGCTCTGGGCTTTCTGTTCCTGATCCTTGGAGCCTTGAACCCTTATGCTCACTGTGCTTTGTCTCTTTGTACACTCTCCAATAGTTTGATAGAGTCTACCCAGGTTGGGCAAATGCACCCCCGTGACCCCTTTGACAATTAGGATGCCAGTCTGCCAAAGACTCCGAGGAACAGATGTGTGAACCAGACTTTGCACAGGGCGGTGAACTTTGTATTCCATGTCGAGGCGAATCACCAGACTGGAGGCTTGCAAACTGAAGTCGAGGACGAGTCTTAGAACGCACTCTGTGAAGCGACAAAGGACTGGGTGGACCCACTACTAGAAGTCATCCTAGTTGAAGCACACTAGTATGTGCACTTGCTAGAACGAGGGCAGCAAGAGCTATTCAGGGCACGTTTGAGGGAATCGCCTCCCAAGGTTCCAAACCCTCAGTCCATCTTGGACAAGGTGATCAGTAATGGCCAGCTTTGGAGCCACCAGTCTGCAACGAGGACACATACATCAAATCGCGGCTAGGACCTTTCCCAGAAACGTACTTGAACAATATCACTTACACTAATGCTCTTTCATGTAGGTTATTTGGTTGCTTATGCCTGTTCGCATTCATAGGACGCAGACACGGGAGGAAACTCGAAACGTGGACTCCGATCTGCTCGTACCCGACTTTGCAACCAGGACGATGGCCAGAAAGAGACAATTGTCTGTAGTTCTGTTGGAAGGAGAGATCGTTTCGAACAGGGTGTTTCAGATGTGGAACGACAGATTAGGTCAAGAGTTGACGCTTGCATTGGACTCGATCTTGATGCTTCTTACTGAGGACGATATTTGGGGCGTTGGCATACTCGTACGCAGCATGTTTGTTTGATCATGTTGAATGTCTTTAAAAAGCTCGCATCTCTTCGATGTCATTCATACTGTCTTCATTTTTCTATATTTCTTCTTGACTATTAGATCCGCTGGTTGAATTTTACACCATGCGCATACACGCTGAGGCGACATATATCATATGCCGGTTCGCAGTTTGCAGCCTTGCATCTGATCCTATGCACGTGCTCCTTATCATTCACTTGATGGAAGCATTTCAACACGCACATGGAATTGTCAAGAAGAATGCAGAAATCCGCCGTGTAAAGGTCCGCCTGAGCACAAGTCCCAAAGTTCTTCTCTCCTAGATTAGGCCGTCTTTCACAAAGCCAAAGATTTCTCAAGTCCTACATGGCGAGTAACGATAGGATCCCATCACTTTACTGTTCAAAGTTTGTAGTTCCGTTGATAGAGGTACCTTTGAAATCCCATGACTGCATGGAGTCTTGGCGTCGTTTGTTTGTGTAACCAAAGGCTGGAAAGGACCGTGGATATATTTTTTTGAAACCCCAGTTCTACACTTTTGGGGTTGGCATGAGATTCACCGCTGAAGTGAACTTTCATCTCATTTCTTTGAACCTTCTCATCATGCATCACATTTACTACTCAATGCCGCTTATTGCCCTCTTTCTAGCCTTACAGCAATTCTCTGTCACAGGCAATACAAGTACGTGGACTATATAGCTGTGTGAATTCGGGCATCAGGTGATTAATTAGAGTCCCTTTTCCATTGATTCCATGATTGTTTCTCAGCGCATCGCATTAAGTAAGCAGCAGGCGGGGCGGAGTGAGGAGCGTGTCTTTTCTTCTTTTCTGCTCCCTCCTCTCAGCGCATCCTGTTTAGTGCGTGGCAGGGAGGCGGAAAGAGGAGCGTTTCTTTGCTCACTAATCATAGAGGTGGGCGAGTTTGAATCCTGACAAAGAAAAACAACTTTATTCTCTGGAGACAAAGGATATGTCTACGATCGACGTCGGTCTGGAAAGACGCGGTTCATGATTGTCTCTGCTCGCTGACCCAGATGCAAGCCAAAAGAGAGCTCGGCAAACTGGGTCAAGTACTCTGGTCCGTCATCCCTGTCCATCTCTTCGATCACCGACTTGACCTCTGACAGCAGTCCAAGGTCTTTGAGTTGGTTATGGACCTTGGTGTCGAACGGGACCGACGGGTCTGCACTCTTTAGCATTGGTGCATTCCCTGTACCAAACGCCAGTCGCTCCGCCTCCAATTGCCTCTCCTCATCCAGCCAGTCATGCCACTCCTCCATCTTTTCCCTGCGCCGTTGCTTTTCCTCTGCGTCACGTCCACCAGGGAGTAGCCAGTTAAGGTCGATATCCCCGCACTCGAAATCCGCAGTCCAGGCCTCGGTGCAAATCTTGAGAAGTTTCAGCTTCTTTAATCGCGTCATGAAACACATTCCTCCGTCAAGTCGCTTGAAGATCACAGGCTGGTACAATGGCGACTCGGGATTCTTTCTGCAGACCCTGGGCACTCGAAGATCCACAAACTCTAACTCGGGACACACCGTCGAGAGGTAGCCGAAAATGATCCTGGACGATACCGGTGTCGATATCTGACTGCCTTCGTGATCGTGCACAACGAGCTCAACCTTTTTCAGCTTGCGACATGCCCATATCCCGGGTTGAATGTGCTTCTTGTCCTCGATCGCCGTCCAAGAAAACTCGGTGTTGGGTGTGAGCCAGCTGAACCCTACTCGCCGATGCAGATCCATGCCACGGAGAGGATATGCTGCCTGCAGAGACTTCAGCCTGAGCAAGTGTGGGGAGGTGCATAGGTATTGGTGAAGGAGCCGTGGCACGTTGACCTCTGAATCTTGACCACAGGGCTGACTTCCTGAATCCTCAAGGTAATTCCAACACAGTTCCAGGTTGGTGATGACGTTCGGTAGCGACTCGAGGGACTTTAGCAAGGCGGGTGTCGTGTCCGGAGTCCAGAGGCACCACTCATGTGAATTGGGACAGAGCTCTGTCACAATACTCTGGGTGCCGTCGTCGCTCTGCAAAGATGGCGACAAGAAGGAAAAGAGAAAAGAGTCGAGTTTGATGGGGAGAGATCGCACGAGCTCACAAAATCGTTGCCGGTTGTACTGGATCCTTCCAGTGGGCCTGCTTATTTCGAATGACTGGTCGTCTTCCATGACCCCTGCCAGTTTCAGCTCGACGAGGTTGGGAGTGAATCGCAAGAGATCCTCTAGGTCGGACTGGCGAAAGACTGGATAAATGAGGGCGATTCCCTTCAGCGGAAAAGTCTGTTGACGGTCGTGGTCTCGTGGGATCCAGGGTCCATCGACATACCAGCCCTCCCATCTGGCGATGAGGAGATCCTCCAGAAGCGGACACTGCCTCAACAGCAGACTGGGGTCGAAGGTGTTTGTCTGACTGCTGCCGAATTCCAGAATGAGGTTGGTCAATGACGACGGGAACGGAAAGTCGGAGAGAACGCTCATGGGTATGTTGCAGAAGGTCGCTTCCAGTCTCGTCAGTGGTGTGTCGAAGAGCCTTCCCCTTTTTTTTATTAGGTCGCCTTGGTGGCTGTTTTGTTGCCGCTGTCCTTCCTGGTACCAGTCCTCATAGGCCAATAGCAGATCCTTGAATGCGTTGTTGTTTGTGATATTGTTTTCACTCCCCTCGAAGCAGACTTGGGCTAGGCTGGCTCCGCATAGTCTCGGCAGGACTGTCTCCAATCCAGGTCCTGTCCATCGATAGTCCCAGTGTACTCTGCGCTCCATCTGTGACCGACACAGCTCGAGCCAATATCGACAGACAAGGTGGACAGTGTACCCAAGAGTTCTACTATCCAAGAAGGAAAAAATGTGGAGCACAATCTCGGGTAGCTCCAAGCAACGAACCATCTTGTTTGGGTATGAAGTCCTCGTCATCGTTGCCGGGTCCGAGAGATTACTGCTCACCATCGCTGCGACTCGTTATTGTTCCTGGACGATATAAGTGAGGAAAAGGTGCCTATAGGGCACGAAAAGAGAAGCGTGAGCATAGGAGAAGGTAGTGGAGTGACATGCCGCAGTGCTCTTTTCAAAGCACGGGTCAATCATGGTCCAAACTATATCGATCGTCACTCTTTGCGCATTCATGCGAAACATGTATGTGGCAACTGTACTTAATTCATATGTTGGACCAAGAAAACTACCTTTTAGCAGGAGAGGACCGTAGTCTTTTCGCACCAAGTGAGCTGCCAAGCAGGCGGGAGTGTTTGCTGTCGTTTTGGGACAAGGACAATTGTCCAGTATGAGTAAAGGCAGGGGTGATTCTTTTTTTTTTTTTTTTTTTTTTTTTTTTTTGGTGGGAGAAAAGGAATGACACTGTGTTTCGGAGTGTGGAAGGAGAAGGGTGTGTGTGTTGATTCGATGGCGAGATGGATGTGGAAAAGGTGGTGAAGACAGAGACAGAAAGAAGGAGAGAGAGTGTGTGTGTGTAATGAATGACAAGAAAGAAAAAGTCGGAGACAAAGCAAAGAAAGAGAAGGGGGCAAGTGAGAGAGAAAGAACGAAGGGAAAAGAAAAGGTGAAAGCGCAAGGTAGTGCGAAGAGATATCAAAATCTCGGTCCCCTTTTTGCTTTTTATTTTTGTCTGACCATTTCCCACGCAGAACAAACGAACCAACTACGGAACAGATGTTGTGCACAGAGAGAAAACGATCCCACTGCACCTTATTCATCCTCCCCTTCTTCTTCCCCTTCTCCCCTCTTTAATCCTTTCTACACTTTATCATTAGTATCTACTACTCCTTCCTTTCTCCATTCGAGCTGAAAGAGTAGTAGAGTAGTTGAGGTTGTTGCCCGAGATTTTTTTGTGATTTTTTTGATCGTGAGACGGATAAGGTAATCAATCGGTGATCGTGCCTGGGTGGATCACACTGTTAATTTTCTTAAGGGTATGTAGAAGGGTGTCTTCTACGTTGCTTTTGAAATGTCCCGACTCCCTCTTTCCTTCTCTCCCAGGCCTAATGAGTCAAGGAGAGTGCGCCTACGGAGGCCGATACGATGGTTGGAGGGATGGGCGGTGTATGTTGAATGTGAGAAGGTGATAGGGTAAGAGAGAGGCAGAAAGAAAGGGTTAGGGAAAGGGGAAGGAGTGAAGAGAGACAAAGGGAGAAAGTGGTACTGCCAGTGACCAACATTATTCTCCCTACCCCCTCTTTTTTCTGAGTCATGTCCAAAAGATCCAAACACCCTCCACAACTATGCATGATGCAACCTATAAAATGAAAACTCGATGGAAACCAGCTGGGCAAGTGTACCCTACACGCCACCGTACAAGGTCACCCAACCGCTATGCCCCCAGGTCAAGGATGATCTGTCGTGTCTTTCTAGTCTCGATATCTTTCAGTTCGTTCTCCGACTCATGATGAGCCGTGAAAAAGGGACCCAAGAGAGTGAACCCAATTGCATTCAACCAATTGGTTCTGTGGTCTTTATTTTCTGATTGGCGTGTGCACAAAACTTGCATGGGCGCCTCCAATGTGTTTAGTGTTTATCTTTTGTATGCTGGTGTGAGTCGCCATTCCCAGAGCAAATTAATTGTCGTCATATCGTTTTGTATGTTCTTCACCCCAACAAACAAGGTTGTTCGGATGCTTGGAGAGAACAGGGACAGAACATGAAAAAGAAAAAAAAAGTTCGTGTTCATGCCGACTGACAAAGTCTTGAACCTCCACTCGTCTCGAGCTTAGGTCCTCATTGTCTCTTCAACACAGGAGCCTATGTCCTTGTGAAGAGCATATAATGGCATATTGGTAGCAGAGGTAAGCTGTGAACCAACCCCTCGTTCAGAAACAGCTACAAGACCTACTATTACCATCAAAGTAGGGTTTCTGAGATAGCCTCCCCGATCCTCGTCTTTATATTTTAATCCTTCAAGTAGAGCCCACTCGCTTGAACCAACTTTGCATCCTTCTATCCTTTCCCCCCTCCTTCTCCCACCCGTCCTCCTTGCCCACCTCGGCCATTTGTTACCTTCACTTATCCTACTATTCCAGCCGCCTTCTCTACCTTGCTCCATCTTCACTACTACACCAACGGTATCCCTCTCTCTGACGACCCACCCTCCTCGACAACCAACGTCCCTTCCAAACACGACCAACTCTCTCCAAAATAATCTTTCGAAAACGGAGTCCCTCAACAGGAAAAAACACTCGTGTGTCCCCCCTCCTCCCTTTGTCAACAACTGTCGCCGTCTTCATTGGACAGCGCGGAGTGAAAAGAAGCGTAGGAGTAATAGAATGCGGCTATTAAATGCCATAGGGTGTTGGGCCTTGATCGCTTCGACATCCTGTCTCGTCGTTATTACGGAAGCTGCAGGTGCCATTAAGTATGTCCTCTGTCACTTTCTTCCACTCTCTTGTCTGTCCGAGTCGCGAAAAGACCAAAAATTCCAAACGCGACGCGTCTCAAATCTATTTTCGTGCTACTGATCATGTCTCGCACTCCTCCCTCTTGAACAAACAGGGTTCCGATACATAAGAACGCACACTATCGACAAAACACTCGTGCGAGGGCACACAAGACATTGAAGAAGTATGGACACCACCGGCGATTATCTCCTCGGGACTTTGGCCGTCTTCCCGTCACCGACGTCGAGAATGATGTCGAGGTAACGTCTTGTATCCTTCTTCTCGCGCTTCTATTCTTTTTTCCTCCACCTTTTGTCCTCTTTGTACTTTCTTTCTCCTCTTTTTTTGTCACTCATCTTGCGCTTTTATACCTCAAAGATAAAGAACCTAACAGGCAATTCTTACCTCTAAAAATAATAATGGGATATAGTACTACGGACTGGTGGGGATAGGGACGCCGCCACAGATGTTCAAGCTAGATATGGACACCGGTTCATCCGACCTCTGGATCCCCTCAATGAAATGCGACCATGACGGGAAATGTTCCCGCCATACGCGATTCGACCCTTCGCTCTCGTCAACTGTCACAGAACTCAAGACACCCTGGAAGATTGCATATGGCGACGGATCGACTGTCAGCGGACACCTTGCGATTGATCGACTCCAGTTTTCAGAGATTACGATCGAGAACCAGTTGATTGGTCTTGCGGATAGGGAGTCGAGTTCTTTTCTAGAGGATGTTGTTGATGGGGTTTTTGGGTTAGGGTTTCCGTCATTGTCGGCGATGGTGTTGGAGGACCAGAAGGATGCTGAAGCCAAAGTCCAGGGGCCGATCAGCAATACGGTGTTGAGCAGCATCCTCTCGCACGAGTTAATTCCGGCGCCCGTGTTTGGAGTTTGGTTGGGAAATGGGGATGGAGAGGGGTCGGATGCGAATGGTGGCGATGGTGAGTTTATCTTCGGATCGATCGACACTTCAAGATTTGAAGGGGAGTTGACGTTCTTGCCGATTACTCATTCGCGGTACTGGCAAGTACAGGTTGATGGAGTGCAGTTGGACGGGATCGGGGATCTGTCGATCAAGGGCGACACTATTATCGACACTGGTACTACGCTGCTAGTATTCCCGATAGCACAGTCCAAGAAGATCAACAAGGCGATTGGAGCCAAGTCGGATCCCTGGGAGGGTTGGATCTTGCCATGTGATTCGAACCAGGAGGGTAGTCTGGATTTCCAGATGGGCGGCAGCCTGTTCTCTGTTCGGCGCAAGGACCTGGTGAGGGAGAAGGTGCCTCAGAAGAAAGGGTGGTGTTATAGTGCGGTGACGACGACTCCCGGGGACACGATTATCTTTGGGGATGTCTTTATCCGCAACAACTATTGTGTCTTTGATGTTGAGCATATGACCATTGGCATTGCACCTGTGAAGCGGCGGCACCCTTGATGTCGTCGTCTTCGTCGTTGTATATTATTATTATACTTTTTCCATGTACATGTACAGTACAATAACATCATGCTCAATTGCTTCTTTCCGTGTTTTGGTTGTGCGTGTATGAATAAGTAAGTCTATGCGCAAGTCGGTAATGATTGCATCGGCTCGAAGGGTGTTTCCGTGCTTCCGTGTCTCGCTCTGTCTGTGTGTCTGTCTGTGTCCATGGTCCGTGGACTGAAATACGAATGACGATCGATGGTGACTCAAAAGCCCTTGTCCCCTTTGTCCCTTTGTCCCTTTGTCCCTTTGTCCCACACATCCGGCTCACCCTCTTTTGGTCTTGGGCGCTGGCGTCTCTTCTGCATTCTCCTCTTCCCCCACAACGCATAAAAAGTAACGGCTCACGACGCTCCTTCCTCTTCTTTTCTTTTCTTTTCTCCAGATTACAACACAAAACACATTCACTCACATCACTTTCATTTCAACTACCCAGTTACACTTTCATCACTCTCAACACTCAATACACCACAGCAACAAGCAATGTGCATCTTACTCTGGACACTGCCCTCAAGCAACCACCCCCGGTTCAAGTTGTAAGCACCCCTCACATCGCACAATCAATCATTCTACAACAAACACAACCGAAATGTCAACATGAACGAAAGAGACACAACCAACCCTTTTCACCCCTGCATACTCACCCATTCACTCATACCTCTGTTGCTGTGACAACAAACTTGAAAAATAGTGCACTGGCAAGCAACAGGGACGAGGCCCTAGGACGAGAGACCTCCCGCGCAGATTTTTGGGACCTCGACCCCGTCCTTTCCAAAGCCATCCGCCAATCTTCCTCCTCTTCTTCCGATGACAACCTCCCAACCCCAGCCACAGCTCCAGTCCCGGCACCAACTCCACGGCGTCCAAGTCCAGTGGGAGTCCTGACAGGCCAAGACCTCCAACCCTCCCAAGCAACCAACTACACCATCCAAGAACTCTTCTCCTTCTCTTCCTCCTCCCCCTCCTCACAAGAACAAGAACAGGAGCAGGTGGCGCTGACACTGGACACAAAGGATATTCCGGGGACATGGCTCGGGATGACGACCCATGGCGATTTTGTAGCATTGACGAATTTCCGGGAGAGTGATGCATACATGGCCATAGAGCGGGATCCCAAGTTGTCGAGGGGTAAAGTCTGTGGCGAGTTTTTGGTCACTATGGCTGCTGCGCATCATAAGGAGGAGGAAGGTGGCGATGAGGAAGTTGTCGACTCGGCGCAGGGTAGTGACACTGGATCCGTATCAACATTGGCGGACGAAATTGTGAATGGCTCTGACAAGAGTAGGAACGGGAAGACTGGATGCAGGGTGAGGAAAGATCAGGCGGAAAAGTGGATCAGGAGACGTGCAGTCGGATGGGAGGACGAGTTTGAAGGGTTGAATTTGTTGGTGGTTCAGAATGCAGGTGACCAGCAGTGTGTCGGAGGCAACCGTCTGGGATCTGAACTCAGCGTCTTTGACAAATCTGACACCACGACCACAGATGTTGGAAATGGAACTGGAACTGCAGGGATCTTGGAGGGCAGTGTGGTGGGTGTGAGCAACTCGGTGTTTACACAACCTTGGACCAAGGTCAAGATGGGCGTCAAGGCGTTGGAGACTGTCTTGAACCAGAGTATCGACCTCTTTGGCACTGGAGCCCACGCCTCATTCAGCAGTAACAATAACTCGGGATCAGAACAATCAACTATGGACGACGATACAAAGGAGATAGCGTGGCTGGTGATCCAAATGTTGACATTCCTCCGGACCAACACCCAACCTTTCCCAGAGGAAGACAGCACAAGCCTCACAAGACTGGTCGACGGTCTTCGCGAACGAGTCTTTATTCCGCGCATCGGATTGGGTGGACCCGCCACGGAATACGGGACACGGTCAAGTACCATCGCACTCTTTGGGCGAGAGAGAGACGGAGAAGCGAGCGTGGCGGTGTTTGTGGAGAAGGTCTGGTATAGCAACCTGGATGCCTTAACAGGAGAGAGAACTGAGTATGCACCAGATAGCTCGGAGGGTCTGGTCTGGTGGCAAGGACGAGTCGGTCAGCCTCGTCAACAGTGGAGGCATATTGTTGGAGACGAGTTGGAGCATTTGCTGAACCATGCGCGTGACATCCCCCGTCTTTAGTTCCTTTCTTTCTTGGCGCCACTAAATACACCTGTTAATTAACCCTATCACCCATCATTGCAGTTAAAAAAAAGGGCGCTTTGGTGCATTGTGCCTTTATTGCATACATGATCGAGAAGGTCGGGTATATTCGATTGTTTATTGTTCAATATCTCGCTTCTTTTCCAATTGGTTCATCAAATGAAGACGTCCATCGGACGAAAAATAGGGTTACCCGGTGGAAAAAGGGTTCATCGGTGAAAAAAAAGGTCCAAGGGGTCAATCAGTCACGACAAGCCAAGAGGTCACGAAGGAGGGGTATGGCGATCAAGTTTTGTATCGAATTGTATTTGGTTGTAAGAAGTAGACACGAAAAAAGAAAAGGAGGAAGTAAGAGGCGGGGAGGGGGTGAGGAGGTGGGTGTGTGAGAAATCGCGACTGTGCTCATCATCCTCCTTCAGAGGACGAACCTGCATTCACGAACTCACATATCATTAACGGAGAAGGGAAGAGAAGAGAAAAGAACTATGTTTTTTAAGAATTGGGGGATATATATGGAGAAAAAAGAATAGAAAAGAGGGCCGCGAAACGCTCCATACTTAGAGGATGAGGCACTTCTTGGACTTTCTCGTGGGCTGGACGGGGCAGAGGACGGCACGGATGGCCTCGTCAAAGACGTTCTTGAGACCCTTCTGGGTCAAGGCTGAGCACTCGAGGTAGCGGACAGCAGAGATTTCCTTGGCCATCTGAAGACCCTGAGGGTATGTGATGGGCATCATGCGCTTCTCACGCAACTTGTCCAAAGTCTCCTTCTCCTCGCGCAAATCCAACTTGGTACCCACAAGAATGGTGGGGATGTTGGGAGCGTGATGGCTAATCTCAGGGTTCCACTATTTTACAGAGAAAAGGGTACGGTTAACATCAATTGTCAATTGTAGATCGGATTGGTTTACTGTCTACTACTGGCAAAAGAAAGGAGGTCGTTCGATAGGGGTGTAGGATGAGGTAATGGCACGGGGTTCTTGGGCAAGGGCGCATGGCTATGTCCCGGACCAAATGCAATCCAGTCCAGTGCCCCACGTCCAGTTGAAGCTTGCAGCTGCTTGCAGTCCATAGACTTTTTTCTTTTCTTTAAACCCCCTAACTCCCGGACCACTTTGGTGTGTGTATGTATCGGAACCCTCGTTCTTCATTAGGAGCTGTCAAGCACCTTTTTCACGTTTTTGTTTCTCCGTCCTTGTTATTCCTCCATTGTCGATCGAGTTTGTCCTGCTGCTTTGTCGTCCATCTCTCTCTTTGTTGTTGGGTAAAATCGCATGTCGGTCCAAAAGATGAAACGCATTATGCCAATGTCTCCTGATATCCCAATTCTCCTTTGGCTGATGTGCTCAAGTAATCGACTCTTGACCGAAAAGCCTGAGAGCAAAAAACAAAGAGGTCAAACTGAACGGCCTTCTTTTTCTTCTCAAGCCTTTTGCTGTGCCAAATCCATGCGATGTTGTTGTCTGTCGTGGTTTGCCATAGCAATGTCGGCCCTTTTCCATTGTCCATTGTCCTGTGTCCTTTCCGCCGCTGTTTGTCTGTCGGACAAATTTGAGCCGTGAGCACAACAACAACGCTTGCGACTAGCATGAATTGAGAAAATAGCAATAGGGCGGCGAACGATATTTCATGGCGCCATCTCGCTGATTTTTCTCTGCCCTGACGTCCAGTGTCCTGTCTCCAGTGTCTAGCGCCTTTGTCCAGCTCCATCTACTTATATTTACTGTTCCCTTTTTTCTTCCAATGATAAACAATACCCCAGTGAACAGATGGATGTATGGAAAAAAGGGTAAAAAAAAGGCTCATTGAGGGAGAGAGAAGGAAGGTTGCACGAAGTAATAATTGCTTTTTCATACTTCCTCTCTTGCCTTTTTTTGCTCGTGGTCGTACCATTCGCCGCCTCTTTTGTCATTTCATTGATCTTTCAGCCTTTACTTCTTCGTGGTCGTACACAGACTTTTTTCTGTTCATTTCATTTCATTTCTTTGTTTCCTCTTTGTTTCCTTGTTCATTTCATTCCCTCCAAACAATTGCTGTCGTGCACAGTTTGTACCTCACCCCAGAAACCCCATAAAAAAGATGCGGTGGAAAGAATATGAAGAGCGAAAACAAGATGAACAGGAATGTAAAAGTTACCTTGGTCTTGACGTTCTCGAAGGAGGGAGGGGAGACGAGAGAGAAGCAGATGAGGAAGACGTCTGTCTGGGGGTAGGAGAGAGGACGAAGACGATCATAATCCTCCTGTCCGGCGGTATCCCAGAGACCGAGGTTGATGGGTTTTCCATCGACCATGACATTGGCCGAGTAGTTGTCAAAGCTGTTTATAGATAAAATGAGGAAAAGAGCGGGGATTAGATTAGCTTCTACCACGGATGAACGTTGGAAAGTCAATGTTGGACAACGTTGGAGAACGAGGGCTGTTATGGTCCACTTTCAATGTATGTTTTCGTAGGCTTTTCTTCTGACTTCCAATGTATTTTCTCTTGGCCTTCTCTTCTTCTCTCATTCTCTACCACTGTTGTACAGTGAAGTGCCATCCTCAAGGTAATATCCAATGGATGTAATATTCTTCGCTAATCTGTTTCTGTTTTGTAAACTGTCATCAACATTCCATGTAACTTACACAGTGGGAATGTACTCGCCGGGGAACGCGTTGGTGGTGTAACTGATGAGGAGACAAGTCTATTATGTTTTCAGGAGGGGTTGTTTGTGTTGTTGTTATTAGTCGTCCTCGTTGATTCATTCTTCTTCCTGCATTTCAACAAGTGGTTGTCGAGGAGGACATCATCATCTTGCAGAGGTAGTCGAAGTGCATTGCTAATAGGTACCTTTCCGACAGCACCGTCTATTTCATTTCAAATGACAAAAAGAGAGAGAGAGAGAGAGAGTGGGAGAGACAGAAGAGACCGTTAGCATATGGTATTTGGTGGAGAAGGCGCGCGGATATCCAAGACATGTATTGTAGGAGAGAAGACGGACGACATGGATGGTGGCGCTATGTCTTTTTCTCTAGTGTCTGTTCTCCAGCTGGTTGTTCCGACACGAGGCTGTCGTTTGAGTATGTATGTATTTATGTATGTATGTATGTTTGAGTGAGACCAATAAAGAATGGAGGACAATAATCAGCTGAATGAGTGTGAGTGGATGATGATGAACAGTTTGCTGAGTAGGAGTAGGAGTAGGAGTAGGAGTGAAGGAAGGAAGGAAATATACCTCCGACAACGACACACTTGATGGCCTGCATGATGGATTAAATGAACAAAGAGAGGGAAAAGGGGAAGAGGGATGGAGGTATATGAAGGTGAAGGTAGCAGTTGGAGGTCGAGAGTGAAGAGTGAAGCAAAGAAGAAGAGAGAGAGAGAGAGAGAGAAGAAGGAAAGAAAAGGAAAAAAGGAGAGGAAATGTAAAAAGCACAAAAAAGAAAAAAAGGCGACGCTGATTTGATTTGATTCCTCCATTTCTGCCTATGGAAAATATGGAAAATATGAAATTGAGAGGGAGCAAAGGGGAAAGTTTATTTCACTCGTGCTAGCCACCACACCTCCACCGCATACCGAATGCTACTCCACTAAAAGACAAAGGGAACTCGTCGTCGTTGCCGTAGTCGTCGACAGTTGGACAGCCGTTCGCTTTTCACTCGCCACTCGCCATCTTCTATCCTTCTTTCTTCTCTGCCCTCAATCTCATTTTTCATTTGCCTTTCTTGGTTTTGCCACTGGACTTGGATGCTCATCAGAAAACAATTAATGACAAACAGCTGGCAGACCCAATGTACCCCCTCGCAAATAGTCGTCAGTCGCCATCTCTTCTGTTGTAGTCGATGGCCATGCTTTTGTCTTGTCCGTAGTAGTCTGCTTCATGTATCTCTTCATCGACAAGAACAAGAGATGAACTGTAGGGTAGAGTCTGGAAGCTCATCGACACCCACAATGGGGACAGGCCACTAGACGAAATGCTCGTTGTTGAACCCTGCTGTGATAAAACGCAAAGGGACCAACCATGCGACATTCATACAAAACACATATCCAATTACAGTCGAAACCATACGAGAGCACTTTTGAGTATTCTCTTCTTTTTCAAAATACATTGAATATGCTTAGCAGCCATTGGCATCCCTTCGCATGGCATCGCATGGTCTTCAAAATGGCTCAATTTATTTATTACTTTGTTCATTCTAATCGTGCATGCGTCTTCTCGTTTTTATTTTCGTTGTCCATTGTTTCTCGCTCTTGGTATCACATCCTTCTCTTCCTCTATGCTCATGTTCATGTGTGTATGAGTGTACGTGCGTGTGTTAATATGAAGGCAAGCGTAACCTTGCTGACTTGTTTGGTTGACTAATACAAAGGGAAAGGAAAACGCTCTCGTCAATAATAGCTTTTCCTCTCTATTTTGTTCTTGTTCCTTGTTCCGCACTGTCGTAAGGTTCACCATGTTCATTTCTCTTTTTATATTATTTTATTGTGCCCGGTTATCATCGCGGCTCATCATCTCTTCATCGTGGGTCCGATTGTATTAGCATACGCTCATCCTCCCAAAACGGCATTGGTATTGGCATGGACATCTTTGAAAATGTCGGCCGTTCGGTCTATTCATAAAGCAACGGTCTAGTCGTTTGTTCATTTGCATTCTTACAGGAAAAAAAAAAAAAAAAAAAAAAGAGTAGAGTTTCATGAAATGAGCGTGTTTTGAGAGCATCAACACCCAGCCGGCGCTCTCTTACTTTGTCCTATTGTTGCCGTTGCTACCACATTCCTTTTCTCGTTTTATTAGTTTGTCCTTTGGTTTTGGTCGTTCGTTTCTTCCTCTTCACCTGTCAACAACTCATACTTTGTCATCTTACTCTTCACTGATGTGGTTGTTGTTCGCTGTCTTGGCCCATCCCTATTTCACTTGTGCCTATGCTCTACACTTGAAAGTGAGAAACAGAGGTGTAATGGTCAAACCATGCCATGGACACTGGAGGATATGAATCCGGAGTAAGAAAGAAATGGGCTCACACATTTTTTATTTCTTCTCAACGGACATCCAACAACGCATCCAATTTTTCAGGTACCATCGATTATGGACACCCCTTAATCACTGCACATGAATAGGAAATAAGGGAAAAGAAGGAAATAATGGAATACAAAAAAAATTGTTCTTGTAATTGACCGATGGGCCTGATCAATTAGAGAGACTGGAGAGAAGGGACTCGTCTTATTCAGTCGCGTTCGCGTCAAATAGAATCTCTCGCGGTTCCTCTACTTACAGGGGTGAGGAGAAGAAGAAAGCCTTTTACCACTTTGCATCGTTCTATCATGTTGTAAAAGCCGTTGGGTTTGACATAACAAAGGGGTTGTTGTGGGGGAGTGTTTGCATGTCAGGAGGCTGAGAGAACATACAAGTGTCTGTGGGTCATACATATATTTAGCGCGAAGAGAAGGAAATGAAAAGGCGGCAATCGGATAGGAGTCGTTTTGATGGGGGTATAGACGTGCCATAGCGAGGGATATGAACATAGAGGTGAGCGATACGAGTCTGTGAAGGGGATGAAGAAGGAAAAAAAAGATGGGGAATGACTTGTCTTTATCGGCGAACATGCCCTTCAATGTTTATTTGAGAGCACACCACGAAAGAGAGAGAAGGAGGCAAAGGCAAAAGTAAAGAGAAAGGGAAATCGGATAAAAATGGTGAATGTGACATGGTGGTCCAAGCAAGCAGGGCAAGGTGTGCCAACAAGTTGTTTCCGCTGTGTGTTTGTGTGAATAAAATAGAGCGAGTGAAGAGAGAAGGAAAGAAGAGAAAGTAAGAGTAACGGGATGCCTTGACATGGAACAAGGACGAGCGAGAGAAAGGAAGGGAGTAAAGAAACCTAAAAGGAAGAGATAACGAAGCAAGCGATAATACAGGCAGGCGATAATACAGACGAGCGAGGATGACCACTATCATTCGTAATCGAATGCATTGGTCAACAAAGCACACCCACCAAACATGTCAGGCCAAGAAAATAAAAAAATCACCTCTCGTCTTTCCTTCTTCCCCTTCTCTCGACCTCTTTTCCTTTCCTTTCACTCTTCACCCCTTTCTCTCTCACCCTCATTCCTCCACACACACAACCAAAACAAAACCAGAATGGCAACACAGCGCAATGTCCACAAACCCCTCCTCTTCGAAATCGCATGGGAGGTCGCCAACAAAGGTAATCGACCACTGGCTCTCATTCAGCCTTGTTGCACTTCATGAAACAAGAACAGGAACAAAAGACTCACTTTTTTATGTCCTTTCTCACTTGTCAAATGCAAATGTAGTTGGAGGAATCTACACAGTGTTAAAGTCAAAGGCACCGGTGACTTGCCACGAATATGGAGACAGATACACCATGATCGGGCCCCTGTCCTACAAGACTGCTCCCCTGGAGGTCGAGACTCTCGAGCCCGACACTCCCGAACTCAGACTCACTCTCGAGTCCATGAAGGAACGTGGTGTCAAGTTTCTTTATGGTCGCTGGCTGATCGAGGGTGCCCCCAAGGTTCTCCTCTTTGACACAGGCTCAGTCTACCACAAGCTCGACGAATGGAAGGGCGATCTCTGGAACGTCGCCGGCATTCCTTCCCCACCAAATGATCATGAGACCAACGAGGCCATTCTTTTTGGATATCTCGTTGCCTGGTTCCTCGGTGAAGTACGTTCTCCCACTTCTTGTCTTATTTGTTTTCTTTTGTACAAAAGGCTTTATTCAATCATCTGTCTGTCGCCCCATCCATCAGGATCCCTACTCCTTACCATCGCTATATGCAAGCAGAGCATGGACGATCGATTATTGGCGCCATCAAAAGAGATAAAGGAACGCATACACCCATGGGTCGTCATCATGAATATAAGAGTGTGTTTAGAACAGAGGACAAGTCAACAACAGACGCATTATGAAAAAGCAACAGAGACCAAAAAAGGAAGGAAGGGGAGGACATGCAGAGGCGCTAATGCAGAGGTGAAAAGAACAAAGGACGTAGACAACAATGGGTCATTGAGAAACATGAACGATAAAAGAAGAGGAACAAAAAAATAATACCAGGGCAGAGGCTAAGAGAATAGAACAAAAAGGGATCATCGTGGGAAATCAGGGTATTGGTTCAGACATACATGTACCCCTTGTCCATTGCAACCCCACCATTCCCCAGATGCCTCATGAAGGCTGTTTATCGCAACTCACAACAACAGGGCCAATGTGCTCCAAAGAGCAACGTGGAGGTCAAAAGGGTTTTTACCATTTTATCCACTTTCTTTTCTGTTGGTGAGAGTTGTTGACCATTTGCTTGTTCTCCATCCGAGACGAAGATGGGACAAACAAGGGGGAAAAGTAGAATTTGAGAGCGAATGGGATTCAAAGAGGAGTGAGAAGAGTGCTTAATCTTTTCCTCCAACTCATATTATCGCGCGCACACCAATCAGTAAGGGGGCTGTTCCAAGCGGACTAGAAAAAAGGGAGGCAGCAAAAACACAAAGCATACCCAAACGAGAGAAAACAGTAACGGCGTGGAAGAAGACCAAATAGTCTATCATCCATGATGACGACGAGGAGAAAAAGGGGGAGCAAAGAAGACAGGGGAGGGACACAACGGAAAACTACTGCATGTCCTCTACGGTCACCATCAACATACAGACAAGTGAAAGTAGGACAATCTGCACGACCATGGAAGGACATGGATTACGACAATGCTTAGACATATGGGGGGATGGTCTTATCGCAGAGATCGGGGAAGGGGTGTGGGGCGTGTTTGTTGGGTTCATTTAAGCGCGCTAGTCGAAATCCAAGGGGTAACATTCATCAAAATGACAGACAGCAACCACGACTAACCACATCCTTGTCACCCATAGTTCGTAGCGCATGAGAAAAAGGCTGCGATTATTGCCCACTTCCACGAATGGCTCGCAGGTGTGGGCATTGCCCTCTGCCGCAAGCGTCATATCGACGTCACCACCATCTTCACCACCCACGCTACCTTGCTCGGACGTTACCTTTGCGCTGGATCCGTCGACTTTTACAACAACCTCAGGAGCTTTGATGTCGACCACGAGGCTGGCAAGCGTGGCATCTACCACCGATACTGCATCGAGCGTGCTGCTACTCACTGCTGCGATGTCTTTACCACTGTCTCTCATATCACTGCCTACGAAGCTGAGCATTTGTTGAAGCGCAAACCAGGTATGTATCGTATGATCAGCTCTACTTGGACTTTTCCTCCAAGTGAAAATGATTGACGAGAGAAAACAAGACAAACAAGGCACCGGGCTGACGGATGTTGGATCTGGGACTGACGTGAGGCTGAGATTTTTCTATGTCACGGCCAGCTTTACTCTTTATCTAACACATGAGTTACTCTCGTCATCGTCCATAATGGAAAAATAGATGGTGTGTTGCCCAACGGACTCAACGTCGTCAAGTTCCAGGCAATGCACGAGTTCCAGAATTTGCACGCAGTGTCCAAGGATCGCATCCACGACTTTGTCCGAGGTCACTTTTACGGCCACTATGATTTCGATCTGGAGAACACCCTTTACTTTTTCACCGCTGGACGATACGAGTACCGCAACAAGGGTCTGGACATGTTTATTGAGTCCCTCCAGCGTAAGTATTGTCTCTTCCTGCTCACAAACCTTGGATCGGCGTTTGTGTGTTTGCTCTTGACTTAAAAGCCATGGGTCGAGTTTCTGACTTTGAAACTCCTTTTTGCGGAGAGGGTGAAGTGGAGGCATGTTACAGTCGAACGGAAATGATGGCAATTGTGTTTGCCCACTTTATGGATGAGGTGTGCTCATTTCCGATTGGTATCGTTTTTTCAAGGAGATATGAGCGGTGGTCGCAATGGTCGCACCGGATGGCCCATTACTCAGAAAATATCCCGATCTAACCTCATCTTTTCCTAAAAAATAGGTCTGAATGAGAAACTGAAGGCATGCAACTCGCCAATGACGGTTGTCGCGTTTATCATCACCCCTGCTGAGACGCATTCGTTCACAGTCGAGACCTTGAAGGGACAGGCTGTGGTCAAGCAACTTAAGGAGACTGTCCATGATATCGCCAAGCGCATGGAAACCCGCCTCTTCGAGAAAGCCGCTCGGTAAGATCGTAGATCCAATTGCACCATCATTCGTTATTGTAGGCTTACCCGAAGCGAGATATGTTTTTACTAACTCATACTTCTAATGTGACATACAGTGGAGGAGATGTGAACACGACACAGTTTTTGACGAGCGAGGATCAGATTCTGCTGAAGCGCCGTACGTTCGCGCTGAAGAGATCGACCCTCCCTCCCATCGTGACTCACAACATGGCTGACGACGACAAGGATCCCGTCTTGAGCCAGCTGCGTCGCTTGGGACTGTTCAACCACCCCTCGGATCGCGTCAAGATTGTCTTCCACCCCGAGTTCCTCAATTCCAGCAACCCACTTTTTGGTCTTGACTACGAGGAATTCGTCCGCGGTTGCCATCTCGGTGTTTTCCCTTCGTACTATGAGCCTTGGGGTTACACCCCTGCAGAGTGCACTGTCATGGGTGTTCCTTCGATCACGACTAACCTATCTGGATTCGGATGTTTCATGGACGACAACATTGTGGATTCTTCAGAGTACGGAATCTATATTGTCGATCGCAGGATGAAGTCGGTTGAGGAGTCGATCCAGCAATTGGCCGACCAGATGTTGATGTTCTGCCAAAAGTCGCGTCGCCAGCGTATTAACCAACGTAACAGAACAGAGCGCTTGTCGGATCTCTTGGACTGGAAGAGGATGGGACTCGAGTACATCAAGGCTCGCCAGTTGGCACTCAGGAGAGCGTACCCAGACTCGTTTGACGACGACTATTTCGGGTTAGATGAGGCAACTCAACAGCAAGTACAGCTCCAGGAACAGAGAACCAAGATCCCCAACCCTCGATCCGCTCCTGGATCACCCCGCATCAGGACTCCTCTTGAGGGAGTCGACACAGAGCTGACGTTTGCAAAGATGTCGGCGCATGATCGTGAGCGGTATTTATCTTACAAGATGCAGGGTCATGACGATGAGGAGGCTCTGATGGACGATGTCACGGCAATGCAGATCAAGATTCCCTTCCGTCAGCGGCAGTCGACACGCGAGGAGAGGTTGGCCGAAGGAGACTTTGACGTCTCAGAGGCCGAAGTGGAGGCCGCTCAGGGCGACATTGCACAGGTCGGCCATGCTGCTGCGACGCAGAAGCAGTACAAGGATCCCGTCGGAGGCGCCAAGAATGGACAGTACTACCAGTCCGGCGCTGCTACTGTTGGAGGACACAATGGATCCTACAACAACGGCAATGGATATCACCGTTAAACAGGGACATGGCTCCCTTGTGTGCCTATTTTTGAGCACGCCCGTTTATCACTTCAACGCGACCAACACTACCCTTTCCCCTGTACATATTCGGACGCCTACCCAGCAATCCCCCTCTCTCTATCTTACACCACCTCAAAAGCCAACAAGATCAACGACCCGCAAACAACAGCACCAGCTTGCACGGAAAAGCGAAAGAAAATAAATCATTGTAATTAATACAGTCAGTGGTCAGGTTCTGTTTTTTTTTATTTGCGGAACAAGAAGATGTCGCGGTTAAAGTTCTTGGCGTGTCCGTCAGACTGACCCAGGTGCTGGGATTCGCGGAACCCGACCTCGTTGACCAAGTAGTTCCGGAACTCTTCTGGGCGGAATTTGATGTCATCGTACGTCTTTTTCATCTCCTATTTGTCGTTCATTGAGATCAATAGTAAAAGATGTTAGCGATTACTTTCTTTTCGCAAAGGCACAGAGGCATACAAGGATCCATGCCAAGTCGAAGAGAGAAATGAAATAAAGAAAGGGAGATAGAGAGAGAGGAGATAGACATACAGGCGTGATTTTGCTCCGCTTGACATAGGTCGCGTAATCCTGTGGTTCAACCACGAATACCCCACCGGGGGTCAAGTTCCTGTACACCTTGTGAAAGAACTTTTTCAGCCCATCGTCTCCGTGATGCAGGTGAATCCACTTTGTCAACGAGAACCTACACGAATTTAATTACAAAAAAGAGCGTAGAGCGTTAGGAGGAAGTAAGAGGAGCATTCCAAAAAAAAAAAAAAAAAAAAAAGACGAAAAACAGCGAGCTTGCAAAAGGAAAGTTGAGAACATACCCGAGGATCACATCCCATTTGTCTTGTTCTTTCTGGTTCTGCCCCTGCTCGGTATCCTGAACCTCATCGGATTCTGTTACCCAGTCTGACACTCGGAGCTCGATATTGTGTGGGAATAAGTGTTCCGTCCGCTCGGTTCTCAGGGGCACCGGTAGAGTCCCGTGGATCTTTTGTAACGCCTTAGGGAAGTATTCCTCGTATGGGACGTCATCTCCTTGGAGTCCCGTTGTGGAAGTCGTTTCCTGTAATTTTGTTGATGGTGGTGATCCTGACGAGGTCTGGGTGTAGGCGTCCGAGGAGAGCTGCGAGAAGGTTTTGAGGACGAACTTTTGAGCCTTGCCGATCAGAGACGGGTCAATGTCCACTCCCTGGATCTTCTGTGGCTTGTAGTGCAACGCTGTCAGAGGTCAATAGAGAACAAAAGTGAATAATTAGAGGATAATAGAGGATCATGCTGCGCGTAAAAAAAAAGTTAATACAAAATATGGTACATGCAAGCAAATAAAAAACTTACCAATAAAGACGGTGATAAGAGCAGAGTTGCATCCAATGTCCAATACTCGTTTGCCACGGAACCAACTTGGATCGAGGAACTCTAACCTCAGATCCACCTTCTTGGCCAGATCTACCAGCGTCATCCTTGTCTCTGTCAGTTTTGTTGATTTCCTCTTTGAGCCTCTGGATACCTTCTTGGTCGACGACAATCCCGATTCTGACGTGTACTTGATGCATCCTGCAGGGAAGAGAACAGTAGGAGTAGCCGAGAGTCGGAAATGTTTCCTCTGGTAATACGCCTCGTCTGTTTGATTCTCCCAGACCTTATCCCACACCTGCACCGATTTCTGATCTCCTGAAGCAGATGAAGATGCTGATGATGGTGTAGGTGTAGGGTGGCGTTTGGTTTGTTCCTGGATCCGTTTTTCGTAGTAGTTGGGGTAGTTGCCGTAGGGGAACTCGTATCGGTTTGGGTTGTTGTCGGGGATGACGAATAAGGGTTCGGCTTTGATGAGCGTAGACTTGGACGTGACAATTGCCTCTGATGAAGGTGTTGACACTGTGGTGGTAGTGGCGGTGGTAGTGCGCGATGCGATAGCTGTTGTTGAGTCACGGAATGTTGATACTGATTTGGACGACTTGACATCAGCCATAATATCCCTTGCCCTAAACTTTGTTGTTGGTGCTGTCGTTGTCGTTGTTGTTCTCAGAGTCGTTGATGTCACTGTGGTTGAGGAGGTTGAGACAGGGACTCGGGACTTGCGGGCGGGGGCTCTTGCGACTTGACGAGGGAGTAGACCAAACGCCAAAGCAGACCGTGTCACATCCTTGGGTACAGCTGGTAGGGGAGTCGTGGTGTTGTCTGGCTTTGTTGCACCTTGAAGACTCGTCGAGGAATTGTTGCGATTGTGTTCTGCAGCCGCCTCGGCGGCAGAAGGAGCGTCTTGGGACTCGACAGTGTCCTGCTTTCCCTTCTTCTTCTTGCTGATCTTGTGTTTCTTACTAAACTTTAGGTCATGCTGCTGATCGCCTTTGCCGTCGAGAAGTTTCCGTTTGGACGGCGAAGGTGTTGAGACGTGGTCGCTCATTCTTCAAGGTGATCTGCGTGAGGAGGGGTTGTGATGCCGGCGATTCTTTTTTTTTTTTGCGTGGCACCTCTTGTAATGGCTACTGCAGTTTGCGCTGGACGATCCCGTTCCTGTTCCTGTTCCTGTTCCTGTTCCTGCGGACTCGATGGCAGTTGCGGTGTGAAGCCTGTCAGTGATGTGTTCAAAGGAAAAAGAGAAGAAACAAAAAAAGGAAGATTTTTAAAACCACATTCTTTTATTTTTTACCTATTAGTTCACTGGCCTTTTCCACACATAACAGACAGACGGACATGGCTCTTAACACACAGAGAAATCCTCCTCCCTGCCAATTGACCAAATGGCTCTCTCTTCTTGAATCCATTCAACCCGTATCCAGGTTGAGTAAGAGAGTGGGTTGTTGCTTGACAATATTTTTTGTCTTTCCTCGTTTTTTTATGTATGGTCAAGAGAGGGACACACAACCTAGAAGCAGTTGAACAATTCGCATTTCATGGGTTTTTATTTACAAGAGGTCTTCCCTTACTCCAAAATAAATAGAGACAACAACATTAATCCATCTCTTAGACAGGGAGGAGACGTGACTCGGTGCCAACGACGTTCTTGTTGGGACCACCATGGCCATTGCCAGTCAGAGACTCATCCGTCCGGTCGCGTCTAAAGAACTGTCCAAATCCAATTCCGGACTCATTTTCCGCACTATGATGGCTAGGACCATCCAACGCCACACGGGTATCATCGTCATCTCCTGCATCGTCCCTGTATCTCTGTCCATTGTTGTCATTGCTGCCGGAGCCGATACCGAGGAAGGAGCCACCGGGCAAGAAGTCCTCCCTGATGCGTGGCGAGAAGGGTCGGTCAGACTTGTTGGATGCCAGGCTGGGGTAGTACTGTCTGTACGCAAAGACGGCAAAGAAGAATCCAATGAATGATCCCACTGTGACATCTTGCCAATGGTGTCTGTAATCCGCCACTCTCGATGTCGCAATCAACGCTGCCAGGATCATGGGCGCCAGGACCACCAGAGACTTGTAGATATGTCCGCGCTCGTCAAAGAGATGCAGCTTTCCGGCAAGGTACATCGACAAGAAACCGAGTCCACCGAAGGAGAAGGAAGAGTGACCCGAGGGGAATGACTTGAATCCATCCCTGAGCAAATCGGTGCGGGTGCAGATGGTAGAGTTGGAGAGGAGGTTGACGGGGTTGTTGAGCTGGTCCAGAGGGATGCCAGCATTGGCATTGTCGTAGAGGGAGAGGCAACGATCAAGAAAGTCTGGTCTTGGCCGTCCCACTGCGATCTGTTCCATCATTTGTTGATACACATATCAAAGGATTAGAAAGCGAGTAAACTAGTGAGCAAAACCAAACACAAAACAAGGATGGTGCAAGATCCTTTATGTCGTTGTTGTTGTTGTTGTTTTCGAGCGGGATAGAGATTTGGGGAAGGGAAGAGGAGAATAGATCTAGACGATCGTTTGTTTTTCCTGTTCATCCTGTGTTGACAAGAAGAGATGCATTCAAGTCGAAGGAGGCCAATGCTATATCGCTACTGATTGTCGTTGTGAGGTGGGTTGAGGTCGGAAAGGGCCATGTGTTGCTGTCCACCAGCTTACTTCACCCCTGCCTTCTTCTGTACGTCTGCTTGTTTGCTTGTTGTCCGGCAATGTCTGATCGTGCTTCTTCAACCCCTCTTTTTTTCTCTCACGCGCGCTCGTCTCCTTTTTTTCCCGTGCGCTTTTGCTTTTTTTCATGTCGAGGTTTATCCCTGTCGTTCATCCCCTCACTCGCTATCCAAGACCTTCGTGTCAATTGGGGTAAAAGGATGAAAAAAAAAGTACCTTGATACTGTCAGTGACGATGAGGACCAAGGATTGGGCGAGGAAGAGGCCCAAAAGGGCGTTGTGCAGGTCAGTGTAGGACCGTCGCTGGAACACTGCAATTGCCCCCATTGTCGCCATAGGGAGCAAGAACGACAAGGTCTATTATTATTTTTGCATTGCATCAGTTTGACAACAAAAAAAGAAAAGAGGATTAGCATAACGACGAGTGATGAGGGATGAGCGTCAGAGAGGACGAGGAGGCAGAGAGAATGAAGAGTGTCTACACGACTGACTACGATTCTTCAGACGGAACGAACTCGTTCCTCCTGAAGAATGAGACAGAGTGGACAGAACTGACGATAGCCCTAGCAAACAAAGAAAAGGGTTCCTTCTTCAAAACAGTCCTGGTCGTCCTGCACAAGAAGTGGTTCCTTGTGGCGTGGCATGTTTCGCCTGCAAGTGCAAGGGCTAGTGCAAGTGCAAGGGCAAAGAAAAAGTGAACCCCCTCCTCTCCCTCCTTGGGATTCCAAATATACTTACCAGCAACAACCAGACGGGAACGGTCTCCTGTTTAGCAAAGGGATGCTGGATGGTGACGTCGCGGACAGAGAACTGGCGATGGAAGGGCTCGAGCTGGTCGACGATGGAGAATGCGACGAGGACGACGACGACGAGGATCCAGTCCTTGCAGTAGGACGTGAAGAGTGCCTTTGTCCTTGATTGCATTTGCAGCACTGAGAACATTCTTGAGAAGGGAAAGGGGAATGAGGGGTGGAGTGAAATGGAGAGAGGAGAGAGGAGAGAGAAGAGGGGAGGGTGAGGAGAACACTCTTTGTCTTCTTATAGAGAGAAAAGGGAGTGGACTGTGTTGTTGGACAAAAGACAAGAGAGGGAGCGGGAAAGATAGGTAAGCAAGAAGCGCGCTTTTTTTGTTTGTTTGTTTGCCTTTGCATGGCTTCTTGACTCGCCCTGGTGATGTGACAACGGGAAAGAGCTTTACCAGTCAGAGTCAGGGCAAGAAGTGAGAAGGACGAACAGGGACATATGCATGATCTTCATTGCTCAGGCATGTCCACAGTCGTCCATGCCCCACCCTCACAATAACCTTGTTTTCGGGTCCATCTGGACTATTCTTTTCCCTTTTATCCTTTTCTCTCTTTGGACACTTGTCCCGCGGACCCTTTTTTTTTTTTTTTTTTTTTTTTGTTCTTTCTTTGTACCCGTCACCCACGCTTGCATCTGGACACACTTCATCATCAACAAGGGCTAGACTCGAACATGGCTTGTGTACAGAGGTGGGGTAGCTTAGCCTCGGCATCCCCCTTGACAGACTCGGGATCCTCCAGCGTCAGAAAGGGGCAAATTCGAAGCAGAAGGAGTTAAAGGTGCGGATGGGGTTAATCGTAGGCGCCGGTAGAGAGTGGTACTCGAGTCCTCGAAGGTGATGTAGGAGGCGCTGCGATCCAATACTGACGAAAACGAGAGAGGTGCGACGATGCTCGTTCTCTTGCTGGCGGGGGCGAGAGTAGAGGGGATGAAGGTGGCGTGGATGTGCTCATTGCTGGACGGAACAAAAGTGGAATGGTTGTGCCAGTTGTCGGAATGAAGATGGAACCGAGAGGACGGCCAAAGAGAGAAACGCTGGAAGGGAAGTCGAAAGTACAGTCTGGCATGGAGGCTAGCCCACAGTCTTGGACAACTGGCTCTGGAATCTTGGACGGCTGACTCCGCAATGGTGTCGTTGCATGGGTGCACTGCGGTCTGTTGATTGTTGGTATCCGTTGGCTCGTGTACCTCGACATCTGACCCGCTCTCGAATCCACTGTCATATTTTCCCTTGGTGGTGTCCGTCTTGTCCTGCCCCTCTTTCAGCGGAGGGGATAAATCCTCTTCTTCATCCCCGTACTCGTGAGTCGAGTGTTGTATAGCAGGGCGTCCGTCTCGATCTCGGCAACAGAGACATCGGTAGGCATAGCACGAGCCCTCTACATTGTCGGCGGAAGAAACAAAGACGGTAGCGGTAGTATGCGTGATGGCAGCTGTTGTCGTTGTGGCCATGGATGCGATAGGACGAGTATTAGAACGGGTAGGTGAGGTTGTGGTTGTACTTGCATTGTTGCTGATCCTGTTCCTGTATCGAGGCTTGAGCTTGAAAAGGACGTCCTTGACGTGTTTCTTAAAGCTAGGCCAATGGTGAGCAGTATGGTTGGTTGAGAAGAGTGTGGTTGAGTGGGCGGCATGGGTTGTTGCCGGTTCGTTTCCTGTCCTGTTTAATTGAGGAGTGACCTTTATTGTAAGAGGACCGACAGGGGTCGTGGTGGAGTGTGCTCGGCTGGACAAACAGGTAAAGAGGAGATTACTCAATGGTTAATAAGAAGAGAGGTGAAGGAAGGAAAGGAAGGAAGGAAGTAATTATGAATTGTGTTTTGGAGTGGGGAAAAAGAGGAGTGAATGTGTGTGCGGACAGCTTTTCTGTGATTGCGCTTTGGCTGAGGGAATGAGTGAATCAGAAACAGACGTGAGGAGCGATGAGGGAAGAAGGAGTAGGAAAGCCAAGACAAGAGTGAGGAAGAAGGAAAGAGGACAAAGGAAAGAGGACGAAGGAGAGAGTGTGGTGGTAACCAGAAGAAAAGGAAAAGAATAAGGAAAGAGCGAGGACATCAAAGATTTATTATTGCGTAGGGGGGCGTAGCAGAAAGAAGTCACAATTATCGCCTATACTGGATTTCTCAATAGACACCCACTCATGCTGCATGTACAGACTTGAACAAACATGCCTGGTACTTTATTATACGCTTTTTGACGATTGTTCCCGAAACCTATGTTTCTATCTTCCCCGCCATAATCAAGTTCCTCAATGTGCACTTCTCCTCCTTCAGCCGGTGAGAAATCATCAACCGTATACCTCGCTCAATCAAAAGCCTCTGGTTCGCGCCGGCAAGTCCATTACTGTCGTCAATAATGGCGTACTGAGGGGACGATGTGCCCTGGTTGCGGATCCAAACCCATGTAAACTTTACTTTCGCTTTGGTGCTGGTCGAAATGCGCCACAATCGAACAGACCCACTGATGGAAGCGGTAGCAAACCGGGCGGGATTCCAGGAAATGTGCGTAGCGCGCTTGGAGAATCCGTCAGCTACGAAAACACAATGAGCAGAAACCTTTCTCGCGCTCTTCTCTGATGGAGCATCCCACAATCGAACCGTTCTATCTGCGCTGAGTGAGGTGACCATCTCTCCGCAGGGTGAGAATGCGATGCAAGTGATTGCATCGGTATGTTCTCGGAGGAAAGGACCTGCACTTCCCGTTTGCGCATGCCAGAATCTCAACACACAAGTCTCAGTGCCGCTTACAATCCTATTCCATCTGGAGAATAGGCGATACACCTCACATCTCAACGTAGAGAGGATCATCTACTCAATGACTTTCCTGTCTCCGAATCCCACAACCCAATTGAGCCGCCATTGCCGCTCGTCACCAGGTACCCCCTGGCCTGCGAATACTTGACACTCGTCACAGGACGGGTATGTCCTCTCAAGACGAGGAGACCTCCATTTTTGCAAACACCAAACCCGCACCGTCCTGTCATGGTTGGAAGAGAAAAGACGCTTGCCGCAAGGCGAGATCTCGATGCACATTACGTCACCGGTATGACCGAGCAAGCGGAGTAGCATCTTTCCGTTGTTGTGATTCCACAGATGGATTGTCCTGTCACGACCTCCGGAGACAAGTCGAGTGCAATCAGGAGAAAATGCGATCGCCCAGACGCAGAGCCTGTGTCCTTCGAGCTGAAGGATGACCTGTAGGTTGTTGTTGCGTACAGTCCGATGTCGCCTCCCGTACAAAGAGCCACTGCCAGACACGAACCATCAGGCGAGAAAACACAAGGGCATGTGTTGTAGGGTTCCTCGTCCTGGGTCGACGACTCTCCTAGAAGAAAGCTATCCGACGAGTCAGTGGTTACATCTCTCCGCTGTGACCCATATCGCGCACATTGTTCCATCTCGTGCTGGCGCCTTGCGACAGTGCGGAATCAAACTGGCAGTGATACCTGCGTGGGGAATCCGGGCGACTTGAAGGTCTGCGCAGTTGAAATGCACACCGGCCTTGACAAGGACTGTCATCGCATTGCTCGCTCCCCTAGCGGTGCTGTTGTTGGCCGTGGACTGGTGGATGATTGAAGGGAGTTGTTCCTGAAAATCGGGGATCTGCTTCACTCTCTCGCACAAGAAATCGATGATGAATGGTTCGATGACAAGGTTGTGTTTAAAGAGCGGGTTATTGGGGTTGAGCAATTGGGCGGTAGAAGAGTTACGCCGTGAAAACGGATCAAATTCATCCTGGCTTCCTCGGTTCCTAGGATCGAAAATGGCAAGAGAGAAAAAGTATCCCTGCAAGGAGCGGGGGAGGAATCGGTGGGAGGTGCCAGCCCGAGTCAATGGAGAAGACTCCCGCAACAGTCGAACAATAGGTTGCGGGCCAAAGAAACCTCCTCGCCATGAACCCTTGTCGTTGACGTGAACATATTTGACGACCGGGATTCCGTCCTGTATATCAAACATCGCCGTCGCGAGACCTGTCGAGTAGTCGATGCCCTTGGAAATAAAGTCGACGTCCAAAAGCCAGTTTAAGGTTTCGCGGTCAACACTAGAGAGTACGCTGGCTTGAAGGCGTTGCAAGTTGATAACGAACCACTGCAGTCGAATCGCAGACAGGTCTTGGCGATCCTCAATGACTCCAGGCAAAGCTTCCAGCGCGAGTGTAAGGGTAAAAGGGTTGGTGACGAGGTCCAACAAGTCAGGGATGGAACCCAATACTTGTAGGTAGTCCTCAACAGTCCAGGGTCGCGAGTGAAGTGCGGTGTATTGGACGACATAGTCTTTGACTTGCTCCTTTGAAAAAGGCACGATGACTGCTTGTTGAAAGATATCAGCTGGAGCGGTCCTGTAGTGATTCGACGGCAGCGGTGCAAAGAGATGCTCGTAGTTGGGTCCTAGGAACGGGTTTCGGCAGGAGATGACCATTTTGGCGCGCCATTGATGAGGTCGAGTCAGAAGGTTGGTGGTATAGAGGTTACAAAACTGCTGTCGCTCATCATATCCGTCGCAGATGAGAATGAATCCGTAATGTTTCTTCAGTTCCTGGATCTCGCTTTTGGTGAACCCATGCATCCGTAGTTGTTTATTGATCATATCATGCACTGGCTCATGAACGCTTGCTAGGATGATATGTAGCGGGATGATGTTGTTGTCAAAGTTGTGCCAGAGTTGCTGTTCCAGGCGTAGACTGAACATCAACTTTCCTGATTCTGAATCTCCAAGGATGATCATGGCGTCTTGGGAGCTGCCAAGAAACGAGAGGACTCTGTCCATCAATGGTTGCAGAGTACTGTCACCGGTTTTGATGCTGGCTTGGGACAGGGGAGCGATGTACACGGGCTGGCAATAGTCCTGGAGCCTTTGGGCCTTGAGGTGGAGGATGGTATCGGTGACATTGTTTAGTTGAGGTTGTCTCTGGGGTCCTAGCCATATGAGGGACGGTTGCCCGCCTCATTTGCTCGTTTCCCGTTGAGAATCCTGTGTTGCTCAACAAACATCCCCCCACCTCAGTCTGCATGATGCCTAAATTGAAGTAAAAGGCAGAGCGAGCAGTCTGTATCTAGGCACTCAATGCTATTTCTTTGTCTGTCATAAAAAAATGGTATTCGGCAGGAGCAGTCCTTACACTGGCGCTGATAGCACTGTAGCCTTTACTCAGTTGTTGGTTGGCGGAAGAGAAAGAAGGCAACACAAAATGTCAGAACACGTGGTTTAAATGAATAGCAGAGTGTCACAGGAAAATGGGTGAAGAAAAAGAACGAAAAAATGGACCAGCTTTGCCATGTTGTCGAGGCGTTCGCGACGACGTCACACTCGCGCTCTGTCCCCTCTGCCTTCGCCATTCGCATGGCATTCTTGACTTTGATATAGTGGGATTGTGAGTTCGTGACTCACAACATCATGCGGCGACGTCCAAAGTTCCAGGTGGCACTGCAACTCTATTTATTTGTCCATGACGACCTGCTTTCAATTTCATATGTACAAGACCCCAAGGTCTCTTCTTGCTTCGTCCATCCTAGAATACCGACGTGCCTGCCCAATCCTGTCTAGGCAAGCCCACAGATGGTAAGCTCCCTCATCTGCTGCAGGATTCCATCTGCCTGCTCTGCCAGCTCATACCCCTGCGGCTCGGGAGGGAAGAACTGTCTCAACCCCTCAAGCGTATTCGACGCATCCTGTGCAAAGCTCAACTGACTCTTGACCACAGCCTCAAACGAAGGGTCCAAATACGCCACCCTTGAATCAATGACTTTGGGCAACTCGCTCGTCAATTGAGCGTTCATCGCCTCGTACATATCTCGTGCAACGTTGGCTTCGTGCTCTGCCTGGGGCAGCTTTGATGAATCCTGAGAGGGGCGCTCGACCAGCTTGCGAACCTTGGATTTGGCGTGGTCGTATTCGAGGTACTTCTTGTTCCTGCGGCGAATCGCCTCATTGATCTCAGGAAAGTAGGCGTAGTAACGTCCAATTGGCTCCAACACTGACGTTCTATACGAGGCATCCTATTTAGTTTTAGTGGTTGCGAAATGGTCATTGTGAGTGAAAAGCGAGAAAGGTCTCCTGGAAGAATATGCCCGTTACTGTTTTTCAATTGGAGCTCCTTGTTCAATTGACATATCCCATGAATATCCAGAAACAACAAAGATGAACGTACGACTTCATCACGGGCCTGTGATTCCATTTTGGTGACAGCGTCCTTGTATCGCTGACCCTCAGGTCCAATGGGTGTCGATTCATCATAGAGCAGCTCCAGCGTGTTTGCGATCCTGACCTGTGCCGCCATCATCTCTAGTTCGCATTTAGGATATGGATGTATGTTAGTGAGTGGAAAGAAGTAAAGATATGTTGTGTGGTGGGCCAATTCAATTGAGAAAAGAAGAACGGGCTGATCATTGAGCCGAGAAAAGGAAGGCGTGAACTCAAAAAAAACAAGAAATGCGCGCAAGACCACACACTGCTGCGGGGCGGCGTAAGGGAAATGAAGTGTCACTGGCTGTGCTCACTTATTGTTATTGCTATTACTGTCGTTCCAGTTATGATTTCGTCATTACACATGGAAGCAATGGGGTGAAGGAGAGGAGTTGGGTGGGGGAGGACGAAAGAGGAGAATATTATCTCCTTTTTCTCGCCAATGCCACTTCTCGCAGGAACAACGATAAAGAACAAGGCAAAGAGACAATGAAAAGATGGGAGAGGGTAGGAGAGAGTGAGTATCGATCCATTTCCACTCACCTCGAAGGGACTTTGCGTATCCGTTGGCCTCCTTGTGCAGCTTCTCTGCTTTCGACTCCAGTCTGGAATTAGATTCAAAGAGTTGGAACCATTCATCAGTACATATACTCTCATTCACCCACTATACTTCATTCACGAATGCAAGAAGAGAGAATAGCAACAAAGAAGGAGAGGGAGGAAACTTACTGGCGGGCGCGCTTCTCTTCTTCTTCAAACTCGCGGTCAGTAGAACGGTCACCCATGTTGCCCGTCTTGGCCATGACGGACGTTGTTGCCCTGTTCAGACTCTTTTTTAACCCAGACCTATATTCATTGAGGAGAAAGGATTCGTGAATGAGAGGAAAGTTGATCAGTTTTTTTTTTGGTTCCGAGCCAAAAGTACAGAAAAAGGAGACGGAGGAAGGTGGGTCTGTGTTTGTGTTTGTGTTTGTGTTTTGTGCTTGTGTTTGTTGAACGTTGCAGACACACAGACGCGGACAGAAAGGAGAGTGAAGGCTTTTTTGAATGTCGTTCAACGGTACCAACTCATGTTGTCTTGTGGCAGCTGAGGTTACTGTTAGTTGTCGATAGGTGAGTGTGGGTTGTAGGGGGGAAGTAAAGATAAGGTCGTGAAAGAGAAGGTTGACAAAGGAAGGAAGGAAGGAAGGAAGGAGAAGTGGAGGCGAAAACGTAGCGTGAGTGGAAGAGTGAGTGAGTAAGTGAGTGAGCGGTGGAAAGAGTGGAGAAGAAGGGGAGGGAAGGAAAGATGAACAAAAGCCTCTCGGCGTCGCGCTGGATCAAAAAATATTTTATTTCTCCGCGCAAAGTGGAAGCGGTTTTTTTTTCTTTTTTTTTCTTTTTTTTATGTCTCTCGACTTTTCGCTGCCCCAGTGCTACTCCATCCCATTATGTCACTATGTCACTGGACCACATGATGCACCCACCCTGTTGCCCAGACATTCGTCCTACACTACCCCTACACGGCCAATGCATGCCAGGTTTTTTGCTTGTTTTTTTTTATTATTACTTCACAGTGCAAACCAGCTAGTTCTTCGCTACCCAGGCTTCTCCCCTCGATCTCAATTCATTCATGAATGTGCACCTTTTGACCGCCTTACGAACTGATAGCCTTCAATGCCTCATTCTTCTCGGCCATCTCATCCGAAGTCATCGTACGAGACTTGGCGTCGATATGAGTGATGGGTGGGTCATCATCCTCGTAACGCTATTTGCAAGAAACAACAAGAGGTCGCGTGTGAGTATTAATAAAGTTAAAAGTGGTGCCACGTATATGAACAATCAAAATGGCACAAAGGGATACCTTGACGCGCTTCTTGCGGAGCATAAGTTTGGACTGTGTGGTGTTGTAAAAGGCAGACTTTTGCCGAGTGTTATCGGCATCATCCCTGAACGTAAACACAAGTTGTGATAATGCAGGGCAGGGGTTGGTCGAGTAGGTGTAGTCACGCTGCAGGGTGTATGGGATCACCTTATCATGATCCTCCTCATCCGCGGTGACCATCATTCCCTGAGCAATCAACTGAGCGCGCTTCCTCTTGCGGCGGTTAATCTCCTTTGCGTCCTCTATGTCCGGCAAGTAGTACGCCAACCATGTCTCTGGATCATTGGCATCCGACATTGGCTTAATCAACGCATTCGACGACCTCTGTGCCGTCTGCGCCTTTGACGTCTAGATTGGTTAATATAAAGAAAGAACACGATTAGCACGTAAAATAAATGACCAACACAATCGAAGGTAATAATACAGAGTACGATAAGAAATGATAATGGGCGCAAGCGACGACCGATGTGAATGACACAATGGAAGACCAAGTGGATAAAGGAGAGAAGAAAGACGTACGCCTTGGTCGTTGGCCTGGGATTGGACGGAGCGCTCGTTGTTGATCTCGGGATCGACATCAAAGGTGACGAGAGTGTAACTGTTGCCCCAGATATTGAAATCGGGGAAAATTGGCAAGGATTCGACAGCAGTGACACCAGGCTTTGTAGGGTGCTTCAAGCTGGCCAAGAATTCGTCCTCTGTCATTGAGCGGGCGGGTGAGATCCTGTCTGCCTTCTTCATGAACCGCTGGAATGTCTTTTCAATAGCCGTGATCTGTCCCTCTCTCGAGTTGTCCACCACCATCGTGTCCTTTCTGCTCGACGTGCTATTTTCATTAGAGAGGGATAATGTGTTGATTAGTTTTCATTTCATTGTGAAATAACACGAACTGAGATCGTTGTACTCTCATATATGCTCTATGAGCGTGTATTCATTCCTTTGAGAAATAACAATCGTCAAGATGGTGGTTGTTCCTGTCGAGCATCTTTCATGCTCGTGTCCAGAGATAAAATCAAATGTCCAGGTCGTGATAGCTCCTGTAGAGCAAATATGTCTCGTCCATGTCCTGACCGAAAGATGTCCTGAGTGATCAACAACAAATCCAAATTATACACTTCCTGTAATGGTCTCGACGAGATACACATCCTTGCTGACAACCTTCCAGTCGACCACCTCATAAAACAACAAAAGCAAGAAAAGAGAAGATCCAAGATACGTACTCCTTATAGGCGCCCTTTCCTGCACCGGTGGGGGTCTCGGAAGAGATATACTCTGTCCTGCGCAACCAAGAGACATTAGGCAACTTGGTCTTGGGAACAGGCATACGATGGACCTCAGCCGCAATAGCGCCATTATTCAACGCGTTCAACGCCGCTGGCCCACCAACGTTCGTCCTGACAGGAACCGTCAACAGCAATTCATCAGTCGGATTCAAGATCGTGTTCGAGTTGTCTCCATGGTGAGCTGGTCGTCCTTCTCCGAAAAAGTTTTCCCGCATCTCGATGAGATCGATTGGCATTGCGTACTGGTTGTCGAGAATCATTTCGTGGGCGGTGGCCTCATTGAGGCCTGTCTCTTGGTATTTGATGTAGCGTTCTGAGGATGAGGGGAGGAGAAGGAGTTTTGGAGCGAATGGTGGGAGGGGAAGGGTGTTCCTGTACCGCGTCTTACACAGGAACTCGTTTCCGTACTTCCTATTTGATTTAAAAGTAGGAGGATGTTGTTGTGAGTGCTTGTGTTCGTTGCTGCCATGCTGATCCGCTTCGTATAGAGCGCGTGTGTTGCTTTTGTTTTGTTGCAACGTACTTCTTGAGCGGTTGCTGTGACATGGTGGCTCTCTCTCTCTCTGTGTGTGTGTGTGTGTTTGTGTGGGTGATGACGTTTTGTTTTGTTGATCCTCCTGCTCTTGGCTAGAATGAGTAAGTGCCTCGAGGGTGCGTGTGTGCTGCTGGGCGTGTCTTCAGTCGAAGGGAGTATAGCGAGTCTTCCTGAGAAGGCGTGAGTTGACTGAGGTGGAAGTAAAGAAGAGAGGGGAGGAGAAGAGAAGGAAAGATGAAAGGCGATCACCGCTGATCGTGTCGCCTTCATTTGTGACAGACAGACAGACAGACAGACAGACAGGAGACACTGAGAAATTTCGGTGGCTGATTTGTAGCCTTATGGGGCACTCTGCCTTTGTCCTGCAAGCGGATCAAATTGATGGACAGAGGCCCACAACAAAGAGGTGACATATCTTGAAATGCCTCGGCTGCATTACGTCTATGGATAACGATGAACTACTACTATCTCTGCTGGTATATGTTGGTTGGTTGGTTGGTTGGTTGGTGGCTATGGCACACTCCTGGCATCTACTCAAGAAAACTCCAATGGCACGTCCGAGTGGTCCTTCTCATTGAAAATAATCGATCGCGCTCCATGATACGCCTGCAACAACACATTCAGTCTCGGCAGCAAGTTCTACCATTCAACACATGTGCGCAACAGAAACAGTTATTAGTTCACTTTCCTTGCAAACGAACGACAGATAGAAGAAGAGAAGAAGAAGAGCGAGAACAAACCTGGAAGACAACCACCATTTTGTCTTCTCCCTCGACAATGATGGCCATGTAGACACGTATATGGAACATCGTAATCGCCTCGTTGATGATAATGTCTGCAATCTTGGATCTGTCAATGAACCGCGACACGCTCCTGCCTCCTAGATACACCGTCTTGACCTGTACCCCCACATCCCTGATCACCAAAATCGTCTCTATTTCGTTTATAATAATAATTGTCAGCATGGTTAGTTGCTTGGAGAGGCATATTTGGACAATAAGTGTGTCCAATAGGTAAGTGGAGAAGAAAAAAAAGTACCTTCCATGACCATGAAGGACTTGAAGACTATCCGGAGCAGGAGAAACAGTGCGATCACCGCGTATGCTGTGTACGTCGTTCCCTATTGAAGGATGTTTGTGGTTGCAATATTATCCAAGTGAGTATGTTTGCCTTGTTATCACTCTCCAGCTGTCCTGAATGTGTAGCCCAGAAGAAAAGGAAAAGAAGTCAACGCACGAGGATGTAGACGAGACAAAGGGAGAAGGCAACGAGGAGAAAGTCATAGGAGTTGATCCGTTGTGCGTCCGAGGTCATGATGTATTCGCGGGTGTTATCCGCGTGTGCGTAGCATTGAAACGACATTATGTTTGATATCGTTTCTTGTCTTGTGTTGTTCCTTGTTCCGTGTTCCGTGTCCTGTGTTCCTTAAGAGTGATGAGTCCTGGTACTGGTGTGATGCAGCTTGGCAGAGTGAATGCGTAAAGAAAAAGAGAAAAGAATAGGAGAGAGAGAGATGGCGGTCAGTTCAGGCACATTTTGTGCCTTATGCGAGTGACTGCTGATGTTAGGCACAGGCTCGCGCTTGTGCCTCCATGGCCATAAAGCACAGAGGAAAAGAGAGAGGAATGAAAGCTGGTTGTCACAGTGAACAGTCTCTGTCCCCTCGAAACTGGGGATGTGATTCCCATGTCCTTTTGTTTGGCCGAGCGTGCCTTGACTTGGAGAGGAGAACCCCCTCCTTGACACTGCTCGGCTATAAGGAAGCTAACCTGTCGCTCTTTTGACTAATGTCCTATCCAAACTCCTCGTTTGATGCTCGCGACGCGTTCATGGAGGATGCTGTTCAACTTGACCGATGTTATCTTGTCTCTTTGGTACCCATATCCCGCCTTGCATCTCGCAGAAGGTGATCTAGCTCGATTGAAAGAGAAGGAACAAGCATGGGCAATTGACAGGGGAAAGGACGGGGAGGATGGATTGAGACCGTACCATAGCATAGACAGAAAGGACAGAAATCCTCTTATTCTTTTTTCTTTTTTTCCCTCCACTTTTTCTTTCCTTTATCTCATATGCTCCCCCCCCCCTCTCCTCCACTTCGTTTTTCTTCCTTTCTTATTTTCTTCTCCCCCTCTCTCCCTCTCCTTCCCTAACTCTCACACCCATCCCATCCTTCTCATTCGACAATCCCACTCACGCACGACATCAACATCGACCTCAACAACTGACCAGCATATATAAAGCCATTCACTCTCATGGGAAAACAACTCCTCAAAGTCGTCCTCATCGGCGACGGAGGCGTTGGCAAGGTAAAAACACTCACTCCTGGCTCTTTTTTATTCATTCATCAGCAGGGCAGACAAAAAGACAAAGCTCATGCTCGATACAGTGGCCTCAGGAGAACGATTTTCGACAAGCCCAATCCGACTGGCGTCAGAGGAATGGATGAAAAGGAGATTCGACTCCACTCAACTGTACACCAAGAAGAATGGGGTTTCACTGGTGGTGCTTGAGGTTGTTGCCATGAGGATGGGTGTTTCTCACTCACTGCTGCTGCTGCTGCACGGTGTGATAAGCCCTATTTTTATGTTGTCCGTTGAATTGGAGAGAGACAGTGTGGTGAAGGAAGGAGTGGTTCTATTCTGAAGTCGTCTTGCAGTTCCTGCTGTTTCCTCGGGCATTTCTTTTTTTCTTTTTCGTGTTGTTGCTTACTATGGTGTTTTGTTTCTTTCGTACATAAGCAATGCACATATAACTAACGTATGCCTTGCTCAATTGCATTTTTTTTTCTACTCTTCCTCTTGCCCTTGCTCTTGTCTTGCTGACCTTACTCTACCATGCCTTGCCTACCTTACTCTACCATGCCTTGCCTACCTTACTCTACCATGCCTTGCCTAATGCCGTCCTGCCCGCCGACTTTCTTTTCATGGACCAACACAAAACGCACCAAAACAACACACGACCCTTTTTGGACACATGTTGGATGACGACTCTAACGGGATCTATGTTCCATATTTCGATGTCATCGCGCTCCTTTATGCGTCCTATCGAACTCAACTCGATCTACTTATGCAAAAACACCCATGGGAAACACACCACTCACAGACGTCTCTTCGTAATCAGGTAATATCCCTACCCGAGAATGAGTCTTGGCTAAACAAGCCAACAAACAAAATGCAGCTTTGGTTGATACAGGAAAGACAAAAATAGGGGGAGTTGAGTTGTTGTCCTTTTGGGGTTTCTCTCTTTCTTGTCCTGCCACTCTTTGCGAACACCCACCCGCATCAGCCCTCTCTACCAAAACCAAGAATAGTAATACAGGAGCGAATGGCCAGTCAATAACAACGAGATATACAATAGAGTCGGACGGAGGAAAAAAGACCCCAATAGACATGTGGATACTCTTTTTTTGGGTTTTGGGGTTTGCAGACCCTTTCGACACTCGGACAACGATTCTGGACTCGTTCAACCCTGAACAGACAAACAAAAAAAAAAAAAAAAAAAAAGACGATGCGAAGGAAAAGGGTGCAGCTCACAGAAAGATGAAGACCCCACTTTCGTCTAACCATCCCTTCTCTTCCTCTTCTATCACGATGAACGAACTAGTTCATCCACAAGAGGTTTACGAACGCATACAAGGCGACCATCGGCGCGGATTTTATCACCAAGGAGATCGAACTAGAGGATGGCAAGCGAGTATCGTTGCAGATTTGGGACACCGCAGGTAAAACGACAAAGGACTGGCACATCTCTCTCTCATCCCTATTGTGAGCACGACATCCAGGAAGAGCCAGGAACATATGGCACCATTATCGCACTCGGGATACCAACCATCAACAAAACTAAGGTTAAACAACAACAGCACGGACAAGCTGGAGATTGGAATGTCAACTCCTCCACAGCACAGGGTTACAACACAGGGTTACAACACTGTGGATGAGAAGTGCCGTTCTTGCGTGACATGTGGACATTTTTTTTTCTCAAGGACAAGAGCGCGGCAAAAGCAACAACAACCTATAGTCGGAGCAGCCCAACAAAAGAAATAGTCATCACCAGGGAACATTAAAGGAAACAACAAAGAGAGAAAAGGGGCTTCACAGGAGGACCACGTTCGGGTTTATCAACTTTTTTCACTATCGTCCCACCTGTCATTCGTCCACTTTTCATTATGGTGAACTTACCTATGTCTATTCACTTCGTCCATCCAATGCACAGGCCAGGAAAGATTCCAGTCATTGGGAATCGCGTTTTACAGAGGCGCGGATGCTTGTGTGCTCTGCTACGACGTGACGAACTACCTCACGTTCGAGCATCTGGCACGGTGGAGGCGCGAGTTCTTGAATCAGGCCGGCATCGGAGACAGCAATCCGGATTTCCCGTTCGTACTGCTGGGCAACAAGATTGACATTGACGAGCGAGTGGTCTCGAGGCGCCAGGCGCGTGGGTTCGCACAGGAGCACAGTACCGTGACGGGATCAAAGGTCGAGATACCCTGCTTCGAGGCCTCGGCCAAGGATGGCATCCGGGTCGAGGATGCGTTTCTGTATATTGCCAAGACGGTCAGGATACCTCAGATGGAGCTCGATATGGTCGGCGGCGGCGCGGCACCACAGCGACTTGATTGGGACGCTGAATCCGAAGCCCGCAAAAGGTCCAAGGGCTGCTGCTGATAAGGCAGAGCATTCTCATTTTTTAACCCACACATCTCTTCACATATCATCCACTTTGTTCGTCAGAACATTCTCTTTAGCTTCAACCCATCCTCTCCTCTCACATACTATCCATTTGTTCTTGAGCAACTTGACCATATCCCCCTTTCTGTACTTTTATTTTCAACTACTCTTGCCTACCCGCCTATCTTTTTTTTTCTCCTCTAATAAACATAATGCTCGTTGATTGTTTTGTCGAACGTTCTCCACCCGTTTGTCTCAACGAAACCATCCAGTCATCTATTGAATGCGCTAGTTGTTTGTTATTCATCCCCTTGCCCTTGGTTGACTTGGCTGACAAAACATGCTCACTGGAATGTACTTTTTGTTCGTGTTCGTGTGGTAACACAACACCTTCTTTTGTCATCCACCCTGAACCAAAACAAAAGCATGACCCTTGTTTTTAGACAAGTGAGCAAAAAATACAAGGGAGCTCGGGCCTTTGTGAAAATGTTTCAACTTTCATGGGAGTAGGATGCGCCTTCTTGGCTCTCAGTCTTCAGCAGCACAGTAAGCAAACTCAGATGCAAAGTCAGAGGGAGTGGGTCTACTCATACATACGCATATCTTGTTCTAGGTAGCGACGATTGATTGTCGCAAGTGCCTGAGATGACCATGTCAGCCGCTGTGAATTATTTTTTTTAATTTTTCGACAGGAGAGGAGAGGAGAGGAGAGGAGAGTAAATAAGGGATGGGAGTGAGAAGAAAGAGAAGACGACCTCCTTTGTTTTTTTTCCTGAATGGTTTGCACCATGGTTTATTCATAGTCGGCGTTTGTGTGTGTGTGTGTGTGTGTGTGTGTGTGTGTGCAGTTTAGAGTTGAAGTCAAAGGAGGTACATTTATTTATTTTGACAACCCCCTTGTCCTTGTCGCCGGGATCTCCTTGAACACGAATACAACTAAGGAGGAGAAAAGGGACAGACAGATAGCTTTACTTTTGTTACTACTCCTTTTTTTCCTTCTCTGCCCATGACATGATGAATGAATGAACATAAGGATGGATGGATACACACATACATAGCCGCAGAACCAATTGGTTGTGTGTGCCCCAGAGGAACCGACAAGGACCGGGATCTCTCTCTCTCTTTTTCTTCCTGTCCTCTCTCTGCCCACCAGCCAGATGTATCAGTCAGTCTTACCTTTCACTTCTTTCACCTATTCTCTCTTCTGTTCTTCCGTTCTTGAATCGAGAATAAGCCCTGGCTCCTTCCCTTTCCCTTCTACCCACATAATGCCCTGCTCCCCCTTCGCCATTTCATCCTCCTCTTCCTTCTTCTCCTCTTCCTACTACTCCACCTAATCACACATCCATCCACCCCCATCCTATATCCATTCCCTAAACACTTCATATACCCGTTTCCCTTCTTCTCCCTCATCATCACCAGAAATTAATAATGAGTTCACCAGCTTCACACAACCCCACAACAACATTCTCGACTCCCCTTTCCTCAACAAACATCACCACTCCCACCACCCACAACATGACATCCAAAGACTCCTCCAACGGATTATCCTCATCCATATCTGCCACACACTCAACAGCCTCTCGCAAAGCACACCATCCACCACTGGAGGCGATCCTGACACAAAAGGCACAAGCGAGTGTCACCTTCCGACCTGTATCTTCTACCAGCTCAGAGTTGGAGGGGCATGATGATATACTTGCGACTGCGGTTGTTGGTGGAGGTGGATTGACGCCGTACTCGCCGTACTCGCCGTACCCTTCTCATCCCGGTCAACAGTGCCAACCACCACCAGGACAACAACAGCAGTATAGGCAGCAGAGAGACAGCATTGTGATGATGGGAGGAAGATACTCAGAACCACCATTGAACACTGCATCGACAGGGAACGGTAGCTTCCCTTTCACACCTTCGACACTTGTTGATGCTGGTGGGGTCCCTTCTCCCGTGGGAGAGTATCGAGAGTATTCAGGACTGGATGGTGGTGGGCAGTTCCAGACGATTCCGTTGTCGCCAACAGCTCGCCCTGGAAAGGCTTATACGTCTCGGTCTGATATTGCGTCCCCAGACTTTCAGCAGCGTCAACTTCAGCCCCGTGCATTTGGTTCACGGAGACAACAGCGCCAGCAACAAACATATCCCGGTACCGGCACTGGTACAGGTACGGGTATTGCCACAACCCATCCACGCCCATTAAGCACCGGCAGCAACAACACCAGCAGCTATTATAATAATAACAAACACAACACATTCAGCACAAGTAAACAACAAGGCTCCCAGGGTATGGACCTGACCTACTCATCCTCCTCGGACGACCCCCGCTTCCAACACCTCCCCAACCTCTGGCAAGTCCTCCACCGCAAGACCCAACCGCCCGTGTGCTTATTCAACTTTTATTTGTACATGAGGGATGACGAGAAATCGAGTGAGGAGGTTGATTTCTGGTTGGACGTTACTGCACATGAGGTGTTGTGGCGGTTATATGTCCGTGCGACGAAGAGGAGGGTGGCGATGGCGGAGAGGGAGATGCGGATGGAGCGGGAGAGGGTCGAGAAAGAGGAAAGGGAGAGGGCCGAGAGGGAGGAGAAGGAGAGGATTGAGTTGGAGCTGGCGGCTTATGAGGCCCAGGTTGCTGCCTTGGGGTTCGGTTGTCATGATCTCGGTAAGTTTTGTTGGCATTCACTGTTTTGTGTGTGGTCAATGCACAGATTGTGAGCACTTTTCTCTCTCTATCTCTCTCTCTTTCTCAGCGTGTGGCACAGCAAACACCTTTTTATTATCTCTGTCACTCACAGTCACATCGTACGACTTGCTGAAATGAACAAAAAACTAGACGATAAGAGCAGTGCTCACAAGAAGCATCCAAGTGTGACGCTAGACATGTACGAACCCCACTGGTCAGCAGCCAACAGGTACTTGGAGATGTCCTCTCCCGAGGGCAGTTCCATCATCGACCCTGCCACAGGTGGCACGACCAACAGCACCAACCCTTCTTCGCCCACGACACCTCAACAGCATTATGATTTTACGCGGCAGTATTTGGATGATACTAGGGAGACGTCGGATCAGATCTTGATGGTCCATAATGCGCTCAAGAACCCTACTGCGCCGCCACAACAACAACAGCAGGAGCAAGAACAAAGGCAATTCCTGATGGCTGAACAACGTGTTCAGCATGTTCGTCTGCCGGGAGCTGTGCCTGCATCATGGGCACATCCGAGTGAGTTAGTGACACGGTATGGGACAGAGCCTGGCGTCTCAGACGGGACCTCTACGGGCGCACATCCCCCTACCCCGGCCGCCAAAAGGACACCCTCAGGAGCTGGAGCGAAAGCGAAAGCAGGAATATCAAGAATAGGAGTGACATCGCCGTTGAGTAAGGATGCCGGGATTGCTATGGCTGCCGGACAATGTGTTGGCACCGACGGTACCTCGAACACCAAGGCGACTACTACAACTGGAAACACAGGACCTTGCGCTGGTGCCGGTGCTGGCACTGTGGCCCGCGCAGCGACAGCATCACCGCGACGGGCAATGACGTCCGGAAGTGGAGGGGTGACAAAGGAGGATCTCCAGCGGTCGGCAGAACGAATCTATTACAAATATCTGATCCCGCAGGCCGAGAAGCGTGTCCGGATCCCGGGTGAGGTCCGACAGAGGGTTGCGATGTTGATGGATTCCAAGATGATGTTGAACCAAGTAGGTAGTAGTCAGCCGTCACTGGCTGTTACGAGTACAGGAAACGAAGGAAGTGGAGGAGTAGGACCATCAAGCCCAGTATTGAAACGAAAGAACAACCTCGGAAACCCTACTACAACTACAGCCCCCCAGTTATCCTCCAACCCCGATCTGACCAACGAGAAATCCGACAACCCCAAAGCTTCCTCCATCTTCGAACCCGCCCCTCCTCACCGCCTCCCATCTCCCACATCCTTGTCAAAGGAAAAACTCCAAAAACACCGCCTCTCCTCCACATTCATCCATAACCACAACACCGTCGGCCCAGGACCAAACTCGACCCTCCAACAGCCCGACCAAGATCTGGGGCTGGTCTTTGCAGAGGCGCGTGAGATAGTGTTTGAAGGGATGGAGTCGTATTATTTCCCAAGGTTCTTGAAGGCGAGGGCGTACGGTAATATGGTTCCCTCGCATCGGTTGATGAGGTGTATGGCGGGGTTGTTTTTCTTGTTTGTGGGATTTGCCGTTGTGTTGACGTTGATCTTTTTGAATATCCAGCCTCGTTCTTTGCGTGCATGGGTAAGTTTATCGCTCGTCTTCAGTTTGTTGTTGTGGAGCAATACAGTGCGATCATGGCTGACTAAGACGAACCCTTCTTTTCTTGTAACGCATTTGATTCAAAAGGCGCTGATCCCGATATTCATAGGAGCGTTCTTGTGTACGACATTCCAGTTCAACATCTGCCCGATCCTGGTCGCAATGGGCGTCAGCGAGACTAAATGGATGCAGTTTGTAAAAGTCAAGGAGCCTTACTTGATCAAGTTGCATCGGAGAAGGGCGGTGAAGGTTGTGGTTGTTGCGGTGTTGTATACTATCTGCATGGGAATTATCTTTGGGGCTATGCCTGGACATCGGCTTTGAGCCGGGGGGACTCCCCGAAGGAGAGGAGGAGAGGAGGAGAGAGAAAGATAGCTGATTGTCCCTATGCACACACTTAACTATTTTAGTTTTTATTGTAGATAGGAAGCGGTATGAAAGATAGACAGTTACACGTAGCCCCCACCCTAATGAACATTTCGCATACTCAGACATGTAGTCAGACACGCGTTTTAAGCCAGTTAATTCCAGTCAGAGTTTCGTCATCGGGAATAAATTCCCATTATTTCCAACATGTTTTCCGGGTAGCACGAAAAAGACAGTCCTGATCACAAATCGTGCGCTATCCCTGTGTAAGAAAGAGAGAGAGAAAGAACCCCAACTTTGACATACGCTGACACCCATCACGCATTATCCGCCTGCAACCCTCGTACCCCAGACACGGAATATCGTTGTGGGTCAGTCATACAAACCGACGATCGCCTTTCCCCCTTCTGTTGTCCGTTGAGAACAATCGCCTTTTTTAAATCTCCTCCTCCTCCTTCCTTCTTTTTTCATTCACCCTTCTTTCTCCTCTTTTAATCACATCCTACCCCCAAATGGCTGCTCCTTTGAAGACTCCCTTGGGATTCAACCCCATCCCCAACTTGTCGACTGCTGCCCCCATTGCCGCCGAGCCCGCTGCTCCCGCCGGACTCGTCGACCAGGTCAAGGGTGCCTTCCAGAAGGTCAACTCCTTCCGTGACAGCCTCAACCTCCCCAACCCCGGAACCTACGAGGGCGTCAACCGTGAAGTCAAGCGTAAGGAGGAACTTCCTATACCTACCAGCAACAACAACAACAATAACCCACGGCTACTCAAACCGTACTCCTTTTTTTTGGACGACTACAAACAAGAGTCGGGAGATTCGCTCCCCTAGAGGGAGGTGGCGAATCGTGCAGCAGAAGGGGGGCAATTGCACGCCTTTGTTTTCAGGGACAGACTTCAAGGAAGAAAGGGGATAAACACCTCTACCGGACAGCAGAGAGACAGGAAGTACACCGGGAGCGTTATTATTTTCATTCTTTGTGCTCGTGTGCATGGAGAACCACGGAGGAATATAAGTCAAAGAGTGCGATCAAGGAGATCACTGGATCAGTTTGACAAGTACCCATCAACAGAACTCTTCGTCAACACTGATCTACTCTTGGAAATAAGCAAACAGCGGTACCAGGATGACCAAGGCAAGAAGGAACCAGGTCTTGGCAAAAGAGTGAACAGACTGACCGACTAAGGACGGCGACTCGCTTTCAACACTCACGCACACGCACGATACAGCACAGACCCCATTGGTTACCCTTTTGCATTCGATCTGCTGTTGTCCAGATAACTAGCACATCCTCACACCTTCGCGACTACAGGCATATCAGAGCTCTTTCCGCAATATCGATAGGCCGTCTTCTTCAGCAAAAAACACCTTTTTGTCATTCTTCCTACTTCCCCCACCTCTCCGTTCCTCCCACAAACCATTCATAGACCTACAGCCTAACCACTACCATGTTTTCTTCATATCCGATAAAATAGACACCTTCTTGACCAACCATGTCTTTGATGGAGCTCGCTGCGATATCACCAAGGTCTTGACCCCCAACTTCCAAGTCACCCACTCCTTTGCCATGGGTGCTGCCGCGTCCCCCTCCAGCTACAACTTTGGCACCGCCTTCATTGGCCAGCAGGTACCCTGTTCTTCTTCATCTTGTCTGTTCTTGTTCCGGAGTACTTGGAATAGGTAGTAAGAAGTATGAAAACTGCCCGTGTTCTAATCCACAAGCGTCATTCCTGCTCAAAATTTCACTATGACGCAATAGTCGTTCTTGTCCGGAAACTTGGATACCGACGGTAACGTGCAGGCAAGAGCCAACTATGCCTGGAGCAACACCAACGTCTCCAAGGTTCAGTCGCAGGTAATACCAAAGGAACTTTTCTTTTTTTTGTCCATTTACTCATTTGCTCGGGGAGAAACAAACGTAAAAGACGCAAACCGGATAATTAACTATTCCCTACTTCCGAAAATATCCCAATGTTAGTTCTCAAACACTCCTGGACACTCGATGTTGCAGATGGAGCAGGATTACAACGGCCGGGATTTCAATGTCAACTTGAAGGCAGTCAATCCCTCGGTTGTTGATAGCACCGGAATCTTTATTGGATCGTACTTGCAGTCTGTGTCGGAGCACTTGGCTTTGGGAGCTGAGGCTGTGTACCAGCGCCCCACACCTGATCAGCAGGAGACCACCATGTCATATGTTGCCAAATATACCGGACGGGACTACATTGCAACGGCTCAGTACCAAGGATTCGGCGCCTTCTCGGCCGCCTACTACTTGCGCTACTCTGAGAAGGTTGATTTCGGCACAGAGATCCAGCTGTTGACGGCTGGTGGTCGTCGTGAGGCTGTTGCCACTGTCGGAGGCAAGTTTGAGTTTAGAAGATCGACCTTCAGAGGTCAGGTTGATACCACCGGAAAGGTCTCTGCCGTCCTTGAGGAGAAGATCGTCCCCGGCTTCTCCTTCCTCGTCAGCGGAGAGATGGACCACGGCAAGGTAATTACTGTCTTTTTCGTCATTTGCTCGTTGGTGACTGTTGTTTGATTATTCCTAATTCTCATATTGTTGTATCGTTACTAACAACTGTCTCCATTGTTGATATTTACTACATAATAGGGTCAGAGCAGATTCGGTGTTGGTATGATGTGGGAGGTTTAAAGCGGATCGACACACATTTTATTTAGAAGTCTGAGAAGTACGAGGAGCAAGAAGCAGGATCAGCATTTCTGGGAATCAAGCTGGACTGGACTGCATCCTTTTCTTTCAGCAAACCACCATCACCTACCTCTTTCTGCTCCACCTCAGGAATCGACATATACGCACTCACACTTATCATCCGCCAGAACAACAAAGCACCACACATCCTTGATAGAGTTCACTCCCCCATCACCACCCAAAGCACATTTTCATAAACAAGCGAAAAAAATAGTAGTATTTCAACAGAAAATGGGGATATTGGTCGTGTGTAGATGCGGTTGGTTATTTTTCGCGCACAACAGTGAACTGGCAGGTCAATTGGGTGCGTTTGTTGACAGTGCCTTTTCACAGAGCTCTCCCTTTTTGCATGCGAATCGCCATTCAACAGTTGAAAACGACTATAGGTAACATTGATTTTTTTCTGGAACGAGGATGCGAGGGGGTTGAGAAGTAACTAGAAGGGTGGCGACGACAATGTTGATGTGTTTTTTCGGATTCCAACACTGTGGCATTTCCATTTCATGGGCGCAATCTTGTCACTCGCTACTACAGCACCAGCGGTGACTGTGGCATCAATGTCAGGTTCATGGGAGACAAAATTCCACTATGAAAATGAGTTGGTCGTCTTGCTTCTCTATAGAGGTGTCGTTTTTTTTCGATAGAGAGAGTATGCTTGGTATCTTGCGCATCGATACCGTTTCTAGGCTCTGACAACATAGAGGTGATATTTGGTGTTTAGTGTTGCTGTTGGATGGCAACGTTGACTTTTACGAGGGGTTATGTCGAGGACGGACGAGTGACCAAGGTCGATGCCTCGTGTTGTGCAATCCTGGGGGCCCCTGTGGAGTGTCTATCACTGGTGGTTACGATCGTTCTAGTAGGGTCTGACGCGTCTCTGTTGGCGAGGAGGGGTGTCCCACGTCGGAATCGTTTTGGGACTCTAACGCGAGACAAATCATATACCGCGGATGTCAATCTTGAGGCCCGCTGTTGGACTTGATGCGGGCCTAACGGAGATTGCTACTTCAGTGAGGGTTTCTACGACGTTAGATCTGCCATTTTGAGGAGGCTCACCGACGCTTGGCGAGGTAACCGTAAGATCCAAAAAGGAAGACTTGGTCGTGATGCAAGCGTCTTGATGACGCCACGCTGACGACGCTGGGTAAGCCTCGAACCTCAATTGTAGCGAGGGGAATGATTGCTGACCTCTCACGCACTCGTGAAGAAATAGACAAGGGGACACAGACGCGAAAACCCTATCTGCGATTTTTTTGATGTGAGGTCGCCTGTGGACAGATGAGATGAGGCTGTTAGTAAGAAAGGCAAAGGCGATATCAATCCGACTCACCAAGGAAGGAGTACTGGGACGAGAGCGATCCGAGATGCGTCGGAAGAGGACTGGAGAGGTAGACAGGGTGTGGTGCATGAACTACACCAAAACAGATGGATATTTACATTAGTATGCGTAATGTGTAAAGAGTTCATGAATAAGACTTTAATGAGCAAAGCACGGATGTGTTACTTGGTGGAGGTCGCTGCACAAGGATGTGAATTATGTCACCTGGTGACCTTGAGTAAGCTGTGATCGATAATTTGCAAGTGGCTTAGGATATGTAGGTCCTGTACCAAGATGAACCCGCCGCCAATACCTTCAAGGTGCGTCTCGCTGGCGAAGCTCCATGGCTTGAAGGCTTCATCCCGCATCCCCTTATCACTCTGCAGACGCCCTATTCCCCGAGGAATGTCTACTTTGACTATGAACCCAAGATCTTTTTCTATCCTGAACGAACGTACAAAGACTGGCTTGAGATGGATGCACACACAACACTTGTTTCACTGGCGAGTGCTTTAACAATAACGCATTAGTCGGCACCAGCGGGAAACATCGCTTCAGGGTACTTTTCTAATTGCAAAGCGACTATTGCCCAACCACCCATAGTTAGAATGTGTGTACGTGAAAAACATAACTGAAAAGACAAACATTACTTTTCAAGCGTTATCACTCCCTTGTTGCTCTTGACGAGACGAAGAGGACCACGCGATCCGCTTCTCGATCCCTCTTTTCTTCATCGAGATACGGTCATTTACATCGGCCTCGTCCTGACTTTAACCCTTTTTTTCTCGAGATTCCACACAATTTCTTTGTTCACTGCCACTGAGGTGGTATTCAGAAAGACTTCCTCTATCCAACCAGCTTGTTCTTTTTGCTCTGTTGCACCTCCTTGTCATGGGCATGGAGTTTTGTTTTGCATGAATTAGCCATCATTATGCCTTTTCCGTTTTTTTTTTTACTTTTTTGCCACCGGGGTGTCATTCAGCGACCTCTTTTCTATCAGACTGCACTCAGCACCTCTACCTAATGCCAGTTCCTGTTTTTGCCATTCCGGTCATTAACATGAAAAGTGGATGATGGAGGCATTAACAAAAATTAAGATTTTTCAGTCACAACTTCACGTACAACGCCCTCACATCGTAACTATGGGTGGTCGGGCAATAGTATTTCTTTGTGTGTTGCAAGCACACTACACTTTGAAGATTGGGGGACAGTAGGTGCGTTGGCTATGTCTGCAGTGACGTAATTTTCGCGCCCATTGTCCTCCTTTCATTTCGTAGTATTCGAATAAAGCGTCCTTTTTCGATTCTATCATCACCTCACTATTTTAATTGGCACCTACTCCTACTTCTCACTCAGCAATCATACAACTACCGTAGTCGAAGTCAAGGTTCACCCTATCAGTTCTTGTTGCTCCTAACGTGCCTGAGAGGGTGGGATGCTTAGCATCACTGCCGTGAGTTCATACGGGTGTCACCTTTCAGCCACTGTCCAGAAGCCCTCTGCGTCTGGTTATGCTCATTGTTGCTCATCTGATGCCTCTTAGGTGGTAGCAGAGTGGGGAGCTTTTTTTTTTCTTTTTTTTTTCTTCAAGTTCCATGCCCCTCTTGCAGCCGATGTAATATGTTAGGGCAGTGGCTACTAACACTCTACCTGACAAAACACCAGGATGAAGTCTTTCAACGAATTTATTAGCACGGACAAGCACAAGCACGCTTCCTTTGACCAGATCTATGCATGCTATATGTCGTATCTCGGTCGTTTGAGTCGATATAGAAGTGAGACGGCAAAGCAGGAGACGCCCACGCTCGAGGAATGCCGCAAGTTTTACAAGGATATGCTCGCCCAAGGAACAGCGAGTCAAGCACTGGGTTGCGCCACGAAAATTGTTCGCGTTGCTGTGGACCAGCATACGGACGGTAAGAATCGAAGTCTTAGAATATTTTTTTAACAAATCTCAAGGGCTACACTAATCATCGCACTCGGATGTAATTATAGACACTACCAACGCGTTAACCAAAAGCGACGCCTCGACCAGATCGACCAACACGACCGCCACCAGCGCGACCACCACCAGCACGACAGCCGGCTTCACCAGTACAACCCCAGGTTCCACAGTCCCCAGCGCCCAATCCAGTGGTTCGTTAATGCTCTTCTTTCTTTCCCTGTCATGATAAATCTTGATAGATGGGTGCTAACAAATCTGTTATGATTGCTTTCGCAATTAGACCAGTCAATAACAACCAACCAAGACGAGAACGACGACGATGATCAAGAGGAGTTCGCCCTAGTAGCAAGCTGCACCCCGTTTGCCCATTTAGTTATGAAGCTATACAAGAAGGTAGGCATGGTGCCATTATCTTCTCTCTTCACTATGTTAATTTTGGCATTTATTGATCTCTTCTGTCTGATATCTGATATATATTATTTTTAACTCTGTCCATTAGTACGGTCACACCATTCATCCTAGCAATGGTATCATAGAGAACCATGTCAAAACTACTCTACAAATGGTCAAGAAAGATGTCGAGGCACTTGGGATGAAAATCTCCCATTTTTATTCAGTTATCAATAAATACTTGAACTGTATCATTGCACAACCCATCTCCATTCTCATTACTTTTTGCTAATGGACTCAGTAACTTTCGTGATGAACACAATCCACCCTCACAAAAGCAATTGGTCGAACGACTAGAACACATGACCAAAGTATTCTTCCCAGCAATTAGAGGAAAGAGTGACAAAAATCAACAATGAATGATTGAATGCTTCAACAGAACATTATTACTAAATGAGCTCCCTTACTTAGCAAAAATAATGACACTTGATCCTATACTTGGTGACAAATTAACACCTAGGTATGAAGGACCATACACTGTTGTGCACCGCAACGCCGGTGGAGCATCCATCCTACGTGATGGCACAGGAGCCCTTCTTGAGCGATACTATGCACCATCTCAACTCACACTTGTCCTTGATGACACTGGTGAATCAAATACACATGAAGTAGAAAAAATCATTGCAAGCAGACCACATCTCCTTGAACCAAAAAAAAAAAAAAAGAAAGGTACACTTGGTCAAATGGAAAAATTATTCCAGCAGGTTGAACACCTGAGAACCAGAGGAAAACTTTATTGAACAAACAGCAATCACTGACTATTGGAAAAACACAAAAAGCATATCAGCGCACAGCCTAACCTCTGCAACATCCGTGAAGATGTCATTCTTGATGATCCAGAATCAGAATACGGATCAGAAAATGAGACAAACAGTAATGTGAACAATAACAAGAACACCTAAAAGAAAACGCATACAAGCACGTAACATAAAAGACAAGTAAAATATGATGGATCACCATTGAAAAAAGGTCATTTCTCTATCCATTCACCTCACTGCATTTCTTTGTCCACGAGCTTGTGCCTCGTTCTCACAGGGGGAAGAGAGCTGTTGCATCTCAATGTATGTCCACACACTCCCAATTCTCTATTAAGGGTAGTAGTCATCAGTCCTTATATATTCTCATCGGGCTCAACAAAGACCCCCAGCTTCTTTCTCATCATTTTCCTCTCCCCAGCTGTTCATATCACACCCAGTACAACGGTTTCTCCCAAGTTCTCGTTCCTAACAGCTGGAAGCAAGAGAACCGAATTCGAAATCACAGCTTCCGCGGCACCCGGACTGTGCAGGATTCGCACCAAGATGACCAAGGGAGTGAACCTCAGCCATGAGAGAGTGGCGGTCTTTTGCTGTGACGGTGAACCGAGGAACCGATTTGCCTTGAAGCATGTGAATGTAACCGTACACTTTGATTGGTGTTTTTTGTTTAAGTCGGTCAGCCCAGAGTTTCTGAGGAAACTGACGCGATAACGCATCTGGCAGCACATTGAGTACACCAGGGCGGTATACAATGTTGAATGAGTAGGCATGATGGTATCAAACCAGGTGGCCATCATCGAGTTCAGATCTTGCTTCGAGTGAAGAAAAGTGAGAGCCCGATGATCATTGAACAACGTCAAACGGTAACCCCAGATACTGATGGAATTTTTTCAAAGCAAAAACTGTCGCTAGTAACTCCTTCATAATAGCGGAATATTTTCTCCCTCGGTCTTGCAGAGTGCGTGCCATGAAAGAAAGGTAGTTGACGTTCGCGGGAACGGACTGCATATCCTTCGGTTCGGGTACGCCTTCCGGCAACTGATACAGAACTGCACCAATTCCAATATTGGACGCGTCCGTCGCAACGTAAAACGGCCGACTGAGGTCTGGGAAAGATAACACGGGAGCTCGCACAAGCAGTTCCTTGAGTCCATTGAAAGAATCCATTTCATCTTTTGATAATTTAAATGTTCCTTCTCTATGACGAAGCGCACCAAGGGGAGCAGCGATGGTACTGTAGAGAGGGATGTATTCACGGAAGAAATTGAGCGTTCCCAGATACGATTGCACTTGCTTAGCAGTGGCAGATGGAGCCCATTCGTGAATGTTAGCCAACTTGGTGGGGTCGACTTTCTTTCCAAAGAGATCGACAATGAATCCCAGCAGAGAAATCTGTGTGCTGAAGAAATTGCACTTGCTCTTGTTGATGATCAATTTTGCTTCATTGAGTCTTTCGATCACACATTTAACGTGAGCTTCATGTTCTTCTCTGCTTTTCGAAAATATCACAATGTCATCGATAAAGTTCAACACAAAAGGTAGATCGCCGAGAATGCGAGACATACCTCTTTGGAACAGACTCGAGAGCGGCTTCAAACCAAAGGGAGCCTTTTTGAACATGTACTGTACTGTGATTTGATTGATACAAAAAAGAGTGAAGGTGAGAATGGAGATTCACGGGCGGTAAGATCGAATCACAACCTTTCTGAAAAAAGAATGCATGCGAAAAGAAGGAGTCGTACGGGTAGTGGGTCCCTCGGGGGAACCGCCGCAGGGGAACTTGTAGCCCTTGTAGTCGACGAAGACGTGGATGCGTCCGTGGAATCGTTTGGTGGCGTAACCTCCGCGAGGGGTAGGGTAGAGCATGGCCATATGTGCATCGGCCTGCTTTGGGGCCAAGGGGGCGAGGATGACCAGACCAAGGCACAACAGCCAGGAAGTCTTGGGTGTAGTTGAGAATGCGGACATCTTCCCCGTGTTTAAAAAAATAATCACGCACAAACTACGGGTAATGCTTATTCCTCATACGAATGTGGTTGTTTTTTTTTTAAACAATAATAACAAACAAGCCAGGTTTGAAGGGTCGTTTTTGCATCTCTGTGGCGGAGCCTAGAAGAATGATCTGTAAAGGAATGTACATTCGCGGCAGCGTCGATTTTTTATCACGCTACAGAAATGTCGGAGGAGTTTACATTAGCTGGGTCTAGATAATAGTTATGCGACATTCCGCTTCACCCTCTCTAATAATAACTTTTAGCCAAATTTTAGGTTTGACGCACAAAGCCCGTGTGATTGGATTGCACTGGGGCGGGAACAGGTGGGCACATCTAGAGTCCCTTGGCTGTGTCGAATAATAGGCTTTAGCCGTCATTTCATTCGGCATCGCCAACCATCCGCCCAGACCACTGAAGATAAGTCTACCTTGACAAAACCCGATGCTTTGCCCTGCCCTGCCCATCTCTTCGTGCTAAGAACCAATGAGTATGCTTGCTTTTTGTTTTCTATTTTTTTGGCTTTCAGCACAGGCCCTGACAATTCATTTGTCTAGGCCTTCACATGGCAACTCGTTTGCAGAGACTCCGAGTCTTTTCTTATTAATACCCTACCCTACAAGGTGGGATCAGCTGGCTGCTGAGATGGGGGGCATGGTGTTTCGATCGACCATTATTTTCCAAAAAAACAAAGGCTTGATTCACCATTAGCTCTTGTCGAAAGACACATTTTCTCGTCCCTTTTGTTTTATCTATTCTTTCTTCGCTTCTTCTCTCTCCCCTTCTTCTCTCTCCCCTTCTCCAAGTCACACACACACACACACACACACAACCTTTCAAGTCACCACATCTCCTGATAACCGTAATCATTACACTTATTGCTGCACGAAGACGTCGGAACGCCAGCAACCAAACAGCACCAAGGGACCTGGAACAGACTCGGAACAGGACCAAATCATGTCATCCATGGAGAACACGAGCAAGGGACGAGCGCTCGCCGGGTTCACACAGACCACAAAGGATAAACAGGAACCACAGTTTGTTCCAGTCTCCCCTCAAGACCATATCCAGCAGTTACAGCATGAGTTGACCATTTATCAGGAACAGCTCCCTAACCAAAACAGCCCGCAGTACAACCCTACCAATCCCCATAAGCACCCATCCTCGGCTTTGCGAGGTCCTCAAGGCCCTGGAGACCTTGTCGCACCATCTTCTCCTAAAACTGACCCATCCAAAGGTCCTCAAGGCCCTGGAGACCTTGTCGCACCATCTTCTCCTACAACTGACCCATCCAAAGGTCCTCAAGGCCCTGGAGACCTTGTCGCACCATCTTCTCCTACAACTGACCCATCCAAAGGTCCTCAAGGCCCTGGAGACCTTGTCGCATCATCTTCTCCCACAACTGACCCATCCGAACAATCATGCTGGTCGATCGTCGGAGACCAACAGGCCTGGATCGCCCTCTTCTACATGATGTTTGTCCTCCTACCCTGGACAACCTTTTGCTATGTCTGGGTTCTCACCTTCGGTCTGGTTGCTATGGTTCTGATGATCATCCCGCCCATCGGCTACCTCTTCACCGTCTTTGCTGTCTTCTCAATCCGCGCCTTGGCCCGCGTCGACCTGGTCCTCTCGAGACTCCTCGTCTCGGACTCAGTCGCCATAAAGTACCCTTACTTCACATCCAATGTTTTTATTGCGCCCGAACCAGGCCCCGCCCGTCAATGTCGTCACAAGAACCTCTGGCACCAAGGCGCAATCCATATCAAGACCATTCTGGATGGTCATACCTCCAATGGCTTCGTTTACTTTGTCGTCTGGAAGATGTTGTTTGCGATCCCTATCTTTACAGCTACTGTTATTCTATTTTGTTTGAACGTGCCCTTTATGGTTTGCTTCTTGCCCTCGCTGGTGAATGTTTCTAAGGCCTTTGCAACCTGGCAGTACCGTTGGGCTGTTACTTGGCTCAGTGGCAAGTCTGCTCCCATTTCCTCTAACGCCCTTTTTTCATGATCAAAAAACTCCTCTTTGTAAATTTTTTTTCCTGTCATGCATTCACTACAACAACATATGGTAACTGTAGATAGTTTTGTGTTGTAAGTGGCTTATTTTTGTCAATAACAGAAAAATTGTTATACACATGATCGATAGTTGACAATAAAATGAAATCTGCTCGCACCTCTGAACTGTTACTGTCACATCGCGTAATGTCAAATGAGGGTGATGTTGGAATAATAATGTTACAAAAAGATGTGGTGGCTAGGCAGTGGCGGCGATGCCTTAAGTTAGCAGTCATATTCTTTAGTAGATAGTATTACTGTAGTGCGCCGAGCCCTCTTGTATGCTCTTTGTCCTTTTACACATCACTTCTTGGACGAGAGCAGTATTGACAAGAGTTTCGCTGGCGCGCTGCAGGTAACAACCCCCTCTTTAATAATATGAATACAAGGTCATTTTACACATCACTTCTTGGACGAGAGCTGTATTGACAAGAGTTTCGCTGGCGCGCTGCAGTGTATCGTTTCGTGTGATTCTTTTAGGACGCTATTATCACTTCCCCCTCCCCCCCCCCCCCCCGTACCAATTGAGGACTTAACAGCGGTCCTACAACTCTGGCCGTCGACCCTCTCCCCTGAGTAACAGCGTTACCGGATTATTATTAACTTAAGGGCTACTAACTAGTTGTTGTTACTCAGGGGAGAGGGTCGAAGGCCAGAGTTGTAGGACTGCTGTTATATCCTCAATTGGTACGGGGGGGAGGAGTTGTAGGTTGAGGGGGTTGATAGTTGGGGGTAGTGATAATAGCGTCCTAAAGAACCACACGAAACGATATACTGCAGCGCGCCAGCGAAACTCTTGTCAATACTGCTCTCGTCCAAGAAGTGATGTGTAAAAGGACAAAGAGCAGACAAGAGGGCTCGGCGCACTACTAATACTATCTACTAAAGAATATGACTGCTAACCTAAGGCATCGCCGCCACTGCCTAGCCACCACATCTTTTTGTAACATGGTTACAGCCGTGTGAATTGGAAAGCATGCATCAAGTCCTGTTTAGGTTTCTGTCGTGAACTCGGACTAGGCAGAGCAGGGATGACCTTTCCCACGACAGGGTAAGGCGATGGGAAGTGAAGGGGGAAGTGCAATGCAGGGGACAGAGGTTCAAGGTGTTGAAGAAGTATTATTCAAGTGCTAGGTGAAGAACTAAACTAGGAGGGAGAAGTTAATCGTTTTACATAATAAACGGTGTAGCTGTGTATTTCAAATGAGGGTGGATTTTATTACTGTGTTAGACAGTAGCAAAAGAAGTGGTAAAAGAAGTGGCAAAAAGAAGTGGCAAATCGAAGGCATTTGTGTTCATATGGCTGTGCGACCAAATAGGGAGATTGACTTGGGATTCGCTTAACCTTCGATGGGCGCGACAGTTTCAGAGTTATTTGCATTCCTCAAAACATTTTACCCTACTAGAATCTAGTATTCGAGCTACGTCTTCTGTTCTAAATTGAGAATAAGGCTTTTTCGCAGCGCGGCGAGCCGTCATCCTTATAAGCTCCGTGACGTCATCACACTCCGTGGCTTCTCCTGTACGAGCCGATACATCATTCACCGATTCAGTGTAACTCGCCATAACATCCGCTTTTAAAGCCATATGGTCGGCTTGATAGTTAAGTTCATTCCGCACACAGGCTCCTTTTTGGTTCATCCATGGTACATCCCTATCCCTCAGACGATTCGCCCCTTGTGCGGCTCCCAAACCGAAAAGAGCGCAGAAAATAAGCAAGTGTCTGTACTGCATTGCTGAAAACACAAAGGTTGATATGTAAAGGGTCTTAGTATGAGCATCCTCATGTTAATTGCAATGATACCAGGCCGCGGGGTGATCAGTGCTGTGAAATTACCTGTGAGGGGATCTTGTGTGGGTTCTAGTGATAGTATGTGTGAGGTTCTTGTGAGGTCTCCGCTACAGATTCGCGTGGATTTCTTGAAAAGGTTCGTTGGAGCGCTTCCTGCGAAGTGGCTATGCCGAGTGTTGTTGTTATCTTGAAAATATTGGTTTAGTGGTGGTGCATGACATTCGAAGCTGTCTGCTTTTATACCAAGTACGCTCCCATTGACAACGCTCACATGTAACATATGGTAAGAGGAAGGCTAGCATCAATTAAAGCACAAGGTATGGCCATACATCTTTGACATATTGTCAAATATCGCGGAGGGTCCATTTCTGTCCAAGAAATGCCAGGGAACAAAACATGTGTTCAAGTGGAGCTCTTCTTGAAAGCAAAAAAAGATACAAGCAAGGCATGGTCAAAAAAAAAGAGATGCCAGGGGAGGAACAGAAAAAAAAGATGTTAGGGGAAGGACAGAGAAAAAAGATATGATGGGAGGACAAAAAAGAGATGTCAAGAGAGGACAGAAGATGTCAGGGGAAGGACAGAGAAAAAAGGATTAAGGAGAAAGACCGACGATTTAAAGGAAGGTAAAGAGAAAAAATGATGCTAGGAGTGGGACAAAGAAAAGACAATGTCAGTCGACACTTTGTTCACTTACACTACCATTTCTTTTACTTGAGGATAAGTTTATTTCAGTCTCAGCTACGCGCATCTTCCGAAACTGGTCTACGCGTAAACATGGCTTTGTTCGGTTTCGTGATATTGTTACAAAAAGATGTGGTGGCTAGGCAGTGGCGGCGATGCCTTAGGTTAGCAGTCAAATTCTTTAGCAGATAGTATTAGTAGTACGCCGAGCCCTCTTGTCTGCTCTTTGTCCTTTTACACATCACTTCTTGGACGAGAGCAGTATTGACAAGAGTTTCGCTGGCGCGCTGCAGTTTTGTGTGATTCTTTTAGGACGCTATTATCACTTCCCCCCCCTCCAACCTACAACCCCTCCCCCCCGTACCAATTGAGGACTTCACAGCGGTCCTACAACTCTGGCCTCCGACCCTCTCCCCTGAGTAACAATAGGTCTTTCCTTAAGGGGTGAGCTTGAAACTTACGAAGAAAGAGAAAAGATATAAGGAGAGGGTCAGAAAAATAGATGTCGAGGGAGGGACAGAAAAAAATGTTAGGGAGGGAACAGAAAAGAAAAAAAAAAGTTGGAGGGACAGAAAAAAAAAGGGGGGGACAGGAAAAAAAAAGGAAGGGACAGAAAAAGATGTCAGGGGAGGGACAACGAAACGAGGTGTCAGGGGATGAACGGAGACAGATTGAGAGGTGCGAGGAGAGATATCTGGGACCCTCGTAGGAGATAACAATCTAAAGGATGACTAGCTTGTGGCAGCCAAGCATTCATAGCGACGTTGCTTTTTGATCCTTCGATGTCGGCTCTTCCTATCATACTGAAGCAGAATTCAGTAAGCGTTGGATTGTTCACCCACTAATAGGAAAGAAAGGATATATTGTGGCTTAAGCAGCCTTGATTGAAGTATTTTGTGCGATGGTTTTGGTGATTTCGCTAAGTATGGTGTGGATGATATCGCTACTAGATTGAGTGTATTGATGAAGAAAAAGAACGGTGTTGGCTGTTGAAATACTAATGAGGCAACAAGACAACAATTGTGGGATAGTGATGTTGAATTGGGGTTTGATATCAAAGGTCGGAAGATGGAAAGACAAGACCTTATCAAGGTCATCATCAGACCAAAGTGGTTTGGAAGTGTGTTGCCTAAGGATTGTTTGCCAAGCGATGTATTTAGGAGCACACTGAAAGATGTGATGCGCCTTGTCCTCGCGTCGCTCACGACATCCAGCCATGTTGCAATGAGGATCCTGCTTCCAGATCTTATGGCGTAGAGTTCCGTAAGGGAGCCAATCCCTTTGAATTCTCCACCACATGGTCCTGGCCCGGAGTAGTATCTTTGCACCCCATAATTGGCGCCACTGTTTCGAGGTTCCCATCTCTGGGTGGGTTGATGAGTTTGGGTCTGGTGGTGGTGTGTCCTGCCTCAAAAAGGCTCGAAGGTGTTTGTTCGTGGCCGATTCCAGAGTAATAAGATTACTGTCGTTTGGGATCAAGACAGAAGAGAGGATACGTTGTGCCATTGTATCGTTCTGTGTGACCTTGGGTGGGTTCGAGAGCGCTTGTTGCATACTGTGACGCATCCGACAACGTTCTTGGTAGGCTTGGATCCCTAGTTCCACTTGAGCGAGGTGGAGCTTGGGGGAAGGTGTGTTTTTCTGACCAGTTGGAGGAGCCCATTGTTGTCTGGAGAAAACTGAAAGAGCTCTTCCACTCGGAGTCTGAGGGCATTGATAGTGGTGTCTGTCGTTTCAAACCACCTTTCGATTGGTGAGGAGGCAAGTGTTATGGAGTCAGGCAAGGAGTCAGCAAGGGCCAGTGCTTTGAGGGAAGGAAGGAAGGACGCCGCGGATACCAATCGTTGCAGGCCGGGGAAACCTTCCAATAAGGATCTGTACTGTCCGTCCAGGGGTTAAATAGGGAACGTGAGCTGGGTTTAGACCGTCGTAAGACAGGTTAGTTTTGCCCTACTAATGAAATGTTGTTGCAATAGTAATTGAACTTAGTACGAGAGGAGCCGTTCATTCGGATAATTGGTATTTAGGCCTGCCTGAGCAGGCAATGGCCCGAAGCTATCATCCGTTGGGTTATGGCTAAACGACTCTAAGTCAGAACCCGTGCTAGAACGCGACGATTACCGCCTTTTCCGATTTTTAGTTGAATACGAATAGATCCTCGGATCTTGAATCATACTACGTGGGGTTACCTTGCCGAGCGGAAAGGCTTTGTAAGGTTCCTGCTAATGTTAATTTCGAATATTGGAAGAGATAAATCCATTGCTGACGACTTTAATTGAACGGGGTTTTGTAAGCAGTAGAGTAGCCTTGTTGCTACGATCTTCTGAGATTAAGCCCATTGTTCTATAGATTTGTTCGAAAGAACAACATCTCCTCTCTCTTCTTTCTCTCTTTTTTTTCTTTCTTCAGTGCCGCAACTTATGGGTTGTTTAAAATAGAAATTCGCTGTCGAGTTGTAAGTAAACTAGAAGTCTTGCAACCCCATGCCTGAAGAGGGTGTGTCCTTGCATCTCTCTCTAAGAAGATTTTTTTTTGGTGTGCAGCTCCCACCATGCCTACCCATGCCCATGCTTGAGAGGGTGGAGGGTGGAGGAAAAAAAGGAGGTTTTTTTTCTGTGTGTGCGCAATAATGGTATGAACAAGAACGATATTCCCATTTTCCGGCCGACCGGTATAAGTTGCTTGCCAAAACCCTTACCTTTAAGCTACGGCCATATCGGTGCAGATAGGTCGAACAATCTGTATGCAAATACGATGCACGAGCGACTATACATTCCTGCTTGTATGAGGCTACCACATTTCCACAATGTGCTTTCGGAGTGAGGCCAACGAATACCTTTTTCTATTGCGGGTAGATGAGAAAGAGCTGCATGGCCACTGGATCGACCTGCTTCTTGGAGGTTAGGGCTTTGACTCGACATGGAACAGCCAAAAAAAATCGCCCATTTCACGCAAGATAGTGCACACGGTCAACTGTATCGACTTAATAGACAAGTTGTTTAACGGGAACTGTTTATTTGAACAATCAACATGTAATTACACCTTGATTCATATTGATTCATATCGTATTGTGGGTTGATCTTAGAAGGAGGGTAAGTGACGGTAATGGGGTCGTTGCAAACGTGGCCCCAGAGAAAGTCGCTCCCAATGAATTTAGAAGCAGCTGTCGCCGATGTGGTTGCCGCTGTTCCAAGTGCCAATGCAACAGGCATAGAAGGCGCGGCAGGAATTGTCCTTGCCAAGAAGGCCGTAGCAGCGGCGGTCGGAGCCCATTTGACCGCCGTTCAAGCGGCAGCACTCAGACGAGGCCTGGCCCCAGAACTGCTCGTTCTTGGGATTGTAACACCACGAACCTTGCTCGGTCGGAGCGGCACTGACAATGGCAGAACCGAAGGCGATAGCAACAGTGAGGGCGACGATGGACTTGTACATGGTAATAGCGAGTGGTTTACTAATAGGCCGAAAAAGCAACAAGTTCTTTTTAGTCGCAAAAATAGATGCAGTCTTGTGAATGTAGGTGTAGACACTAGGGCTTAAGTAAATTGCCTACAAGGCTTGGAGCTGGGAGTAGTTAGTTTGGTCTTGAGAGTGTTGGTTGGGAAAGTGTTCTTGAGAGTGTTTGATGATGAACAATCGACGTCGTTGTGAAAGACCTTTTATAGCTGGGCCTGAGTCGGCGATGCAGGGTTGCGACGTATACGAACTATCTGCGGAGCTCCGTGGAGCGTATTGAAAGGTTGTTAAGTGAAGCCCCCTCTCTGTGAACGAGTGGCAAAGGGAAACACTTTTCCTCCTCACCCGCGTAAAAATAAAACACGGCTAGTGTTTGACTGGCGTCAGAGTCAGAGAGCGTCACTTACTGCCTTGACTAGAATGCCTACCTAGGCCTCTGTAGGCACGTTAACAGAAATTTCTATAGGGGCAATACCTAGTGTAGCTCACTTTCGCGGGCTGCGCAATAGAGAAAATTAAGTACAGTCGTCCAATGAAATGCAGTAAAGTCTCTCAACGACCCTTTTCTAAGCTGATCAAAAATAGTGTGGAAAATGCGCCCAGAATAAGGAGAGGGCAGTAACACAATGGGCAATGCCCTCGCGGCAGTATTGCGGAAAAAATTATTTTTTGCTCGGTCCTGCCAGATCATTTTATCGTTGGCTTTTATTTTTTTCCCACCTGCTGCGGCACTACGCACCAATATTTATAAGCTACCCAAAGGGGAGAGTGGAGGCGCAATTGTCTTGGTCTTTCCAAGCCACTCCTCTCATACCCCGCGTTAATAAGAAAGAGGACCTCGGTAACTCGAAAAGGTCTCTCGACTGGCCACTGCCACATTCTAGGATGGCATTTTTACGTTCAACGGCTACAGCCTATCACACGACACATAACTCTAAGTCCTACGTAGAGAATTGACTAGACCTCCCTAGTTGTGTAGGATGGTACAAAAAATATAACCGCATTATGGAGAGCCGAGGCTGCAGAGTGTAGACGAAGACTCGGTTGCTCACTCAATTGAAAAGATACCCAAGGTACAGATGATGAAGTATTTCAGTTACTGGTGTGGTGATGTAGATGGGGATCTGCTTTTCGAGTGATATTTTGGTGGCGTTCTTGTGACCACCATTTGTAGTGTAGAAAATGAGAATAAATAATTCTGAACCGAGCTATTGGCTCGGGATGCTTCTTTTCTCTTACTCTTTTTGATCCATTCTTTTGTTGTGTTTCCTTTGAACAAACACCAGTGAAAGCAAGATCAGCGCTCCCTTTATTCTCGACCTCCTTTATGTCGCGACCAATACCCAGGCGTGAGAAGACGTACGGGCGATCGAACAGTCGGGACGCGCGACGAAAGCATCATATTCCAGGGTCTACTTCATTGTCAGTACTCTTTTCACCATCATTTCACCCCTTCCTTCCCTTGTTTGTTATAAAGATCTCATATATGCGAACTCCTTGGAACTACCTCAGTCGTTCCTTAAAAGAACTCAGTCCTTTTTGCTCTTGGTGTCCGTTTGACTAGACTAGATCCCCTCCTATCATCTTTTGTAACAAGCAAACACATCACGACACTAGGTAAGGATCAGACTATCTGGGGAGCTATGGGCTATATACATGTGTTCGTGTGGCAATAGAAAATCGACCTTTCTCAATGTTCCACGCCAACAGTTCGCCTATTTCACTTGCATAGTTAATCTTTCCGACAATTCGCCCACTTGCATTGATCTTTCCCATCAACAATTCGCCCATTTCACTTGCATGATCGATCGTGCCAAGAGTTGACCGTTCAATTACACTGCCACGCAAGAGCAGGTCATTCAATTACACTGCCACGCAAGAGTAGGCCATTCAATTACACTGCCACGCAAGAGTTGGCCATTCAATTACACTGCCACGCAAGATGGCGGAGGTATTAAAGTTTGTAGACTTACTGTATGTCACAAACAGGCAATGTCAGAGTGAACACACTCTCTTCTTATTACCCTTCAAAGGTCATGGACAGCCACTGATATACGATATACGACATTAACACTTATTCAGAAGGCGGCTGGGCTGTCCAGAGTCTTTATTTTTTCCTGGAAACTGAATCCAAATGTCCGACCAAATTGCTTTAAGTCGAATCCGACGAATATTAGAAAATTTTCGCAGATTCAATTTTCCTTCGTTGAAAAAGCTCCACGAAGGAAAATTGAATCTGCGAAAAATTTCTAATAGCCATCGATTATCCCTTCGTCTGCTTTAGGCCGCTTTTTGTGGTCGAAATTTATCCCTTCGATTGATTCTGCGAGCAGGGTCCTCTCCATATTTACAAAAAAAAACACAGAGAGCACCCACTCCGCCACATAAAAAAAGAGGAACCACCACGAGAGGAACTTCCATATCAACTTATCTTCCTATCACCTTTCCTTCACTTTTAAACGTCAGCGAGATGGACAGGCAGAACAATAAGTGTGGATAAAATAGTCTCAGAGCCGAGCCTTCATAAAAGATAATGTTGTCAAAACCCTCTGACAATTCAGACGCCTCTCACTCCGAATAAGAGAGTTTGAATCAACCTCCATAAATGAAATTGACTCCAAGACAGAAAGGAAAAAAAGAAGAGCGACTCGCTGGGACTAACCATCAAATGGGAATCACAAACCACACTGGCTGGATCAAGGCGACAGACGGAGTGAAGAAAGATCAGACCAAGAGATGCGAAGTCAACTTATCATCGATGTTTTTTGCGTTGGTGAACGCGCTGAGTTTCCATGAAACGGTGCAGTTCGTTGCAAAGTCGGCCCGACGTCATATGTCTAACTACGCAACAACATCGATACAGCAGACTTCATCCGGCCCAGAGCGAGCAACCGACGCCGATGACGCGGGCATGTCTACTCACACAACAACATCTACACAGCAGGATTCATGCAGTCCAAAACGAGCAGTTGACGTCGAGGATGAGGACATCGCCGACACTGCTTCCTCTAACAAACGCCTCCGACCCCTCCAGCTCCGGCTCGTCGACTCTCGTTGAAGACATGCAACGATTGCTGGCGACACAGCCATCCCAGATTAGGTTCGACGAGAGTCCTCGTGATCTCCTTATTGCCTCTCTGCCCTCGAGATTCTATCTTGCCTTTCTCTTTATCGTGCTCAAAAGATAACAAATCAACGCGTAATGTCTCTCAACACGACGCATCCATTGCCTCTATCGCACTTGATTTTTAGAAATGCTCCGATCTCTCGTCACTTTCCCTCAATGCAAGTAATGCTTGGATATCGTAAGTAACCATAATTTTCTCAGTCACAACTCAGCTCTCATGTTCACTTCCTTTTCCCACTTCCTGCAACACGGTCAACGATCGCCTCCATTTTGACTATTTCTATCCACATCCCTTCACACATCAGTATCACCACCCGAGTCTGTCTCTTCAACGCAATCCCGCTGCTCTAGCCTCACCCTACACGTCCTTCACCTCCAGTCACTGCCACCCCAGCAAAACCATCGCAAGTTACCACCAACACCCACCATGGCCACAACGAACATCGAGTGACAAGTCGGCCAAGCCCGAGACGCCACCCATGAAGCCCCCCAGATCGTCGCCAGCAAAGTTCAATCGGCACTGGAGCCCGTCAACCAGATGGGTATAGTCCCGCACTATGTTTTCCCTCCCGCGGGATACCTCAAGAATCTATGTGTCCAAGCCCCCACCAGTGTCAAGATTGGGGTCGTTGGGTTTGGAGCCATGTCGGCTTTTCCTCTGGGCTGCTTCATGGGCTTCATGGGGTTTGTCACCCTTGGGTCCTTCATCATTGGAGGGATTGGATTTACCATTGTTGAGGTGAGATATGTTTCTTTGGCACAATGGCAATGATGATACGCACTCGAATACCAAAGCCTGATAGACGAAACTGATCCGAAACTCCTTGCCCTAACCCATCACCATCTACATGTGCCAATCATCACCTTATCTCTGTTTAGGTAGGATTCGCAATTTTCAGCTTGGTTTCCCTGCTCCCAGCCTTGGGAGTCTCGCTGCTGGTTGCCTGCGGCGTCGGGTTGGTCAGCATGGTCGCCTATGTCGGGTACCTCATTTCCTGTGCAGTCCTGAGTATGATCTGAGGACATGGTGACTTGCGCAAGGCTAAGCGACAGATCCGGGAGGCCAAGCAGAGGGCTAATAAGGGCGGTCGACGAGCCAACGGCTAATAGAGTCGAACAATCACGAGGGACCATCGCACTAAACAGTGGAACCAGGCCTGGTGAATGAACTGGAAATAGGTACCCGAGCGGATCAACGGCGAAGATTCCAATAACAGTTTCCTTTAGGATTGGCACCAAAGAATTCGGAATCGACGTATTGGATCATTAGGCCTCCGTCCTGCTTGTCAAAGATCGCTATCGCCAGTCACATGGAGTATTCGATGCCCATTGAATAAAACCTGCATCCAGGAGCTGATCGTAGGCAGCACAGTCATGGTCGGATAAGGCGTTGGACTCTAGTCGTCGTTTATTGACTTCCAGCCAATGGAGAACAAAGATGTGATAGAGTTGAACGCGGGTGATCTTGACTGTTGCAAGGTCCTGCAATCCCTCTGTGACTGCGGGCAGTGTTTCCAGCGAGGGCAAGGAGAAAAGGGCTTTTGGCAAGACTCATGAGATTTGGGACCGTGGTCAGCATGCGCATATAGTCCTCAGTGAGCCAGGGACGTGGCTCAAGGGGGATGTAACGAGTGACATAGTCCTCAACTTGCTGCGTGGAGAAGGGTGCTACGACAGCTTCCTGGAAAAGGTCGATGACAGGTCGCCGGTGACCATCTCCTTGCGGAACAAAATGATCTAAGTAGACAGGGCAAGAAACTGGGAGTAACAGGAGATAATCATCTTGGCACGCTACTGACCCTGCTGGTTCAGTCTGTTGACTCTGTGGAGATTGATGGTGAGTTAGCTCTCGTCGTATCCGTCGCAAATAAGAAGGAACAGGCAGTGGTGCTTCATCTCCTGAATCTGCTCCTCGTAGAGTTATGGCACTGCGACTGCTTCTCGATCAATTCCTTGGCCGGGTTGTCGATAGGGAAGAGGGATGGGTCCGTCGTCCTTGTAGTCCTTCCACAGCGTGTGCTCCAGTTTGAGATTGAATGTCGACTTGCCAGCATCGGAATCTCCCAGCACCAGGAACACTTGTCGATCCCCGGTCAGGAACTCCAAAGGAGGCCTTTCACGTCCAAATTATCATATGGTGTTTGTTACATCTCTGTAGATCTCGACAATATCCATAGCGACTATGGGATGAGAATGTATATATGATACCAAGCATATAAGACAACCATTGTAACATTTTTTGTTTAACTATCCTACTAAACACCAACCTATTCTCCAAACAACAAAGCCTTCTTATTTTTCGCACACCACACTCTTGAATGTGTCCATCTACTATTAACCTGTAACCCTCACTGCAAGATTCGCCATAGTAGTTCTTGTATGTGATCATCTAAAGCACTTGTACTCTCAACTGTATCTTTGGGGCGAAATACAGGGGAGAGATTACATTTTAAAAATTCTTGTGCTGTCTATTGCTATTTTATTCTGCGTTCTGTTGCCCACTATGAAGAGATATGCCAGTTATGGAAGTCAACACTCCGCTCCTTGGACTTTGGATATTTTTTATATGCCTTTTTATATCCTCTGCACATGAAGGGGCCGCAAAGCCTTCTCCATGACTGGTAAGAGGGCGTCGTCGCGGGCCTGAAGATTGGCCTTGGCCATAGGAAGAATGTAGATCAGTTGACGTGACTCCTCAAGGCGTCGAAGTCGGAAGCTGTCGAAGTCACTCTCCAGATCTACATTTAGCTGATCCTCATCGATGACATTGTTTTTTTTCGGGACCCACATTGTGGCACCTGGAGCAAGCATGCTTGTTATAAAAGTCGTTCTTAGGATCTAACATGCAACGACTTAGACTTAGCAACTGTCATGCATAGAACATAAAGGACTGCGAACAGAACACGCAGGTTCTTTATTGAATAAGGACTTGACTGACGAGATGACGAACCGAGCCTATTTCATTATATGGCAATGGTTAGTACAGTGCGGACCATAAGCGAGTTTTAATCGATCATAGGTGGCGATACAAGGCTTACGAATGTCCCGCGTTGGAATCGATAGGGCAATAAAAAAAAGAGTGAGAGGGTTAAGGAAAGAGACAAAGGAAAAAGGGTGGGCCTTAGCTCTAGAAGACTCAGCTACGAGTGTTAAAGAGGTTAACCGGAGCCCCACGTAGGTTGCCGCGCTGAAGCCTCTAGCGATAACGAGACCCGCAACGGTGTTTGAAGTGTAATCACCCAAACGCACGTACAATGGAAATCATACCAAACATTACCCGCTTGGAGTAATGCCGGTTCGGCTAAGGCTACATCATGGCTCTAGAAGACCCTGCTACGGGTGTTAAAGAGTTCCCAGAGCCCCATGTAGGCTGCCGTGCTAAAGCCTCTTGCAATAACGAGACCCGCAACGGTGTTAGATGTGTAACCATCAAAACGCGCGTACAATGGAATTACTACTGATATTATGAAGGAATACCAGCCGGGAAGGTAGTCAACCCCATGCACCACGTTAGGCCGGTGAAGAGATAGATGGATCAATAAGGAAGACAAAAAGAAAGTTGGATGGCAAGAATGGAACGTTAGCAAAGGAGGATATGCATGAAATACTTCATACGCGAGTGAAAGGAGGACAATGGGCGCGAAAATTACGTCACTGCAGACATAGCCAACGCACCTACTGTCCCCCAATCTTAGAAATACTAGTCTAAATTGACTTGAAATTGCACCATTGAGGTGTCAAGCAGAAGTGGACGGACCACCCTCTGATTTCGACCTCTTGGGAGGCTTGGATGCGTTCGAACGTGGTTCATGAGAGGTTGCTGCCGTGGATCTCTTGGGAGGGTGGGGTGGGTTCGAGCTGGAACTGGGTTCCTGAATGGCGGATATCTCAGCCTTCCAAGGCATATTCCCGTCCTCGTCCACCGGTTGTAAATAATCTGGCCTCACTTGATCCACCAGATAGCTCCGAACGATGTTACACATGTTGTGTCCTGCCAGAACATCTCGATGAATAAACGACTTGCACGTCTTGCAATAAAGACGGCGTATGTCAACTTGACAAACAAAGTCTTTGGAGATGGGACATTTCTTCGACGTGACAAATTCATTCACGCCCAAGACAATGTATCCCAGGGACCTTGTCTAAAATAAAACGATACACAGGAAATGTTAAGGGAACGAAGCATTGCATTGTTCAAAAACAAAAAACAATGGCCCATCTTCACTTACAAGCTGTAGAAAGTAGCCGAAAAATGAACCGTGCAAGGAACTGAGACCAGAATTGGACTTGAACTGGCCAAGGCCTATTCCGATCACAACCATATCATCGTCCTCCTTCTTCCGGCCAACTGAGCCTCCCACAGCGTTCAACAAGCGATTGGCAACAGTTTTAAACTCCTCTTCCTTGGCGCGCCTGGCGTCCCAACCATGTCGTTTGTAAAGCTGGTTGTTGCCGTTATAAAAATCGTCTAGCCGATCCTGTACTTGCGCCAGTTCCTCCATGTACTCGACAACGCTGACACCCTCGCCACGAAGGGGAGGCAAGCCTGACTCCAGGTCCGAGATGGACTGTTCTGCACCTTGAGGGACAACCTTGTTCTGATCTTGCATCCATCGTCGGTGCTTCAGAGTAGGCTGAGACACAGCTTTTTGGGAGACGGCCACGTTATGGAAGATCTGCTGGTCATCGGACGTACTAGAAGGAGAATCAGCGGAAGCCAATCGAGCTAGAGCAGATGATGGGGTAGATGTGACCAGGGCTCGTGGGAGTGTCGTAGATGTGGAAGCGATCGGTGCAATCAAGGATGTCGAAGGAGTGATAGTCGTCGTGGCGGGCAAAGGGTTCGGCGGGGTGGAAGCAGCCGTTCTGGAAGAGTCCGGCAGCAGCACGCTGGCTCCACAAACGAATGCCTGGCCAAGATCGAGACAAAGAATATAAATATTCTCAGGTTTGCAGCTCGCCCAATGCCGCGAGACATCCGCTGGGGTCTTGATGACGTTGCGAATTTCCAGCAAGAAGTAGTCGGTGCCGCCGATAGTCGAGGTCAGGCGAGGAGGTAAGGCCACCTCTGGAAGCCGCTTGAAACGCACAGACTGAAGTTCCTTGAGCTTGAACGACAAGAGCTGGAGGCGAAAACCATCCGTTCGGATCGATGCCCTGAGCGCATATCCCTTGGAGCCATACTCGTTAGGAACAAGGTTTCCCTCCCTAAGCGGACGCAGATGATCCCTGATCTCGTCCATCAAAGTCAACTTAATTGCACCCCTATAACCTGCCTTGCCTCGCTTGCGGGCAGAGAGGTTCTTGGGACCAACATCGGCCAGTAGCGACTTGATGAGGAAGCCAGGCTCTACAGTGTCCAGCCAGATGTTTTGCAAATTGTCGATGGAGGTTTGGTTGAAAAGGTGTGATCCGCCCAGAATCGAATCCGGTCCTGTGAGAGCTGTCGACCACAGAATAGGACCAGCAGCTCTCTTTCGGAAAAAGACAGGAAGCCGTGCTCTCGAGGGGATATGGGGACGATTCTGCGAGGATTCTTGACAAGCTTGTTGAGCGTCGAAAAATTCTCGACCGCGCTCAGATTATTGTAGATCAATAGAGTGAAACCGCTTGACTGTGTGTTGTTCCCGTCCTTGTCCTTGTTGGCAATGATGTCCTTATCCTTGTTGGGAGCGGTGTCCATGTCCTTGTTGGGAGCGGTGTCCATGTCCCTGTCACCAACGGTACTCTTGTCCTTGTGGGCAGCGGTATGTTCGGCATTACTAGAGTCCCCGACAGCATCAGCATCCTTAGGGGCATCCACATCCTTTCGAGCATTCGGATTCTTGTCCTCATCTGCACGGATGTTGGGAGGGTTTTGCTTTTTATCACGCTCGAACTGAGTCCTGAGCTATAAATAAAAAGAGATATGGACAAGAGCGATAAAAGTCAGTTGTTAACACAAGGTCTGTAAAGCTTGAAAGACAGACATGGTAATATTTACCTGCTCCAACAGCTGAACGCTTCCATGCCAATAGATCTTCTTCATTTCAACTGCGAGTTGGACAGAGGCTGAGCGAACAAGTTCACCAGAAGAGAACGCCGGTTTCTTGTCAATGGAACCTCTGATACGGACAGATTTGTGCAGTTTCATCTGCTCCAACCGCTCAATGAATCTGTTGACAACGATGCCAATTCCAGTGTTCCTTGGATAGTTGTTTGAGTAGAGATATCTCATGAAGCATCCAATAAATTGAACCTGTCTGTCAGAAGTGCCCTCGTCATCATCCAAGGTAGTGCTGTCCTGGCTCGGCAGTGTGTTGGAGGCGGCGTCTTCAGTCATCTCTCGAGGAATAGGCGGGCAGATCTCCTTCAGGAACGCTTTATCGTTGGAGGTAGCGCCATCTCTGTCAAATCGTTCAAAGTATGCCCCGAAAAGACCTTGATATTTGCGTTTGACCCGGTTGGCTTCCTTGACAATCGCCTGTACACAGTCAATCGTTTCGTTGGCCACTGCACTATCCTCCGCCAGCTCGATCGGATCTCTTGAGATGTCCTTGACCTTGGGAGCATTCTTGACGTTTGCCTTCAGCGCTCCAATGTCAGAGTCGCCATGGGATGTTCCCACGCAAGAGCCTTGACCAGGTGTGCCTTTGTCATCTGGTCAATGGAGGGGAGACGGGGACCTCGACGTGGGGCCTTAGGCACATCGGTAACGGGAGCAGTTGGAGTCTCGTCGGGGGTTTCAGACTTGTTCTTCCAGGGTTTGAGTTTATGCTGCTTCATTGCGCTTGGGGATTCGTGCGACTTGCGGGTATGAGACTTCAAGGAGTAGCGCGGTCGATATGGTGCAGGTGGTGCTGGCTGTTCCTGCTGTACAACATCTGTGGTAGTCCTGTATCCGATAGGCTTCTTGTCCTGTGGCGGAGGTCGGTCGATCACCCGGTACCGGTTAAATGTTTGGGACGCCTTGTGCCTATAGACACGATCGCGAGTCATATCACTATCAACAAATAACACTATGGTCAATAATGGCGACGTGAAAATATAACGCAGTTTCAAGGTTAATCGACGAAAAAGAATCATCGTTAATAGGTAACTTTACCTCTTTGCTGACAATTTCGCTTCCGACTCCGCCTTCCTCCTCTGTGCAAGTAGTTCCTTGGCATTATCGAACTTGGCCTTGATCTTGCCCGCAGTCAGCGCACAAAGATTGGATTCTTGGCGGGGGATGGGGATCTGTTGGCCGTGCGCAAACACCCTGATAGATGCATCGAAATCCAGCCTGTTCTTGTTCTTGATAACGACCTGCGGATCAGTAAGATAGTCAGCCACCATGGTGGGGATATCAGAGCCCAGTAACAAAGAATGATGATACATTTAGCACAATGTGAACGTTTTGTTTGTCCATGGAAAATAACAACAATAGCAAAAAAGGTACCTGATAAACTCTTGATTATGCTAAAGTTGGTAGCGCATCCTAGCCCGTATACGTTCTTGTTATAGTCGCTGTGCGAAACAATACCGAGGACTGTCAGCTGTGTCCTGCTAATAGCCCCCAAGGTTGCCATGGCGTCTTTCATTTGGTACTCGAAAAATCGGCCGCCAGATATCGGCCGCCGGATCATAGTGACGCGAGGATGGATAGCCAAATCTGAGTCACCAGAAATGACTACATCACCATCCTTGCAATCCGCAGCAATCTGGATATCAGCCTCCGTTGGGGATCGAGTCACGGTCCAGCTCTCCTTCTCGAGATAGATGATCAGAGACTCACGAGCCTCCGGGTCCCAACAGAATCCCTTGGTGAGATTTTTGTTGACGTTGATATGTTGTTGCTTCCGAATCCTGAGGCCATTCTCCACACGCATTGCAAACTCATCGACCTTCTCCTCGGCTACCTTCAAAGCTTTTTTGCGAGCGTCCGCTCGTTGCTGATGTGTCTCCTGCTTCTCCTGCGCTGGGTCGCCGTCAAAGTACAAGACCGAATCCTCACGACGACCAAGCTGCTTGATACGTTTCAAAACGAGCTTGTGGGCGTTCTCCAGAGACGATGAGTGCGAGTAAGCATATCGAATGGTCGGAAATATAGATCCCTGGATGTCGATTCGAACCTTGCTATTAGGCTTTGTCAAGGCACTGTGATGGCGTAGATATCGTATCACTGGTTTGTGCTTCTTCTTGGCGAAAAAATTCCAAAGGTTTCTCCAACCCATGGTGAAGAAGTCATGCAAAGGAAAAGTGAAGGAGTGTTGAATAAAAGAGGAGAAACAGGGTTATTCCACATTAGGAAATACGTTATTGCCGTTCACCAAAATCAAATTCCACGCGAGTAGGTGACGTCACCATAATGTATTTCCTTGCCGTATCCCCTAGTTTGTTTGTGGTGCAAATTTGCACCACATTTTTTCGATTTATCCAGGTTTCCAATAAAACGGGTTAGAAGACTACATCGTGGGAGTGTCATTGTCGTCTTCGTCACATTACATTCATCACTCTCGGATTCAGCTCTTTTTTTCTCATCATCATCCCGCAACCCATTACCTTTTTTTCTCACACATCGACTTCACCCTACTCACTCATGGACTCCAGTCTCGAGTTTCTCGGTTCCTTTGACGTTTCTGACTCTCAAGGCACCGTAGTAGCATCTGCGGAGGAGGTTGACGAGGCACAGGAGGAGGAGGAGTTGTTGTTTTCGGTCCGTTGTCGTACTCGACCAACGCCTGGTACAGATAGCTCTGGGGACGAGGAGGAGGAGAAGGCAGGAGATGAAGGGGTGATAGATGCTCCAGCTCCACCGACAAAGAAAATGAAGGCTGCCAAGAAGGCTGCTAAGAAGCCCGTTCGTGAGACTAGAGAACTCCCGCCTGTACCAGATTTTCGACAATATCTTTCGCCACTACAAGGATGGACACCCAGCACAATCCAACCTTCCCCGTGCTCTTCAACTCGACCAAGAACTGGCACCAATAAACATATTCAGCCTATTCTTCAGCGGCAAAGTATTTTCGGATATGGCCACCTTCACTAGCGCATATGCAGCATCAAAAGGAGCCGGCACAGGAGAAGGATTGCGCCAATGGGTAAAGACCACACCTGACGAACTGCGCATATTCCTCGGCATCATTGTCTACATGGGCGTATTCAGGCAGAACACTGTCTCTGAGTATTGTTCAACCTTCCCTGAATGTCCTCAACACAACATCACTACCTTCATGTCCCTCGTCCGCTTCGAACAACTGAAGCGTTTTTTTCATGTCTCCAACCCCAACGAGCCTGAGCAACATTGGTTCTCAACGGTAGAGCCTGTGATAGATGGGTGCATTTCTCTCTATGAGTTCGCTTCCTTTTCTTTTACTTAACGAAGAGAGTCACCACTCTTGCCCTCTGCTAGCCTATAAAAGCTAGCTGCGGACAATCGCCCGATCCACCTCAGGCTCTTACCGTGTTCTGGATGGACAATAGACCTGTCTCCATGCTCTTCACCGTCCATGCCCTCAGCCTCGGCGATAACGACTGATCCGCTGTCTATGATCGCAGACGCCCTCGAGAGACAAGCGCCAACGCAAAGTCAGTGCGGGATGCTTATAAAGGACATTCCAGGGCGTTACTCCCCATCCCAAAAATCATCGATGACTACAACCACCACATGAACGGAGTCGACATCGCCGACCAGTTACGCAGCTACTATTCGACTCAGCTCAGGACTTATCGCGCATGGGCTCCGATCTTCTTCTGGTTACTGGATACAACAATCATCAACGCGTACCTCATCAACAAACTCTTCGGCTCTTTCATGCATCACAGGGGGTTCCGACAGTTGCAAGCTAAGGATCTGATAGTGTCCGCCAAATGTCGCGACACCCCTACCCAAGTATCCCCTTATGTCTCGAAAAAATTCATGGGACCAAACGATGAACTACTGACTACTCATGACTGGCTCCCATTTCCCCGTCCGAGTCAAGGACCGCCCCTACTGCATCCTGTGCAGATAAAAGAAACGAGAAGACATAACACAAGCATATCCTCAACCGCCCAGCGAATCTGCTCTCTCTGCAAGGTTCCTCTTTGCACCAAAAATGATTGAGGAGTATCATACGCGCCATGGGTTTTAGAATAGACTAGCAAGTGGCCGCGGCTACGCCGCGGGCGCTGCGCCGGTTTCTCGATTCCCAGGCTTTGGTGTGTAAGGGCTAGAGGTGTTGCCGTCCTGGGGTTTTTCCTCATTCATTTTGCATGTGTTTTTTCAAAAGGGGAGAATATTTATTAGAAAAAAAAAAGTGAGTGTGAACTCTTCCAAAATAAAAATACATTTTTGATTGATTCTATGGTGTGGGGTATGATTACAGGACTCTCTTATAGACAACGTTTCTAGTGTATGTGCCCTCAAGCCCGGGGATGCTGCCGTCGATGATAAGAACCTTGACATTTTTTTCGTCTGTGCATCGAGAAAGAGCAACATAAAGCTGACCATGTGTGAACACAGGAGTAGGGAGATAGAGTCCGACATTTTCAAGGGTCTGACCCTGCGCCTTGTTGATCGTCATGGCAAAGGCAGGCCTGACCGGGAACTGTCGTCTCTTGAATGTGATCGGGGTGGACTTGTCGTCTGTTGTTAAAATCGGCACTCGTGGGATGAAGACCAAGTCGGTGGCAAAAGGTCCCGTCAGGATTGTTGCCATGATGCAGCGTGGCCTGAGCCGGCGGACAATCAAGCGAGTTCCGTTGCAGAGTCCTTTTTTTTGGTCCACATTTCGGAGGAGAATGATGGGCATACCAACTTTCAGCACCAGCTTGTAGGGTGGTAATCCAGTGGGGTCCAAAGAGTTGAGATACTCTGTAGGACAGTTGGCGACGCCGTTGGTGTCTGAATCCAGAACGGAGTCTTGGCCAAGGTACTCTGTTGCCTTGCCAGGAAGTAGTGTGGTCGGGAGGTTGTTCATGTAATTGACATCCTTGTTCAGTGTTGTCAAAATATCGGTGCGCTTGATGTCGTGAGGTGCAAAGTTGCCGATGGAGATATTGGGGTAGATGGTGCGGATAAGTTGGATCTCGTGCTCGTTGCTGAGATTGGGTCCATGTGGTGTAAAAAGGATGTCGTCTGGAATCCTGATATAATCATCAGAGTCGCCAAGGAAAATGTCTGCTCCTTGCCTTCGCCCACATGTAGCAAAAAATCGACGAACGAAAAAGAGCTACTCTTGTCCTCCATGACTCGCATATTGCGAGTTAGCTTGAGTGTCTTGACCTTGGGCCAAATGGTGCCAGACATCTTTAGACATGCGCCCTCGATCTGAGACTGAGATCCATTAACAACCACCGGCAAGACCTGTCGAAAGTCACCACCGAACACGACAATCTTTCCGCCGAAAGGAACCAAGGGTCGATCCATAATATGTCGAACGATCCGGTCCACCGACTCAAACACATGTCGATGCATCATGGGTGCCTCATCCCAGATGATGAGGTCGGCCGCATGAATAATGGATCCGACTTGTTGCTCGCGGGTGATATTGCAGGTCGAGTCTTTGAAAACTGGATTGGGGAACTTGAAGACAGAGTGTGCAGTACGTCCACCGTGAAGGATCAGAGCTGCTATACCGGACGACGCGAGGACAATAACATTCTTTTTCATAACACCACTGATTTGTTCAATTAGTGTGTTGTAGAGAAAGGATTTGCCGGTACCACCTGGTCCGTCAATAAAATAGAGGTTGGTCCTTCGGGGGCGGATGGGTATGGAGACGGAGGCGATGATTTCGTCAAATATTACCCGCTGCTCGACATTCAAGGCTTGAATGTGGGAACCCGCCAGCTTGGCGAGCTCTTCACGTGATTTTTCGCTGTGGTCGGAGGCGGACTTTGGGATGTAGCGGAGAATGCTGTCGCTGATGTCTTGTGGCATAGTGGGAAAGGCGGCCAGAGAAGGGAGACAGAACCTCTCGCCGTCCTTAGGCTGGACAAAGTAGATCCGGGCAATCTTGAGGGTGTCCTTTTGATTCCTCTTGTCCCACTTGCGATTGTTTTGGTCGTAGGTGTAATGCTCGCGAATCTCGGCGTATGTATATTTATGTGCGTCCTTGTCCTCTTGGTTCAGCTTAAAGTAGGCCATCAGTTGACTGTCGTTGTTACGGCGGATGACACAAAGTAGATCCGCGTTTTTGTCAAAGGTGACGTTGTGCTGGCCTATGAGATGGACATGTAGACGTTGCACAGCAGGTGAACGACCGTACAAAGGATATCCAAGGATGCGCCACATGCTCTCATGGGAAGAGAGGTATCTCATATCGCGAAATTCGCCAATCTCGATGCGTGAAGGATGCTATTATACAAACGATAGCAAACAAAAAGAGAGTGAGAAAAAATAGTAAGCAAGGTGTTGCAATGGTCAGACATCCAGGGAAAAAAATGCGCCAAAAAAGTACCTCCTTGCTTGCTGCATTTTTTTTGGTGTGCAGTGATTGAGCCTTCAGTGGCGGTGGTGCTAGACCCTGTAGCGGTAGCTGTGGCAGTGACGGCGCTGGTGCTGGTGCTGGTGCTAGTGCTAGTGTTGGTGCTGGTGGATGCAAAGACGACGATGGGATTGATCAGTGGAGGCAAACAGAAGACCCTTCTTTTTCGAGGGCGATCTTGGCTCTGCTCGGTCCATTGGGAAAATGAAAAATGAAAAATAGTAATTTGTGTATGTCCATTGATGCTTTGACTTCTGTGCTGCGATACTATTGTTTCTTTTGCTTTGATAGAAATAAGGGGGCAATGAACAAAAGACATACCTTACGGATGTGCTCGTATAAATATTTCACGGCAGAGACGGAAAACCATATCTCGACATTGAGGTGGGTGTTGAACTTGGTTGCCAGCCAAAGGTTGTGAGGCACGACCCAGCTATTGTCGATCTCTGTCGGGAGATTATCGGCCAGTTCTATTTAGTTACACCTTCCGGCACAGGCATCCAAGGTCGCCCTCTTAGTCCCAAAAGACCTGGCAAGATGTTCAAGGTGGCCGACAGGATTCCGGCCATCACACCCACACTTGGTGCACATGCTTCTGGAGGTGGGAACTGGCGTGCGCGTGTTCGTGATGCTGTTGGAGCCGCAGACGTTGGCGTTGGAATTAGTACCGCTAGTGCTGGTGGTACTGGTGGTGCTGGTGGTGCTGGTGGTGCTGGTGGTGCTGGTGGTAATGGTGGTGGATGATGGTGCCGCTTCCGATTCCTCATCAGTCTCCTCTTCAACAATCATTCGCCGTCGCTTGTCCAACTTAACCGAGGTTGTCCCAACAATGGGCGGGCGATCGCTATTGATGGTGCCGTTTTGGTAGGCATCGTAAATGTCTATTGAAAAGACATTGTCAAATTGCCATTCGTCAGCAAATCACTCAGGACGTCAATGAAATCATTGTCGTCATTGAATCCATAGTCTTTGTCCGTGTCCTGACCAGTGACAGGGACGGCGATAGTAGGTGTATTGTTGCTAGAGACGTTTTTTGCAACCTGCTTCTGCTCCTGCTTCTGCTCCTGCTCCTGCTTCTGGTCTTGAGTTGAGTTGGTCCTGAAAAAGACCCTTAATCGACGTCCACTTACCTTTGAAGTTGGCGTTGGGGTGGGGAACAACAGTGGCAACCTTGGGCTTGAAACCCCGGAGGTGTGTATACGCATCCTCAATACGTAATGTTGTCGGGGACAGGGTCATGAACAGGAGCCGTTGAGATCAAGATGCTTCTGCTGTCGATATCAGAGGTCATGTTGTTGACGGGGACATCAGGGGTTGGATCAGAGACATTCACGATAGTTGCATTGTCGTTCTACGTATCGTCTGTATTGCAGCGCCTGCGATTATTGAGAGTGGTGCACCCTTTACAATGCGCTGCAGTAGCCGAACCAAGACCTTAGAGCTCAAAGAGGACTGTTGCCTGCGATAAGTAGGAAACAGTACTAAAGGTCAGGGATGAACAGAAATGAACATAAATAACATAGTTGCATATAGACACTGACATAGACTTACTTTGGAGCAGCAGCAGAAGAACGGGTTCCGGTACGGGTATAAAGAGGCGTGGATGGTTTGCGCATGTTGAAGAGGATAAAACTTGAGACTGTAGAAGATATGTCAAAATATGGTCAAGGATTAATGAGAATCGATACTGAGAATTATGAGACGCTTACCCTTTTCTAAAAGAGAAATAATACAACCTCTTCACTCTCCTTGTGCCACGACATACCGTTACCCTACTGTTCACTGACCATGCTCAGTAGATTGGCGTCTGTGTTCTCTTCATTCTTGTTCTTCCTTGTGGTATGTGTGCTCGCGTCTTCGTGTTTGTCCATGCCAAGCTGAGTCCTCATGTCTGTCCATGCTGAAAAGGATGGTGTATGGTCGAATATGTCAATGGAAAGAAAGAGAGGAATATTTTATTTCACACCTTAGAGGGGGTAATATGCGTACGCAACCCACTCTGATAGTGACGTTCTCACTTTGGTGTTAACATCATGAGTCTGGTGCATTTTTTCAAAAAAAAAAGGGCCAAGCTGCATCTTCATGTCTGTCCATGCCAAGCTGCATCCTCATGTCTGTCCATTCCATGCTGCGTCTGCATTCTCATGTCTCATTTTGTCCATGCCATGCTGGTGGATGTCTTTTTTGTTTCTGGTGTCGTTTGTTGCTTGCTGTTGTTGCTATTGTTGTTTGTTGCGTTGCAGTTTTTGTTGTTGTAAAAGAAAAGAAGGGGGTAAAAAAAGGAAGATAACATGATGTCGAGGATGGAGACGTCACGCCGGTGTGCAATTATGCAATTACAGAAAATTGGTGTATATCATGTGATAAAGAGACATTGATTTTAATATATGAGAACTAGAAAGGTTGCCCGTGGGCGATGCCACGGGTGCCGGAAGTTGCTGTAAGGGGATCTGGGGTGAGAGGTGTGGGTCTTTGAAGGGTGTTTGAAGGGTCTTTGAAGAAGACTCGTTGAAAGATACGGGTGCCACTTGCCTATTACCTTTTTCCTTTTTCAAGTGTAGTGTGACTGTAAATTTTTCACAACTACCTGTGGCCAATGGCACGCTTGGGGAATGTAGAGCTCATACCTGTCGAGTTTCCTGTTGTGCCATAAAGAATAATATCCCTGGTCCCAGCTGGGCCCAGCTGACCTCCCTTATTAGATAGTCATCTTAGTAGCTGGGGAGCCATCCCCCTGGCCTTGTTTGTATTCATTATTCTCTCGGATCACCCTCACTCGCAGTATATTCAAGATATCCTTGACTACCCTTTGCTCTACATCACGCCAGAGGATTTCTTGCTTTTTAGTAGGCTTGCAAAAAGGCTCGTTCACAGCACACTGGTGCTTCGCGCTAGATGGCCCAGACGGCCACGCTCCAGCGGTCGCTTCCTTTTGCCGCAGGCGGCAACAGGTATCTGACAGCTACAGCTTTGCCCTTACTAAATATTGGGGCTTTGCGCAAGAAAGTTTCTCTGGTTCGGGCTACGCCCTCACATCCTCTTCAAAGCCCCTTGATTTGGGCTACGCCCTCATATCCTCATATCCTCTTAGCCCGTGCCTGTACGCTCGCTGCGCTCACAGGATACTGGCGCGCTTTGCGCAAGATACTCTTGATGGCCTTGCCCGTGACCATTGCTCGCTTCGCTCACAAAGTACGGGCGCTTGGCGCAAAAAAGGTCCTCTGGTTCGGGCTACGCCCTCACATGATCTTCTCCCTTTCGTACCCGTGCGGTCACAACATACTGGCGCTTCGCGCAAGATACTTTCGATTGTCGCGCCAGGGCGCGCCCGTGACCATTGCTCGCTGCGCTCACATCCTCTTGAAAGCCCCTTGATTCGGGCTACGCCCTCATATCCTCTTAGCCCGTGCCCGTACGCTCGCTGCGCTCACAGGACACTGGCGCGCTTCGCGCAAGATACTCTTGATGGCCTTGCCCGTGACCATCGCTCGCTTCGCTCACAAAATACTGGCGCTTCGCGCTGGCGCTACGCGCAAGATACTGGTGAGGGCCACGGCCCTCACAACATTTTTAGTTCGGGCTCCGCCCTCACGTGATATACAGAAATCGTTATTTTTTTAAAGAGAAAGAGATTATCTCAAAGTGAAGTTAGAATTTTAAGGTCCTGTGCCCTCTCCACCTTGCATCGCGTGTTACTGCTACTATTAAATAAAAGAAAGATGCCAGCTCTCCAAGTTGTCCATTGTTGCGATGGTCTTCCTGAAATGGAAGAAGATGACACAGACGCTGGTGGTGATGCCGGTGCTACTGATGTTGACGAGGATGTTGACGACGATGACGCCCTCAAGCGACCCAAGAAGATCATTTTCAAACCGGGTCATATTCAACTCTGCTGGTGATACTTCCTCCGCTTAGCATCTTCCAAGCGACTCCGGTTCTGCATTCAGGCCAAAATGAGCGATTCTTCCATCGACATCAACGACAAAGCGTTGGTTGCGCTTCTCTGGGGAAGAAGACAGTTCAGCTAGACAACGTATAGAAGGACACCCGCTACACTCACAACTGGGCAGCCGCCAAACAGCGTTCTTCGTACGGAGAGGTGATCAAGGAACTATTCATCGGGGACCGGATGCCATCGAGGAAGCCAGGAACAAGCAGCAGACGACATACGGGAAGAGGACAACAACCATGGCTGAGCGTCAGGAGACCCATCCACACATCTACGGACAGTTGGAGCTCGCGCGGTATTGACGAGGAGGGTCATTTTTTTCTGAGAACGGCACAATGCCTCCCTCACGGCCAGTGGGGATCTAAGAGTTATTGGGTCGTAAAGCTAAAAAGGAGGGTGTACTAGGGCCATGCAAATGGCCTTCTCACAGGAAATGACATATGTGTCACAATCAATGATTGTATCAAGGGATCAACTGAACCCCTCGCATGACCCTCGTCCTCCAACCCACGTAGGGAGCCGCGAGTCTATCAATGTTCAACGATCAAGGACATGACGGGAACACATTGTCACCCGTAAGGACAGAGACATATAAATAAGGCCCCTCTTTCCTCTATTTCTATTTTTTCTTTCTTTACTTACTCCTTCCTTCCTCCTCTCCTACCTCTTTCCTCCTTTCTCTCCGTCTTTCCTTTCATCACCACCATTATACTATCACAAAGCAAAACAAAACATACACGTACACTCCTTCCTTTTTTCTCCTTTTCACTCGTTGCCAACACAAAACGCGTTTTGCTTTTCTTTACCGCCTGTCCGCCCAACCCACCCGCCACCGTCAAGTAAGTTGATGCAAGTTGCGAATGAACGTGCAAGTCGATGCAGGAAGCCCATGTATGGATCCTAACCATCGTTGTCGTTATTAATTTCCATTAGTCTAGCACGGGCCTCCATTCCTAAGAACACAGCGTAACATTTATATTTCTACATTTTGTCGTGATGGGAATCCGTGGCCTTCCCAAAGAGCTGCACGAGAGCGAGGGAATACCTGGGGGGTCTTGTAAGGATGCAGGAAAATCAACACACGTGGATTTCCTATGCCGCTTCTTCCGCTTGCTACAGGCACGTGCATTCCAAATTCTCCAACAACGCATCAAGGCCGGGTCTGACTCTGCCACAATCACGCCTGCCCCAGAGCTGCAGTTAGAGACCGAGGTGCCCGCAAGATCTCGAAAAAGGAAGAACATCGCCGAGCACAACTCAACCCCCAATACCCCTTCCCTTGATGTCACCATTCCTTTTGATCCCAAACAGACATTGGATGAGCTGATCGAGGACAGTATTGATAGACTCGGCTACAAGAACCTTTTCCTCAACCCAGAAGGCCTGTCCCCTGTCGACAAGAAGAATCTGCAGGTAACCTACAATTGTGTTTTTACTCATTCCGTTAGAAGTGAAGTGCTCGCTCGCCTTGATTCCTCTAACCTTTGTTTTTTTTGGGCACATAACTTATTAGACCTTCCGAGCAGTAGGACACGTCCTGGATGATATCCTGTCCAAGGAATTCGACAAAGAGCTCACCATCATTCATGTGGACGGTTCACCATCAGAGCAGAAGCGAGGAGAACATCGGCAGAGAAACGCGACCCTAAAGCGAGCACTGGACAAGCTACAGACGAAGGTCAGCGGTTCAACCCGGTCAACAAAGCAGCTCTTCAAGGCCTGCAAGAACAACTACCGCCTACCCCGAGGGAGTCTCGAGCAGGATATCCTTCCGGTGTTGAGAGAGAAAGGCTGGCAGATCCACCTGTGCCCGTATCAAGCGGATACATGCCTCTCAAGAGTGTGTCAGGACGCCCCAGACCCCGACTCTGTCATGATCGTCACTTCTGATAGTGATCTAATTGTCTACGAGGGGATCCGCCACATCATGATGCCCGTGGGCAAGACGAGGGAGTTGCAGTTGTTCGACAAGACCAAGCTCCTGGACCGTCTAGATCTGCCGTCGGAACAGCACCTTCTCCTTGTCTGTATCGTAACCTCCAACGATTACGTGAAGAATCTTCCGTACTTTGGGCTTCACAAGAACTGCGACATCATACGAGACTTTGATCTGACAAGCCTAGGGCCGCTGGGAGGATCTGGAGACAACGACCACAGAGCCGAGGCATTGATGCCGTTCATTCAAAACTACCTGGACGAAGTTGAGCGTCAACTGGGGAAACGGAAGAAAAGATCAATACAGCAGACTTCTACTCGACACAAGCAACAGGAAATCATCCACATTGGCCCGGAATATTATCGCCATGCAATCACCGCATTTTTCAAAAGGATGGAGACGCCTATACAAGAACCGCTGTAGCAGGACGACGAGAGTCCTCACTCTCACGATATCATTACCATGATACTACAGGAACTGTACTCTCGCAAAAGTCAACAACAGCAGCCTCAGCAACCCAGGAACGACACCCACACCTTCACACAGCACCTACCACCAGAGCGAGTCCCGATCAAACTGTCTTCTACCAAGGACATGGGCATGGACACCGATACGAACATCGAATCAGCACCCCCGTCAACATCCACGCAATATGATTCCAAGACGATCTCCGAATGCACCCGGAAGCGGAAAAGATCCCTGAAACACAAGCAGCAGCGGAAGGATCGATTCAAGGCTAAGAAGTTAGAAGCCAAACACAAGCAGTGGAGAGAGTCACAGTAAGTTTAGTTACACTTTGAAGATGTTTCAAGTTTCGTTGAATTCCTACGCTTCGTTGCAAAGTTCATTATTCCCAATACTCCTGTCAACTTAGGTTCAAATCAAGGACCGATATTCAGAAGAGGTATTCAGTCAGAACTGTCAACATCCACGACGCCCCAAACGTCGATGAGGCTGAGCTTTCCCATATGACTGTGCCTAAGCCTCGCTCCCAGAAACAGTCATCTCCGTCTATCAACAACCCGGTCTCCGACAACAACGCCAAAGATACATCCAAAACAACAAGCGGTTCTTCGTCCCAGCAGAAATCCAGCGAAAACTCCCAACAAAAGAAGAAGAAGCGCAAACCTAGGAAGCGCAAACCTAGGAAGCCGAAGTCTGAAGTTGCACAACTTAAATCCGGATTCTCAAGCACCTTTGCAATTTCAACACAGACGATCGGTAGTGTTCTGGGGTGCCTACGGCGATCACTATTGCCGGCACGAGAGACTGGGCGACTTGCTAAACTCAGCGACGAGGATATCAAGGATATGGCGGTCAGGATCGACTCGGCAGTGGCGACGATGGCAGAGGCCAGGATGTTTGTTTTTCGGGCAGTAGAGATTATGATCCTTGATCAGCTGTTGGGAGGAGAGGACATTTCGGGAGCACTGGATGCTGTCGCTGGCGAGGAGGATGCAGGAGAGCCTTTTGACGTGGTCGAGTTACTGTTGGAGAAGGCCGCCGGGACCGCTATTATCAAGCATGTGTTCTCCTTCATCCTCAACGGAGAGATCGAGCGCGGTCGCCCTAAAACAGTCAAGGAAAAGTCCAAGGCGGCGAAGAACATCTCGAAGGCTGCTTATGATCGTCTCCGTCAGATCCTACCAGGATTTCGGCCTGTCAACAAGGACTCCATCTGCGTTGGACGGTTGATTGTTGATGCAGCGGCGGAATTCTCTGTTCAGCTGAGAAAACATTTTCGGGATTTGCCATTCACCATTGGAGCCAGGGTATGTGTCCATATACGTAGTGCTACATGATCCTTTTAGCCTACACCATTTTCAAATACTAACTCACAGTCCTTGCTCGACTCTTAAATAGATGTTAAAGTGTGGTTGGAGCAAGACCGACCTGCCAGCTGGATCATTTAAGGAGCAGCCGGGATCCCAGACTGTTGGAGCAATCCAACAAACTACAGCGGAGGAGAGGGATGACGATGACGACGAGAAGGACGAGGATGACGACGAAGAGGACGTAGAGGACGAGGATGAGGAAGAGGGCGACAACGATACCAGCATGCGATTTGCCGGTGGATACATCCGTCACTGGTGGAAAGAGGCCGAACGTCTGCCGCCGGCTATGCGACCTCTCTTCTGCCTTCGACATAACTTCACCGATCCGTTCATCACATTTGAGGAGCGGGCTCTGCCGCCAATCCTGTGGTCCACGAGCAAGAAGAATCCGAACCCGTGCGCTGCTGCTGCTTCCAAGATCATGGCCGCCAAAGAAGCATCCGCACTCGTCGAATTGACGCACGGGGAGTTGATCAGGATCTTATTCTATGGAGAACCAGATGAGATCAGGAAGTCACATTCCGTGTGGCAGACATCATACGGGAGACGCTCGACAACTATGGAAGCTCTTGCCAACAATCATCCGGCCATCTTTGATCCTAATATCCTTCACTCATACTTGGACAACAAGTTCCGCTTCATCAACTACGCCAGTGACTGTCGAGAGAAAGGGATTGCATGCGACAAGAGTCCCCCTCCCTTGCCGACAAGTCTCCTCTCACAGGATCCGACCCTATGCCCGCAACGATTCGCGCTCAACAACATCTTTTCGACAAACGGCAAGGAACTCCATGTCACCTGCTTTGATACCACCAAGCCCTACAGGAGCAAGTTCGCCTTTAACCCTATCTATCGGATCGAAAACAGATTCCCAACACTACAATCAATTCTGGACGAGTTTGGCGTGTCGTCTATCGAGGAGATTGATGTCTGGGGTATTGACCCCGGTGAGGTCAACACGGCAGCATTTTGTAGGATCTTGCGGACCTATCTCACTTCAATTGACACCAATGTGGCGACAGATGATGACGCTGAACCGCAACATCGACGCAACGACCAAGCATCCACCAACAGCATCCTCCCTCCTGGTCTGGAAGCCAAGAATCTGGTCGTGAGCAGAAAATCGCTTTACCAGCCTGTGTTTGCCCATCGACATAAAATGCAGGATCTGTCGACAACGAGGATCACCGTCAGTCCAGGTCAGACGATTGAGGGCAAGTTATGGGCCGAGCAGAAGGACGGGCAAGCGGATGGAGGAACGTCGATTCCGAGTATCAGCGAGATCCTGAACGTGCTGCCATCCCGACAATACCAACAAGTTGCAGACATGGAGCAATCCACGTTCCGATTTTTCCTTGTTCAGGATATCTTGCATGGATTCTATGGGTCTGCAAGAGTGAAAGCCATGGGCTGGGATCTGAAGAAGGCCAAGAAGGCAGAGATGGACCTCGCCATCGATGCCATCCTCAGGGAGTGCACCACCAAGACGCTATTCTGCTATGGAAATGGGTCCTTCCGTACAGGCATTAACCTCGCATCCCCCCATGAGTCCTTCAAGGCGGTCTTTTGCGCAAAAGGTACGGTTTTTTCTCTATTTCCTGTTAGTTGTATTTGTCCGATACAGAAAGAACAAATACTGATCATATTCATTTTGTGCATTTTTATGAAAATAGGCTGTTGCTGCTGGGCACATCGTGGTGTTGGTCGATGAATACCTCACTTCAAGCATTTGTCCCACCTGCCTCGAGTCGAATGAGGTATCCCGTCTCGCCAAGCCTACTACGAGGTCATGCGTGTGCCTGACATGCGGAAGGTGGCTCCACCGCGATATTGTTGGAGCACACAACATTGCCGCTGCAGGCGAGGTTTGGATGCGGACCTTGACAAGGCCGACGCCTTTGAGTCGCAAGAGCCCAAGTGAACAGTCTGCATGGTCCCCTGACCTCCATAATTCGAACTAGACTAGTTACCTGCGCCGAAAACGCAGTCACCATTATCCCAGCGTTGACAGCCGAAGGGATAGGAAATTACAGATTATTTTGCCACCCGCTCCCACGCTCTTTTTCTACACCTTCATCACCTCTACCCCGCGCCTCTTCATCGCCTTAGCCATCACTTGATTCCTTTCTTTGTCACTCCCACGCCCTTCCTTTTCCACTCTTCCCACATCTCTTTGCTGTGCCACCCTCCCACGTCTTTTTTTATCGTCTTTCCCTTTTTTTTGCCTTGTTTTCTCTCGCCTCCATTACCTTTGCTACCGCTCCCACGCTCTCTCTTCGACTTTGCTTTCCCTTTGTTTCTCACTCTCACCACTCCCAACTCCTTCCTTTTTGCCATCATTCCCACGCCCTCATCGTCTTTGCCACCACTCCCACGCCCTTTCTTCGTCCATCGCCTTTCTTCTTTCTTTTCCTTTTAAACCCACACTTTGCATCCTTTTCTCTTTTTGTTTCTTTCACTCCTTGCCTTCTCTACACCCCAAACCTCTTCCACAACTCTCACTTTCTTCCCTGCACTTTGTTTTCCTTTGATGCTTCGCAACACCATGACCGACAATCGCCTGAGTCAGTTCTGTCTCGTTAATGGAGAAACTACATCCAACGCCTTCTCTATTAAGATACCCTCAAACGACCCTGTCGATGACCTCAAGAAGCTCATCAAAGCGGAGAGTCCAACGCCTTCAGTGACATCGATGCAGACCAGCTCACCCACTGGCGCGTCTCCATTCCTGACGAGGACGACAACGACCTTCCTGTTCTGCTCGACTCTGTGCCTGAAAAGAAGAAACTCAAGGCAACCACCAGGCTGCTCAAAGTCTTTGACACTGAGCTGCCCGACGACACAATTCACATCATCGTCCCTCCTCAAGGTAATGCACACACGCGTTTATTGCTTTTTGTGACTTGCTGTTTGCATCGTCGACTCTTGCCCATGCACTAAATTAATTCACCTCTCCAATTGCATGTCATAGTCAATGCACCTGTTCCTTCTCGAGCCTTGACTCCCCTCCCTGGCTATCTCTCGGATGGTTCTCGTCCTAGCACCCCTCTCTCTGGTAAGCGCAATTGCTTTATACCCATTATTCTTTGTTTACATCCCGTTGTGTATTCAAGTTTCTCATACCCTGCCTTTTCACATAACTAGGCGACCTCCATGCTGATATCAAAAGGATCACGGACAAGTTCTTTGCGCCAGGACCAATTGCTGACTTTCTTGGCGCGTTTGTGAGAGGCGAGAAGAAACTTCCAGTCACCAAAGGATCTATTCGAGGGTTGCCTAGCGCATGGCGTCGTGGATTCGGAAAGGCTCCAGAGACTTTAAGAGGATTTGTCCTTTATTTAGACGTGAAGCTGGATCCCGTCCCTGCTGGAATGAGTAGGTTACAAGGAGTTGCCTGAAGCGACATATCATGTCAGCCAGCGACTATGACACCGATCTTTACTTCGCTCGTTGGAATGTGCTGAAATAGCTCAATCATTTCCACGCCCTACGCCTCCACTCCAATCCCAGGGCATCTTGTGTACTGGAAGTCTGATCACAGCTCTTTCTTTCCGTTGATGAACTAACCATGAGTAACTTTCTTTGACCCAAGATGGATGCAGGAGCCAAGGACCTTGGGATATCGATGGAGCTGCGACCTGTACTTATTAACAGGATGTACATGAGGATACGAAACTCGTCCCCCGAATTCCACGCAATATTCATATTAGAGTCATCCTCAGTTTCAACATGTATGTTCATCTAACTCGGTCTAGGGATCCTAGCTGACTGTTGCCTGCGTGTTTTGCATGCAATGCAGCACCTTGATAATGAAATAGCTACGTATGTATCATTCGGAGATACTACAAGAAAGGTCAGGAGCTAATAAGCAAACCCTTGTCCAGGGTGCAGTGTTCTCTGTTAAAGCTAATTTTTGGTTTCACTTCGCTCGATTAATAAATCAAGTCGTCCACCGAAATATCAACTTTGCTTCTTGCCTTTGCACCAACCTCACTGTTTTTCCTCGTCACTCTCGGACATGAACAACAACGGCCGCGTCCCATGCACGGACCCTCACTGCATTAACACATACAGCAAAAGGGCTGACATGCAGCGACACTACCTAGCAAAACACACAGAAACGAGGTTCCCCTGCCGTTTTCCTGGTTGCGAAAGACACTTCAGCATGGACAACAACCGCGTCAAACATGAGCGAAAGCATCAGCTGTACCACTGCCACGGTATAAAGAACAACCCTTGTAACCAGATCATCCAAGGAACACAAAACTGGATAGTTCACCAGAAAATCCATCAACCACATCCTTGCCCGGATCCAGAATGCGACAAAGGCTACACCATGCGGAAGTCACTCCTTAAACACCTGAGAGATGCCCACACAAGCAACAACCAACTTCGGTCCAGCTCTCAACTTCCATCGATGCCGATCACAACTGTCCCATCACCTGAGCCCATTGTCGACCATGAGACGAAGCTGCCAATCCCAAATGGTAAAAAATGGTGGCGTTTTTTTTTTTTTTTTTTTTTTTTTTTTCGGTCAACCTCAACATCTGACCTCGTCCGTTTAATAGAGTTCAAGGTACCAGTTGTGTACAAGGGAAACAGGGTCCAGGGGATAGAGCCGACAACAAAGTGGTACGAGTTCATTTACCAGCCAGGAACGACGCCTCTGGAGAAGGATGTAAGCAGAACAAAGTCAGCTGCGTCGTCTTCAATTCGCTAAATACACTTAATGTAAAGGATACCTTAGTCTAACTATATCTGAGTATAATACTGTTGACACAGGACAAGGGACTCACTCCTCATCCCAAGTACTGGCTTGACGGCAGAAAGCTCTCGCGAGGCGAAAAAGCAGGCTTTGATCTACTCTCCAAATATAACTTTTTTGTGTCATCCACATTCCACGGAAAGAGTTGCGAAGTCTGTCGGTCTGAGTTGGGACATTGGCATATAGGATTGAAAGAGAGGGAGTCCTGCCTGAACGTCCAATCCTATGGCGACATTTGCCTTCGATGCTACAGTAAACGGAGATATGAAGAGGTATGTTATGAGGGCAAACCTCGGGCACACTTGGGGCAAAGGATACTGTGCAGTTGCTCACCCATTTGCCTTAATCTGTTATTCCGGGAACTAGTTTGCTATGCAAGCTAATGCTGGTGTGCAGCCAAAGGATCCTAAGCCACGAGACTGTCTGGACTGTGGCGTGGCTTGCCATAGAGACAACTGCCGCATTATTGTCAGCCACCACGATAGCTGGTATCGTGCAATTTGCAGGGAATGTGAGCGGATGAGGAGGGCTTCCAAAGACATTGCACAAAGAGCAGCTGCCTATTTCGAGGTATGGTGGCGTGGAAGGAAGCTCGTATTCGAGAGCCGTTATCAAGCTGATGGTTTGGTCCTCACAGTTTTTCTGCGCGGTGTATGTGTGGGAGCGCCTCATCTCTCTGGTCGTGAGGTGGTACATCTTCGATACCAGGCACAAGGCTCCACAGCTACCGATTGGTACGACCATACGTCCTTGTCTGCCGGCAATTGTGATCCCATGAAGCAGTTCACGACGGACCGTATCACATCTGATAGCCACAAGAAAATACTTCCTTACTCTCACCCTCGCCAATGCACAGTGGCAGCATCCGCATGGAAGAATGAGTAAACTGATGTCTTTGTTGCTTATCGCGCCTTTGACCATGCTTTTATCCCAAGCTAACACACTGTCTCTCAACATAGGATTTTCATGGAGTTGACTCTTAAGCAGCGGGTTGACTACATGCTTTATTGGTGCGACCCTGAGAAGCGAGAAGAAGGATTCAAGAAGGCGGACGCCATTCTCCTTGAACTCTTTGAACGGTTCGACCTGGAAGACGAGATGAAAATCGACTTTACGGAACACGACGAATATCGCTGGCGGGACTTTTGCCATTGCAAACGCAAAAAGAAGGACCGCATTGCATGGAATAAATATGAGTGGCGATACTTTTTGCGGACATGCAACAACATCGACCTTTGCTCTGGGCTCTCTATGGTGGATATCGGCCAGACAGGAAATATTGATCGACTCTCCAGTGATGGCCAGTATCGACTTGGCGCTTGCATCTACATTCCCCAAGGCCTGAATTTTGCGAAGGAGCTGCTAGACGATTTCAAGACATCGAAGTTGCTCCAAGGAAGCGATCTGGAGAACTGCCGCAAAGGCATCAAAATGCTCCGTGACCTGATGATTGAGACTGGGGAAAAAATGAGGCATCGTCTACCCAAGTAAGTGTTTCCCCCGTCTTCTGTCTGTTTTTTTTAATCCTAAGACGTGTTTACAGGAAAACTATAAAGTCAACGCTGTAACGAATTCTGTTATCTTTTTGGTTTTGTAGGCTGCTGGAAGAACATGCAGCACTTATTGCAGGTCTCGAGGACAGCGGCAACAAAGAGGTTCAAGTGCTGGAGGAAGCTGTCGAGGACATTTACGACCAGTACGAGACTGCACCTGAGGGCATGGTATTGACTGACTGCGACACCCAAGGCAAGATCATGGACAGGGACGACACTTTTGACGGTGTTGGCAACTCTTACGAGTTCATCTACGATCTGTCTGAAGAGATTAACCCAAGGGAGTACGGGGAGGAGACTGCGGCTTCTCTCTGGGCATTTGTTTTCGCTGAGAGCGATGAGGATGACTCTTTCTCTGATGTCGACCACGACCAGGCCATTCCTACACTGTCGTTTGCAACTGTGGAGGAGGCGGACCAAAGTGACAACAAGCTGTTGCAGCGTCTGTTCGACCGTGGAGAGATAGAGTCCCGTTCGGATACTCCCATGAGCACCCTCACACTGCCTCTCCATTTCGAGACGAAAAGCGACCTCATCGTCCACCCCAGACATCCTCATGCAGGCCCTTGGAGAGAGAAAGTGGAGTCCACCCTCAAGAGCACTTGGACCATTCCTGATGAGGACTGCAACTCGAGAACATTCAATACAGCTTTGCAGGAACCTGCACATAAAAAGCTCAAGCCCGGACTGAATGACATCAAAGCTTTGCAGGAAAACGAGACTCCAAACTTGAAGACGACCAAGAAATTGCGGCAGACCACCCACGCAGCAAAAGTTGTCTCGTCAAGCAGCCTGTCTGTTGTCTCCCCCTTGAGGCAATCACTCATCAGCGATTCTCTGTTCGAGGGCGGTAAGGAGAATCGACCTCCAAGACTGCCTTGATTCTCTTCTCAAACTCGAGTGGATATTGATAATTGCTCTATCTCCGCAAAGTAGTATCGCGACGACCCAGATATGATAAAATGAAGCAATAAAAGAAACAAAGGCGGTTCAAAAATGATATCATTCATGTAAACCCAATCCGGGGTCTTGTCAGAGTTTTACTCTGATAACTGGCACATGACCAACGCCACCAACTTCCAGATCTTTCTATCGCCACTGACTACGGGATCCACTGATCACTGAATGGCTTTCGCTGACTAATCGCCCTCCTGACCAGTCAGCCGATACAGTTCTATAGAAAGACCTAGAAAGAACTATGGGCTCCGCCAAATCCCTTGAATACACATAAATAGGTAGTTCATACGTAGTCTAGTTCCTCAGTTATTAACTCACTTTTATTAAACAAGATATCATAATGTAACTATTTCCTCGTTCCCTTCGTTCCCTCGTCTCCTTCGTCGTTCCTCTCGTCCTCATCGTCCGTCCTCGTCCGCCCTCGACCTTCTTACAGGTCTACCAAGAGCATGGCATCTTATCCACCAGAGACTCGCCCCAGTCTACTATTCATGGACCTACCTGATCCATCTACACCTGACTCGCCATCAAGGAATCTTGCGGCTGGCTCCGTTCTCGAACTAGTGAAGGAAAATAATAGACGCCATATTCCCTCCGAGCTGCGTCGTGGGGCATGGTATGCGTGCGAACGGGCCCCAGTTGGCGACAGCCATTCTTTTATCTCGTTCTTTTCGACGGTCGACTGATAGAGGTAATCCCTCTTTTGAATCAAGGTATACTACATGATCCAATAACTCTTGGATGTGGATGTCGTGGAGCTTTGACCCAGGAACATCTTGGCAGGGTGTGCACAGGTGAGATCAACGACAGAGAGCTCACGCTGGATGCTATCCAGTAGTCTCATCGAAGCTTAAACAGGTAGCTCCATTCGACTGGGTTCGATACTTGCAGTTGCCAGGGAACATCGCTCTACGTATAGCGTACTGTACATGCGTTGGCTGCGATCGAGCAATCCGACAAACGATACAATTATGTATCCTTCGGAGACGCAGCAGGAAAACGTCAGGAGTTGGTGAGCAAATCCCTTCTCAGGCTTACCAGTACTACTTGCTGGCATGATAAATGTTTAGCTGTGTGTGGCGAGCTTAATCATGCCTGTCGATCAATAAATCATACATCCGTCAAAATATCATGTTTTTGTTTCTTGACCTTGCACCGCCCTCACCGCCACTACTTCTCCCACTTCACTGTCAAAACATGAGCAACCACGACCGCATTCCATGCGCAGACCCACACTGTACCAACACGTACGACACCAGGCAGGACATGCAACGACACTACACAGCAAAACACACTGAAGAGAGGTTCCCCTGCCGTTCTCCTGGCTGCGAAAGGCACTACAGCTCGGACAACCCACGCATTACGCATGAACGAAAAACCCACCAGCTATACCACTGCCGCCGCGACACTTGCAACCAGACCATCGAAGGAGCACAGAACTGGAAGCTGCACCAGAAGACACACAGGCCGCATTTGTGTCAAGAGCCAGGTTGTGACAAGGGCTACACCACTCTAAGGTCACTCCATCAACACCAGCAGGCCATCCATACAAGAAACAGCCAGCCCTGTTCCAATCCCCTACGTCCGTCAAGGCTGATCCCTGTTGTCCCGCCACCAGAGCCTCTTCTCGACGATGAGACGAAGCGGCCGATTCCATATGGTGAGAAATGGTGGCGTTTTTTGAAAAATTATATTAGTAGTACACACTCCAACAGCAACTAATAACCTCGCTCTTTTAATAGAGTACAAGGTTCCTGTTGTGTACAAGGGAAGCCGGGTCCAGGGGATTGAACCAACGACGAAGTGGTACAAGTTCATCTATAAGCCAGGAATGACACCCATGGAGAGAGATGTAAGAATAACCTGCAGTGGTCCTGATCTACATGTCCTGATCTACATTGTGTGATGGCATATCATCCTGACGGTATCCGGGTACTACTCTTAAATAGAACGAGGGACGCATCCCCTATCCCGAGTATTGGATGGATGGTCGCAAGTTCTCCCGAGGTGAAAAACGATGGTTCGATTTGCTCTCCAAGTACGGCTTTTTCGTGTCAACCACCTTCACTAGAAAAAAATGCGATGTCTGTCAATCGGAAATGGGGCACTGGTATCAAGGACTACAAGAAGGGAAATCCTACGTGGTCGTCCAATCCTATGCCAACACTTGCGACCGCTGCTACCGCAAAAAGAGATACGAAAAGGTAGGCCATACAGATAATTATCCGTGTTTGTGCTTGTGATAAAACATGGCTACTTATCCACCTCCTTCAATTCTTTAGAGCAGGGACGAGTGGGCTATAAAAGCCAATGCTGGTGTACAGCCGGAGGAACCCAAGTCACGAACCTGTTCGTGCTGTAGCAAGAACTGCAGTCAGGACAACGCTCTTGTTCAAAGCCGCCACGGCAGAAGCTGGTATCGCCCACTATGCATAGAGTGTCGGCGAATGGAAAGGGCTTCCTTGAGCCCTGATCAAAGAGCGGACAGTTACTTTGTGCTCTGGTGGCTAAAAAGAAGCTTCGTGTTCAAGAGCCGTGTTCAAGCTGATGGTTTCGCCCTCACGGTTTTTCGTCGCGGTGTATGTGTGGGCGTGCCACAGCTCTCTGGTCGTGAAGTGGCACACCTCCGACTCCGGGTACGAGGTTCTACATCCAGTGATTGGTACGACCAAGAACCTCTGGTTGCTGGCGATCGCGACCCGATGAAGCGATTCTCCACAGACCGTATCACATCTGGCAGAGACAAGAAGATGCTTCCTTATTCTCATCGGCGCCAATGCACAGTGGCAGCATCCGTTTGGAAGAATTCGTAAGTTGATGTTTGTTTTGATTATCATTTTTACGACTACGATCATGTTCCATAGCTGAACAAGCACCCATCTTTCTTTCAGGATTTTCTTGGATTTGACCCTCGAGCGCCGGGTTGAATACATGCTTCATTGGTGCGATGCTGAGAAGCGGGAAGAAGGATTCCGAAGAGCAGATGCCGTCCTCCTGGGGCTCTTTGAGGGGTTTAACCCAGACGAGGAGATGAAGAGTGACTTTACGGATCAAGACGAATATCGCTGGCGGGTGTTTTGCAACAGTAGGCGCGACAAGAAGGAACGCGTTGCTTGGAATAAGTACGAATGGCGATACTTCCTGCGAGCGTGCAAGGGGATCGATCTTTGCTCTGGGCTCTCTATGAAGAAAATTGGTCAGCTAGGAAACATTGATCGACTGGCAAGTGATGGCGAATACCGACTCGGTGGCTGCATCTACATACCTCAAGGTCTAAACTTTGGGAAGGAGTTGCTGGCAGACTTCAAGACCTCTAAACTGTTCCAAGGGACTGACCTGGAGAACTGCCGTAAAGGCATCAAGATGCTCCGTGACCTGATGATCGAGACCGCCGAAAAAATGAAGCATCGTCTACCCGAGTAAGTGCTTTTCTCTATTTCTATACCTATTATTTTTGGGAGGCGACTACAGGCAAAATGCAAGGTCAAAGCTGAAAAGACTGGCTTCTCCCTTTTTGATTTTGTAGGCTAACGGAAGAGCATTCCGCACTCATTGCAGGTTTCGAGGACAGCGATAATTTGGATGCTCAAATGGTAGAGCAAACTATCGAGGACATGTGTGATCAGTACGAGCCTGCATCTGGTGACATGGCCTTGACTGGTTGCGACAACCAGGGCATGACCACCGACATGGACAACACAATCGACTGCGATGACGATTCTGCTGAGCCCAGCTACCCTCTGGCTGCAGAGATGAGCCCATGGGAATACGAGGAGGAGTCTGCTGCTTCTTTCTGGGCATTCGCTGAGAGCGATGAGGACGACTCTTTCTCGAATGATGAACTTGACCACGCAGCTCCTATGCTATCATTTGGTGCAGAGGAGGATTTGAGCCATAGTGACAGCCGCTTGTTCCAGCGACATATCGACGACGGACCAGCGGTGTCTCCTTTGGCTGTTACCCCCAGCAACCTAACTCTGCCTGTATCTTCCGAGAAGGAGAGGGACAATTCCTGTATGGGTGAGCCACTTGCTACGCAGTCTCAGCTTTTCTTTGAAAAGGGCTCGCTCCAAAGAAGGAGCTCTTCGAAGGGAGATGCCCAGGTAAGCAAGTTCAAGTCCTCGTCCTTGGATGTCATAGATGACAATGTCTCTCACTTAAGGCCGTTCATTGTCAACCGGAATCTGACCCACATCCACATTTCCTTCCAGGGATGCGTTGACAAAGCGTCCCAAGTCGGATCGTCGAGCATTCCCAGCGACTCCATCGTCCATTCCACATCTCTCCATGGACGTTCCCATGATGACGACGTCAAGTCCCCCTTCAAGAATCTTGCTCAGACCCTTCTTGCGCGGAACAGCGGCCCTTCCTATTTCAATGCACCTTTGCAGGAGCGCACACACGAAAAGTCCGAGTCCCGACTGGATGCGACCAAGGCTCTGCAGAGCAGTGTAATTCCAAAGCTGAAGGCAGCGAAGGAAGTACAGTGGACTACCTATGCGGCCCCTGTCGCGTTGAAGAGTGGCTCTCCTCTTGTCCTGCCATTGAAGAGGCCGCCAATCAACGACATCCTATTCGAGCGTGGTAAGGAGAATCAACCTCCCCGGACTGCCTTGATCACCCAGCCTTCGTCCTCCCGGCCTCACAACACTACATCCTTCGATGGCTCATCCGAAATGAAGACCCCAAAGCATGGTCGATCGGGACAGGCCAAGGCAAGTGGATTTTCAACCGCTCCTACAGAGGGGAAATATGTCGAGTCTCGCAGCGAAGCCGCCGCTTCGGATGATGACGATGACTTCATGCCCAGTCGAATGACAACCAAGAACGTCCCCATCGTAAAAAAGGTCTCGGCCAAGAAACAGAAACGTTAATCATGGCCCAAGACTTTCCCCAAAAACATATATTGCTTTCGTTTGCATAGACTTACACTAATCCCTCCTTCAGTGCAATGCAGCATCGCCAGAACCCAAAAATCGACTAGTGCTATAAAAGAAAGAGAGAAGGAAGGATGTAGGATATGCTTTTTCAAAAAAAGAACATCTGTTCGTAAATCTGTTCGAAGGTTGCCAGAGCATGGCATCGCGCGTTCGGCCTTGAGACATGACCCAGCCTGGTCTTCCTGGACTTCCCCGACCCTTCCGCACCTAATTCAGCGTCCAAGAATCTGGCTACGGGCACTAGTTTAGACATGGTCAAGGAGAAACACTGTCCACTAATCGTGTTTGGCGTCTCTGGTATGCCACTTGCCGCAACGTGCGATCTATGGATATCACCAAGTGCTTGAAGCATGGCACTGACTACATTCGTATTCCTTTATGGTCACACAGGCTGTGGCAAGACCCGTGCTGTGATTGAGCTTCTGTCTCAGCACTGGGGTTTTTACTTCAACGCGTCGAGCGACGACTGGGGATCAGGAGACATGATGACGCTCCACTCCACCGTCCAAAAGCACCTGAACGATACCCGGGACTCCCCTACTGCTGATCGACAGCTCAACAATGCCTTCGCACGCAAGATTACTCTATTACTCTTTCTCTCTCGACTCCTTGTCTTCAAGTACTGCCTCGGTGTTCCCGGTTGCGCTGAGACGTTCACAAGTGCAAGATGGACTCTCCTTCAAGTATGCCCGCATGTTCTCCTCGACGACCTTTTCAACGTACTATTCCGCAAGCTTCGCAGACTGGTGGATCATGGCGAGCGCTATCTCTCGGACTATGTCAGCGATGCGTTCGAGGATGTGAAAGGACGCCTTCTTGGACGTGGATGTCAACCAACAATCAAGGATGACACCAGGCTCCTAGTCATCAACGATGAGGCACAATTCCTTGGCGACCAGTTCAATGGCTCTTTCCAATCGATGTCTTCTTCGGACGAGTCTCCACGCCCTCTTCTCTCACCAATTCTTCACGCCTTCCGGGATATCGGTCAGCATCAGTTCACGCTTGTCACCTGTGGTACTGGCTTGTCAATCAATACCCTTTTCTGGGTTCAGAGCTCAGGCTCTGGTCTGAAGGACAGTTCCACTACCTTTGAGGTGAGTAGTTCAACTTTATTAACGCTGGCTTGTCTTCCAGTTGTGTTTGAGCTCAAAGACTGACTAATGATTGACTCTTTTTTCATCTTCTTTCCACCTACACCACAAAACACACAAAACAACGCCAGTATCTTGAATTCACAGGTTGGTCCTCCAAGGAGTCGATCAATACGTACATTTCACGAGTGCGGGATTGTTTGCACGACGAGCAGTCAAAGCTGGCTTTGGACGAATATCTCTCGCAGGAGGCAATCGAGATGCTGTTCCAAAAATTTGTGGGTCGCTATCGACCAGCTATAGTTGCAGTGTTTTTTTTCTTCTCTCTGTTAGCCATGGCGCCAGCAACAAAGAGGAGAATTATGCTAGATATTATGCCGTCGCAGATCATTACAATCAAAGGCGACCCGAACCATCCCAGTTCGCAAAGCTTAAAGTGTTCTACTATTGAGAATTTAAGGGTTATTTTGGGTTGGAAATGGTGGCGTATTAAAGCATATCAAGCTCAATTACCTATTGTATGTTCATCTCCTTCGTTTCTAACTCTCTTGTTCACGTACTTTGCTTCTACACCACCACCATCCTCTCATCATTGGCGATCCCCATCCCATTGTGTGACAACGCTCCCTCTCTTCACTAACGTTGACCGCTATCCATCCTCTAATACACTTAAACTTCACCCTCGTTCCTCACCATCATGCCGAAGACCAAACAACATCCCTGCACTCAACCAGATTGTCCCAAGTCTTTCGCTCATAAAAGATCCTTGGAAGTTCATGTCCGTCGAGGCCACTCTGGAAGACCTCCCAAAAGGATTTCCTGTCCTGTAGCACCTTGCAACTCGAGCTTTCTGAGTCGTCCGGGTCTCCAGAAACACCTGCTCCTTGTACATCAAGGATTCGTATGCAAGGTTCCAGGATGTCGATTACAGTTTGCAGATAAAGACGCCCTGGAAAATCACACTCGAACCCATACACGACTCGAATGTGCCCATGTCGGCTGCAAGCGCTCATACGCCAACAGGGATTCTCTTCAAAGGCATATAAGGAAAATGCATGGTGGCGTCTCTGGAGATGAAGGGACCAAAATCATCGCTCCAGTACCGGAGCCAGTTCCTGGATCTCCTGGTGGTAAGTGACGATTTGGAATGAATGTTGTAGTAGTTTGAAGTGCCTACATGTGTATTGTTAACCAACGGCAATCTAACAGAATTGATTAGCGTTTAAAATCTCTGTTGTACATACGGGAGACCCACGACAGGACATTCCGGTCTTAATCCATGCGGAGAACATTATTTTCCCTGCTGGCGCTTCAGTTGCTGATCGTGTTGTACAGGCAAGTGCGTTTATCTTGTCAATGGCTTTAGATGTTTGTAAAATAAGCTCATAGCCTGTCTATAAACTGTAAAATAAACTCATACGTGTCTATAAACTGTAGGTTGCGGATGAGCCTGCTGTGCCACTAGCATGGCTCGACACATTTAGTCCGCTGAGCCAAATGCAACGGAGCAATTACGCCAAGATCAGAGATCACAACTACCATATCGGTTCACCCCTCCATGCAGGGAAAACATGCAGCGGAGAAGGATGCGGTGTGGCCATTACCTGGCGATACATTCAACTTCATGTGCGCGAGAAGCTCTCTCTGGAAAGGAGCAGTATGTGCGAGCGATGCTCAAAGCGCAGGGGTCGTGACAAGGTACTGGCTGTCGTTTAAATTACTGATGCAGCTTATAATTACAATGACAACACAACCGAACTGATTACTTGAATGGAAATATAGTTCGAGAGAGCTGCGAGAGACAACTTTGGTATCGAAGGGAACCTCTTACAAGGCCTCATCCAACAACTGGCACCGGACGATCAAGTGCCGGCATGCGCGGAAAACGCACGCTGCTCTGTTTGCTTATGCGAGCAGGATCGAAGCAACTCGCGGCTCATGTTGGGAAGCTCGATGAATATTCCGCTTTGCTTCCACGCCTTCTGCAACACTTGCGAGTCGATCCGGAAGAGAAAAGCAGGAGCAAGTATCCTGGGAAAGCTCTCCGACTGGGCTAGCAAGAGAACCCACGAGAGTGAAAAATTCACCTCCCGGGACTCAGCCCTTTACACCGCGATGACAGTCGCTGTCCAAGGTTTCTCCTATGGGCCCGCGGTGTATAGCTCCAGTGAACAGTTTCATATACGCGTCATGGTCGAGGAAGCTACTCCCGCGTGTTTCTGGACCGGAGTTCCTCTGTCGCTCACGGATGGCACCTGTCCCACAAAAAAATTCACAACGGACAGGGTTATGTTTGATCAAGAAGGAAAAGCCCTTAGCTATGGCGACAAGGACCAGGCTTTGGTCGCAGCTTCACTTTTCGCAAACAGGTAGGCTTAATGCAAGGGGATGTGCAAAACGACACGATTTTTTTTCCAGATATTTGATGCAGTTTGTTGCGTTAATTGATGCATGAATACTTGCGTAGCATTCTACTCAACAGGACCATCGATCAACGCGTGCGATACCTGCATCAGCTTGATGAAGGTTGGGAGGACGGCATTCAATGGGCAGATGGAGCGATTGACGAGCTTCGAGGATACAATGCTGAGGCTGAGAAGGGGCGACCTTGGACAGCAGATTGGGAGCAGAGGTGGTGTCGCTTCTTTAACAGAAAATTGTACAGTGGCAAAGTGGATCGTGTGCAGTGGTCCAAAGCAGAATGGAGGTTCTTTGTGGAGACGTGCCAAAGTCGGTCTTTAGTGACAGGACAACATCTTGAAGGCATCGATGCGCAAATCGACCGAATATTCAATAGCGACAACTACACAGTATGGAACTGTATCCTCATTGAGCAGGGACTCAATTTCGCAAAGGAATCCATGCCTGAGTTCCAGACCTCCAACACTTTCCATGGCCATTGCAAACTTGCTCATGGGGTTAGCATCCTGAGAGCAGCCGTCAAGGAGGTTCTCGATAGGTCCCGCCCGCACCGAGTAGGGTAAGGAAAAAAGACGTTTGGTGCGCTATGATACAATCATGAAGATGTACTAACAGTTCTGCGATCAATTAGTTGGATCGCACGTTTGGATGTTATGAAGAGAAATAGGTATCCTTGGAAAGACGGGATTCCCACCGAGTATCGTGATTGAGCATTCGCTTTAAGCACACTGATTCAAATAAAATTGCCAAGCGCCAATTGCAACAGTCGAAAGAACCATCGGTAATGGCACGTCTGGAGCGCGGCGGGATGTTATCGGGAGCACGGAAGCCATTTAATCTCATGGAATCTGTGATTGAAAGTCGATCATAGAACACGAATGACAGTTCGCCGTTGACGACATGACAGACAAATTGGAACCTTTGATGCACCGAGGCGTCAAGGATGCTTCTGTAGTGAAGTGTTTGCATGGTATGTTAACTTGAGATGACCACAAAGAGAGAGGAGGCAATGAAATGATGGAATGTACAGTATGCTCAGCACTTATGGCCTTATTGTCTTTCCGTCTATAGATAGAAAGGATTGTCGAATGCAACGACCCTAGTTCATGGAAGAAGACCGTCGAGGATGCAGAGGACAGGCTAGTATCTTGGGCGCATCGGCACATCAAAGGCAATTTGTGCTACGAGATATCTCGCCTCCACGACAAGCATAACAAATACAAGGATCAGCTTGTGGAGTCTATCGACAACATGCTGGGCCTCCTTATGTATCAGCGCTGCATGTTTGGGAATCACGACCTTGTCCTCAAGGAGGTAGACCCTCAATTGGTGGAGCATGCGTTTGGTCGGATCAAGATCATCCGCGGCCGAGCTGTTACCGTGATGGACGAGCCCTTCGTTTCCAAAGCTGTCGAGAACTATTTCGCCGCTATCGATCCCTACTTCGCGAGGGAAGTACGGAAACGTATGGTAAAGTCGACGGCTATTGAACAGGGATGTGTGTTTGAGCGGTTCATGATGAAGGTTTTCAGTGAGACATTCAACACACGACCTCTATCTGAGTGGCCCCCATCTCTGATATGTGTCCAGCTCTCGTTGGCAAGGTGGAAATTGTTGGCTGGAGGGAACCTGGACTCGAGCAAGGCACAACTCATGCAATGATGTCGATGGAGGATTTCATGGACGCTCATGTCAACCAAGGGTCAACCCGCAACAACATGTCTGTCGCGCCATTTTTCTTCCCCAAGTCCAAGCCGTCGGGACCAGACTTGGTTTTCTTCGTCCGGATCGACAAGAACAGGATGGTACCAGTTTTTGTCCAGATTGAAATTGCATCAAGGATCCTCCAATTTCTCTGAGAAAGATTGGAATGACGCACTCAGCACAGTCTCGGCACCCAAAATTGAGGGCCACGCAAAGACTTTTCGCAAGTACTGCCCCAACAACGTCTACATCAGCTTGATCGTCGCATACCCTACCAAATGGACTGACAGGCTGCCAGTACCTTCAGAACTCCCAAAGGACCCCAGTGGCGTTCAACAAGTCGTGATCAACGTCAGCGACGACAATTTCAGCGATATCTTCCCCAAGGAGCATGTAGAGTTTATTGATCGACTCAAGAATGCACGAAAGCGCTCTGCTGACGATGATGACAGCAACGATGAGGACTACTCCAAAAAGCAGAGGAGCTAATCTTTGACTGCAGCTTCCTCTGCCTACTTGACACTCAAATAAAAATGAACTTTTATAGTATATTCTTAATGACGTGTTGCCGAGTTGATTTTATCTTCTCTTCAAGCAGCTTGTTTTGTTTCCATCTCTTGCTCATGAAGCTCTTTCCTTTTTCCATTACTTCCCTTTTGCCACCATTCCTCGCGTCCACACACCTTTTCTTACTTCAACTCCTCCGCCCATTATCCCCTTTGCCATTACTCTCTCATTTTCTCCACCTCTCAATTCACCCCTCTCTATTGTTCTTCACATCACTCCTATCGACTTTCTTTAACTTTCACCACCTCCATTGCCACGAATTCTTTCTCGAGAGACATTCTCAACAACAAACAACAGCAACAACAAACAACAGCAGCAACAACAGCAGCAACGGCAACAGCAACAGCAACGGCAATCACTAAAACAAACTCAAACAAAGGACAACAAAGAAAAGAAAAACAGATTCAAAGACTGAGTTAAGGTTTGTGGCTGACAGTGGCTCGCTCTCATTGTGGCTAGCATGTGGCTCTCATTATTGTGGCGAGCATGCTGGGAAGGATTGAGTGCTACCCGGTTTTTACCAATAAATTAAGGTTTTGCCGCAATTTGTGGCCTTTTTTTTCCGGTCCAGTTTCTTCCCATAATCGATTTGCCCTCGTGAGTATCTAGCGTGGTGTTCAGGGAGGACTGGGACTGCGATTGGGGAGTGTGTTCGGGCAAAGGCATGTCCGAAGCAACCCTAGAAAGGTCTCCAGACGCTGGGTCAGGCATGGCAATCAGGAACCGAAGTAATAGAGAGGAGTATATCTTGCTGTGTTGAATGGTGTGTGGTTTTTGTATATATGTGGGTAGCGCGCTCTTTGCTTGTGTAGCTGTCGCAAGGATAAAGAACAAAAACAATAAACGCTGGTTGACCATTTCAAGCTGCATATATGAGTGAACACGACGAGAAAGAAAGGTACTTTATATCAATGACTATACTAAGATCAATGCTATTACCAACAATTCAGCACGGCCCCTAGAGAAGAGTACAATGTAACCAACATGAACAACAACAACAGCAATAACAAAACAACAAAAACAACAGATATGTGCCAAGAACGCCACTGGATTCGTTATTGATGATAAAGTTTCATAGCGCAACTGAAACGCAGGAGCCGTCACATTTCTAGATTCACGAGAAAAGGCAAAGCGGTGAACAACGATGGTGACTGCCGTTCAGCGAGAGTTGTTCGATCGAGGTTTATTTCTCGTTTCTCAATCCTGCAGAAGTAATCACCCGAAGGCGAGAGAGGTTGAAAAATGAATAACAAGCGCGATAATAGAAATAATTTCGAGGCATATTACATGATCGAAAGTACTCTGTCTCTTTCTCTCTTTCGCCTCACTTTCATGCATGCATGTCTGTTGTTAATCCCCCTCTTTCCTCGTAGCCTTCTCCAAAAAGGGAAAGTACTCCATTACCAAAAACTCGCCCTTCTTTTTGTTACACGCTCTTTGTTCGCTCTCTTTCTCTTTGCTGATTTCTTTTCGTTCCCAGCGTTTATGACCATGTTTGCTCGCTGTTGTTTTCTCCTTGTACAGTACACGTAGCTCTTACAAGTAATTACTTGTCTCCTTTTTGATTTCTCATACTCACAGTTCCCTCGCCTCTTTCGCCCTCCTTTTTAAGCTTCTCTCTTCCCTCTTATTCTCCCCTCCTTGTATCTCCCCGAGGAGGAATAGAATCGTTTAAGAGTGAAATTTCCCGCCAATCATCCCTCCCTTCCTTCCCAGTATTTCATTATTTTTTTGGACTATTGGTATTACACCATGCAATCCATTCCCTTGCCTTAAAACGCCCTTTTTTTTTCTCTTACCATCTATCTCACTGCGGTTGCTTATTCAAAAGGATCACAATGATCACTGGCCAATCACAGCATTTCTCTCTGTAAATATTTTCTTGTTCCTGAAAACCTTTTTTGTTTCTGAATGAAAGAATGATCAGGAATGATTTGTGAGTTGGGTGGTTCTTCATTGTTTTGTTTTTGTTTTGTGTTTTACAATGGTTTGAAGGGGAGAGAGGAGAGAGGATGTGTGGATGTGTTGGCTCCTTCTTGAACTCAAAACTAAATAGAAAAAGATACACATTCACCCTTGCTCGCTTGCCTTGCATGTGCATGCACCACTCATCTTTTCAAATTCTCCTTTCACATAGACCACACGAAGGACACGGTAATCATACACACACACACACACACACACACACACACACACACACTCAGACACACATACCCGCAACAAAAATATCTAAGCCCACATACCAAAATGTACAACACTCATTTTTTTTCAATATCCTCTTCTTACCTTAATTGTAATTGACGACGAATAGCAAAATGAAAAATAAAACCAGGTGTCGACCCGCTGGCATTCGTTGTACCTACTGTACTTTTCTTCCCCTCCCACGTTTTGAACCACGAGACCACCATGGTGAGCCCCACATACACTCAGATAGGTCTAACCCAGATTGTGTCCAGCCGTGAAAAAAAAGAACGTGTCGAGGATTCACCCTTGTGCATGCTGCAAATCGTACATAAGAGAGCACACGAGTGAGTGACTCGACGCAAGCCCAGTATTCCAGCTGGTGCTGCATATTCACACTCTTCGCACTCTTTTTTACGCTTTCATGCTCGTATTCTTTTCTCACCATCCTCTGGCCCCTTGGCCCCTTTGCCTTCATCCAGAGAGCCTCCCCCCTCCCTTCTTTTTCCTCTCTTCCCTCTCTTTTTCTCTCCTTTGTGCATGGATACATAGACTAGTCTCTAAATGTACTATTAGGACACCATGCCATGTCATACAACATTATCTGAGTTTTTGTTTTTTCTGAGAAAAGAAGTGGTGCTCACAAAGAATGTCTGGTACAAACACATGTACACCTCGTTTTTTTTTTTAGTTCCAACTTTCTAATTCCTTCTTGGCAGCTCACTTCTCTCTCTCTCTCTCTCTTTTTTTTTCTTCTTCGTTATTCCTTGGGAATCGAACTTACACAAGAAATTATATTATGGGAAGAAGTATGGGTAACGCTAGAGAGCAAAACAGAAGTCCGTGTTGAGTAGGTTGAGATGAATGGATGGATGGGTTGGATGAATGGTGGATCTTCTCTCAGCTCGGTAGAAAAAAGGGATATCTTCTTCCCCTCTCTCTCCCTTTTACGCTCATTGTATATCTTTTTCTCGTTTCCGACGATTACACGATTACACCATTACATTGTTTTTTTTTGCATGCTTAACAAGGGAATTTACAACTCAGAGAGATAACAGTTTGCTTTGAGGTTGAAGAGCTGCTAATTAACTGTCAAAAAGGGGGTATACAAGTTGAAAAAAAATACAAGGTGAAGAGGGGAATACCACAAGCAGCCGAGACGAAAAGCTCCCTTCTCCCAGACTTCGCGACTCGACTACGAGAAAAAAAGAACTCAGAAAGGGAAAAAAAAGAAGAGGAGGCCGTATCTGTGATGGTGAGGTGTGGATAGAACAGGAAAGAAGGGAAGCGACCGCGCTAATTAAATTCCTCACCTCTGCTCTGCCGCCGTGATTTTTTTTTCTCTTTGTTCTAGTGACAGTTGGCGGCAGTTGGTGAAACAAACTCAGGTGCAACGGGCATTACCTCAAATTTTCCGGCCTCAGTGACGATTGACCAAGTAAAGGATGTCCATATAACACTACTGGCGAATCATACTGCTGGTGAATCGCAAAGATGGACAACGTGTTGTCGGTCTTACGTCCTTTTTTTATTCTTTAGAATGAAATGTGTGTTAGCAAGCGAGCCTTTTTTTTTTAACTTGGATTGGTGATGTACTTTCACAAATGTATCGACGAACAAGAGAGAAGAAAAAAGGGACGTTTATTTTCTAGGGGAGGTCATGTCGGCTCTATTCGTTTGGGCCTGCCAAAAATACAAATGAGAGCTAAAGAAATGAGAGAGGGATCTGCGTGCGGACTTGATTCAATTGGTTTGAATAATGGGTATGCTACCACATGTTTAGACCTTGATGCAGATTGGGGGAGAGTCCAAACGAGGACTGACAAGTGGGGGAGTAGATCTAGTGAATCCAAAGAAGGTACCCTCAATCATCACACTAGCCTGTCCATCCGCAAAAATAGCGACGTTGTTGGCGGGGCACTGTTCAGTCTTTTGAGTATCCCAGTTGGTGTTGATACCCAAGTTCAAAGGAGCAACAACTCCAGCGTTGACAGCAGAGAAACCAAAGACCTTGAGGCCCAAGTTGAGAGAGGGGATAACATTCAAACCGAGGCGGACAGCGGCCGTCTGGCGAGAGTCTTTTCTGCCTCTGCCTCTGGCGGGGGCGGTGGGGACGGCACCGAGGATGGCGTCTCTGGAGTTGACACGACGGCCGTTTCTGGGATGAGGGCCCATGTAGATGGCGTTGTCGTGGCTCTTGATGTTGAAAGCTTGGGTAGGGTCGGTGAGCAGCTTGGGGGTGCCGGGGAGAGTGCAGGTACCGAATTGGATCTGGGGCAAGCTGGTGAGGCCACCGTTCCAGTCGATGGTCCAAGGGCAGGAGGTGGCACTACCAGTGTTGAGCAAAAGATCCTCGGTAGCCTGAACAAGGATGTTCAACGAGACGGAACCGGCGACAGCAACATTGGCGCCGAGGTCAAAGACACCGGGGACAGAGAAACCAAGCATGGGGATGGGGGCAACAACGGTAAAGGTAGGGGTGGTAACGTTGACGCGGGTCAAGGTCAGCAAAGGATTGCTGGGGCCGTTAGAGCGGCCGACGTCCTTCTTCTTAATGTCGACACTGGTGGAGTGGTTGATCTCGGTCATACCAGATACCTTAGCGGCAGAGAGGCCCCAGGTGATGCAGCTGTATCTGCTAACGAAGATGTTCCAGATGCAAGTCTGGCTCCAGGCCATGTCGGCCTGGGCTATTCACAATAATGAAAAAGTAAAGGTACAGGTTAATAGCTGCCGTACTGTGCACAGGGTGAAAAAGTCGACGCATTCACTCGTGATTGTTTCTTGCTTACCATAACCCTTGACGTTACTCCTGTCCATGTTAGCCTTGACATTGTTGGCGCTAATTTGATTAGCGATGGTCTTGGTGGCAGGGGAGAGATCGCGCTCAAAGTTCCACATGGGTCCCTTCTCATAAGCAGTGGAGCGCTTGTGGAAGTACAAAGGGACAATCTCATGCATATCCATATCGCGATGGGCAATGTGAACAGACTGTTTGCGGCTCATGCGCGACCAGATGTTAGTCTTGACGACAGAAAACGAGACAACGTTGTTCTTCTTGGCGTTCAAGAAGCGGGGGTTCTTGACCATCTTGACAACAGTCTCCATAGGACGAGTCTTGGCCCACTTCTTGGCCTCCTCGCTGAGTTCAGCGAAACAAGCCTTGTTCTTCTTGAGGTCGACAAAGTCGTGAGGGATGACAACACCGAACACCCTGGAGGAACCGACATTCCAGCTACGGACTTGATCAGCAAAACGGGGATCAAGCTCCAAGTTCAGCTTCAAGTTCTTGCCAGTACCAGTGCAGGAGTAATTTCTGACAGCGTGCTGGAAGGCAAAGGGGTTGATGGACTGGATGGTATATTGCTTCTCGGGCTTGAGATCATCTGACTTGAGCTCGACATCCATGTCGACGTGATGGCAGGCACCATAGTCAGCATAGTTGTCGTCCGAGGCATCGACGAAGCGGAGCTGGATGACGTTGGTGGGACGGAATTTGTTCAGAGTGTCTTTGGCTTGGCGGCCGTTGAAGGCATCGGAGCGAGGCATCAGGTTGACGGGGGTTGACTTCATGGGCACACCGGGTTCGATGTTTTCCATGGAGGAGGCGGGTTCGGCGTAGACAAGAGGAAGGTTAAGGAGGGTCATGCAGACGAGGGCGACGCAGGCCAACAAGCCCATAGGGGCGGAGCGAGAACGAGTCATGGTGTGAGAAAGGAGATTAAGGTAAGGATTTAAATGGGGTATTTGTGAAGAGCGAGAGGGGGTATGCGTTTTGTTTGAATGGGATCGTGGAGGACGGGAATGGGTCGTTTGTGTTTTTGTTTGCGATGGCAAAGGGGAAGGGCAGGTAGGTTCTAAGGATCTACAAGGAGCGGGGGTTGATGAAATGAGGGACGAAAGACGTACGGAGAAAAAATAAGAGGGAAAGTGAGCTTCTTTTAAGGAGGTGGTGGTCCCTGATATTCTTTTTGAGGAATGGAGAGAGCCAAGCTACTTTGGCTGTTGCCAGAAGTGACCCACCCCCCACCACTCACACTTTCGGAAGTATGTTGGCCTGTGTACACACTCGAGTCGCGCATTGAAGAAAGAGTACGTGCACATCATATTGGCTTTAATTCGAACCCCAAAGAAAAAAAACATTGGCAGGGTGAAAGGGTCTAGTTCTTCTTCTCACTGCTCTTTGCTGCAGGCATCATGTACTCGAGGAAAAAAAACTGGATCAAGAGAGAGAGAGAGAGAGAGAGAGAGAGGGAAACAATGGAAGGAGTAGAAAAACAAATACATGTGCGTTCGTGAACAAAGGCAAACAGTTATCAAAGGACGGTACTTTGCAGAGAGCAATTATGATCCAACTGTGAATTAACCCACTTTCCTACAGACAAAATGCAACTGCCAGAGGGAGCGAAATCTTGCGCTGTTTGCTCGGACCTACTTTCAGTAACTTCAATCAGATTTTCTTTCTTCTCAATCCCTCCTCAGTTAGTTTTCTAGGCAAGTCGGATTGTTTATTTTCTCAAGTATATTGTTTGATTGAAGAAACCTGCTCATACATAACCCCTGAAAATAACATGCACGTCAATGCCTTTGCTGCACAAGTGAACACTCCGAAAGGGAATGTGCCCTAATTTGTTTCTTTTGTTCGCTCATTTCCCATTTCCTGGCCCTATTTTTTCCCACCCGCTCATTCCCTTGTTATTGTTGGTTTACTTCTGCACGTGTACATATCCTTCTTTGCGTGATAGCTCTTCTTCAGTCCACCCTCCACATTGTCTTAAATGTTTCCTATACTCCTTTCTTCCATTTTTCCTCTCTCGTTCTCTTCCTGTTCTTGTCTATCAAAGAAGGAGATGTAGTTCGAAAGGAGTATTCGCACTCAAGCCTAAAATTACGTTCCCCTCCCAGTCTCTCTCTGTCTCACTTATTGATTGATCACTATCCAATCATAGCCTTGTGCCTGAAATCCTTTTCTGTTTATCTTTCGTTCTTAAACGAACGAGTAAACAAACAAAACAAACAAACGGCCAGAAGAATCTTCTTTGTTTTCTTTTTTTCTTCTCTCTCAATGCGTAGGTTTGAGGGTCTGGATGGTGTTTGGCTCTCTTTTGAACTCAACTTTAGATAGTCAGGGCATGCATGCACCCCCTTGCAGCAAATCTTCCCTCCGCATTGTACATGGCAATCATACACACACACGCAAACAATCATACCTAAGCCTACATATCGAAATGTACAACACACTTTTTTCTATCTTTTATTTTTAATTCCTATCCTCCTGCCTAACCTTCTTGACGACCAAAAGCAAAATCAAGGTACTCTCGCGTTCATGTACACTCAGAATTTTTTTTTGCGTACAGTTGGATAAGAAAACTGTCTTAAAAGAATTTCGAATAAATGAATTGAAATATTACTCAGTCCGAAAAATTATTCAGTCATATGACGGGGGTTTCAACCCACACAAAATGAACTAGAACGGCAGATGGACAGATGGACGCGATCAACATCATCATCAGCACAACGCCAAGATGTCGTCGAAACGCCCCCACCCCCTGTGAATAAAGCCAACAAAGTCTCTAAAACGAAAAAGAATAAACTGACCTCAACAAGCGGACCCTATACACCCTTACAACTCCCCTTCAACGATGACAAGAGCGCCACTTACACCAAAGCCCAACTCGAACGCTTTTACGACCTGCGTGTCCGGAGATACGAAGATCCCCTACAATGTGCCAGAGCCAATGCCGCCCATTGCTTGCTCCTCAAGCCTGATCCCGGTGTCTATGCCATCTCAATGACAAGGACATGCTACACTCTCCGCGTCAAGCTCGAGCCCATCGACATCTTTCGCTACCTCCAGAAACACCTCACAAAGCCTTTGGCCAAGGACCCAACCCAAATCTGAACGACAGTCTCTTACAGGAGCTTCGTAAACAACATTGGCATGAACATTCCTCACTCCACTCTGCAATGTATCCTCCAGAATGAGGCCAAGACTCGAGCGTTGGCCGACCAGCTTCCCGTCGGTGCTAAGTACGTAATCAACCGCAAGAACAGGATGGTCGAGGAAGGTTTGTATTTATGGCTACAGGATCAACGGTCGAAGCAAGTTCCAATCAACGGAAAGATGATCATGGAGGCCGCCCAGGTGACATATACCGTTCTTGTCGACGTATACGAGAAGAGCAATACAAGAGAGGCTGTCGTTCCCTCCTTCTCCGCCTGGTGGTTTAATGCCTTTAAAAAACGATACCACATTTCGTATAACCAGCTGCACGGGGAAGCAGCAGGTGTTGACTTGGATGCTATTGAACCTGAACTTCGCGATATCCGTGCGGTTTACGCCAACTACTCACCCGATGATATCTACAATTGCGACGAGACTGGAGTCTATCTCAAGGAACTCGTCACAAAGTCGTATACTGTCCCCGAGGGCACAGGCGGAACCAAGCCCAACAGGAGTGCCCGAGTGTCGATTCTTTTTTGTGTCAACGCCTCTGGCTCATCCCTAATTTTGGCGGAAGACCCAAAGATGTCGGCATTGAGGCCTTTGGTTATTGGTAGATATTATTCATTTGCCTTTTATCGCTCTTGTTTTTTATGTTCTTTTTGGGAGGGTCAATATCCATGTTGTAAATTAACTTCTTAAGATTTTGCGCACGCTAGCCAAGAGCATGGCTCGAGAGGTGGAGGATGGGGCCAATGACGGAATGGAGATACGGAAGAATGGCTCAGGATGGATGAACCGCAACATTTTTACGAGTTGGTTGATAGATCTCGATCAACAGCTTGAGCGACGCACCCTTCTCCTGCTGGACTCTTGCCCTGCGCACAGTAGTATCAACGTTCCTCCAGCATTCAGATACCGCGACAGTTGGAAGTTCCTCACAATCCAACGCCTGCCCAAGATCTCAACCTCTGTCACGCAACCACTCGACACCGGCATCATCAGCGTCTTCAAACGCGCATTATTGGAACTCCTCAGTCAGGAAACAAGCCTTGTCCGCACCTACGACAGAAGCAAATCTATTAGCAACGGACATGCATGGTCACTTATCCCGTCCGCATGGAACAGAGTCAAGGCAACAACAGTTCGCAATTGTTTTGCGAAAACTCCTGTGCTCCCAGATGACATGCGCCAACAATTATGACAGCACCCAACAGCACCTCAGGAACAGCGGGAGAATATTAAATACTCGCGGCGTAACGATTACAAGGAGGAAGCACGGGCGTACTTTGAGCACCTAATTGCCGAGGCGAACGAAGCCTGTGACTGGCAATAGGCCTTCAAATCACACGGAACACAGGATGCACAGGATCTAGCCTATGAGTCATTGCCAGCCGAAGCTGCAGTGGAGGAGGTGCATAATGAGCAGGCCCTGCTATCTGTCTCGAGCCCGTCTTGCCCAGCGCCGTACGATACCGACGAATGGGCAAGCTCTCCTCTAGCCGACGAAGTGTACACACATGCCATGCGGGTCCTGAAGGAACGGATGCCAGTACTCGGTCAGATGAGCATTGGCGAACTCAAGGCAACAAGGGGGTTATTGAGCTGTGGGTCGGCAGAGGAGATCATTCTCAGCAAGGGATTGAAGGATGTTTTGCGCTTCTATGGCAAGTCTGGCCATCTGGGAGGACATGTGGAACAGTCAGAGGTACAGTCAGTCGCCCAACCATTGCTTTCAACATCCATGTACAGTAGTAGCAGCCTTAATCTCAGCCGCACTGACGCAAGGAAAACCTCATACAGCATCGACGATAGCAGCCACGAGGAAAATGTGGTGGATGGAAAGCGATGTGATCAAGGAGAGGACGAAAGCAATGAGGACGAGGGAGATGACGAGGAGGAACAGCGGATGGAGAAATCTTTGATAGAGACACAACATCGTGAGGATGGAGATGAGGAGGAAGAGGAAGAGGAAGAAGAACCGCTGCTGCGCCGTAATCGAGGAGAGATTATTGATCCTTTTGTTGCAGAGGAAGAAGTTACTGCCGACTACAGCAACTACAGTGGCCATGCTGGCGATAAAAGCAATAGCGACAGTGACTAAGACACAGCAACAACATCAACGACAGCAAATAACGATAACAACAATACCAGTACCAAAGAAAATAGTCATCAATGCTACAGAAATATCTATTATCTGTCCCTCATGTCGCGTCCATCTGTTCATCTGCCTTTCTAGTTCATTTTGTGTGGGTTGAAACCCCCGTTATGTGACAGAATAATTTTTCGGTCTGAGTAACATTTCAATTCATTCCAACTTTACGCAAAAAAAATATTCTGAGTGTACTTCTCTCATTGACCACGGGATCATGCTCCACATACTCTCACGTAACCCAATGGACATTTGTCCATGACAAAGGAGTGTGTGTCAACTCACCCATTTTCGCTTGTTCATGTTGCATAAAGTACATACTCACAAGGAGAGCACACGTGTGACACGACAATAGCCTACCTGGGACTACATTTTCTCATTCTTTCACTCTTCCACTTCAGACTTTCCTCTTTCACCAATTCTCACCATCGTCAGGCCTCTTGGCCCCTTTGCCTTCATAAAAAGAGCCTCCCTCCCCCAGTCCCTTCCCTTCTTTCTTTTTCTCTCCTTTCGCGCATGAATACATAGGCTAGTCTACCATGCATTATTGTCTGAGTTTTCCAAGAAATATGAAAATGTTCACAAAAAGGACATTGAGGAATGTCCAGGACACAGTACTGGTACACCTCGTTTTTCTTTTTGTTTTTCTTGTCTATGTACTATTTTCTTCTTGGTGGCTCTCTTTCTTTCTTGTTCTTGGGAATTTGGCAAGTTTTTTACAATGGGAAAGGAATATGAATTTTAGGCTGAGGGTGGTCTGTCCTTCAACTCGATAGCTCTCTCCCCTTCTCTCTTCATTTCTTACGACAGCACTTTTGTTTGTATTTTTTGTGTGTTACGCACATGTCATCACAGCTCTGGGAGTTGTAATATAATAGTGGAGAAGGAGCGGAAAGGAACACGCTTTGGAGTTGAACGGCTACTCTAAAAGGGGTATGCGAGCTGCACAAAAAAAAAAAAAAATATCCCAGAGGAAAGGAAAATGGGGATACTACAAACACCAAAATCCAACCTGGCAAGGTACCCTCCCCCATTTCGCGACTTGGAGAGAGAGAGAGTATCGCAGTTGGAATACGGGCTAGGGCTATTTCCCTCTCCCTTCTTTTTAATTGTTCTATTTCTCTTTCTCTTCCCAAGCTCAAGCTCACGCTCACGTTTCCATGTCTCTCTTTTTCTTTTTTTGCTCATGCTCATGCTTATGATCATTTTCTCATTTATTTTGTACATCATTTTTTTTCCCGTGAGTGTGTGTGTATTTTCGGTACGAAGGACGCTGAAGTACGAAAAGCTCTCTGAATTGTGAGGAATGTGGAAAGGCATATGCATGACGCTTTTCTAGGTGGATGGAGGGATAACTCGGCTACAGTACTTAACAAAATGTGCATTGAACTAAATTCAACAAGCAACAACAAAACACAAAAAGCGAACTATCTTAAAAAGCTCATCCATGTACTGTCGCTTTTATTCCACATGCCTCCTCCCCTAATGTAAGATACTTTAGAAAGAGTATATGTAAGCTCCTTCTAGTTTAGAAGTTCAGAGAAGGAGGGTTGGTAACAACCACGTTCTGGTAACCAGGTAAGTTCACGACAAAGCTAAAGACGTTGGAGACGGGCTTGTTGATATCGTTGCGACCCAAACTGTCAAGACCCAGTTGGCAGTAACAGTCGAGATGAGCGAGTACTGGGTATAAAATGTGCTGTCGACTGTGTTCTTGATATTATGGACAGCGCTTCCAAGCAACAATCCAAGGACATGGTTGCAGCTGTCGAAATAATCGTCCGCTTCATCAAAGGTCAAGACTACAAGGGTGTCATTGTTGAAAGTCGGGTTGGACAGGAGGAGGGCCAAGAAACCCGTGGACCAATTGCTGGCATAGGCAACTGTGGTATCATGACCATCGCTCTTGACGTTGGGAGTGTAGGACGAGTAGTTGGGGAGGTTACCAGCTTGGAGGTCTGTCTGCAATTGCGTCGCGGGACGACATTTTTGCAACGGGTCGCGTTCTTGGAGATGTTATCAAAGCTGACAAAGGGTTGTGCTTGCGGTGGTAGAGACTCTGGGAGGAGCTACCCGTGTAACAAACCGAGGGCATGTCCTCCTGGTAGGGTTTCCAGGTCAGACCCTTGCTTCCAAAAGGTCGACGACCGTCTTGTAAGAGGTGCCCATGTTGTGGGTGAATCTGTCCCTGTAACGAAAAAGTCTCCGGCAATGGCAGTGAAGTAGTTGGGCTGGAAGGAGTGAGTAACTCCATGGTAGTTGCTGAGAGCAACGCCGCTTGAGAAGAGGGAACGGAGGTTGGGGTCAGAGTTGGCCAGGTCGTAGTCCTATCATCATAAGAAACAAGAACAAAAATATGGGTTAGTGTTGACTCGAATGATGAAATCGGAGTGTAGTGAGTGGTTCTTTGAACACTGGGTTAGGTTGACTGGAATTGCACCAGGCAAATGAAGGAATGTATGAAAGTGAACGACTTAAAGGTACATACGGTGTTCTCAAGGAAGATGATAAAGATGTGGTCAAAAGCTGCGCCCTTGGGAACGTCGGCGCAGCTTGAGCCAGTGGCAGCCAACAAAGCGAGGGACACAAGTTTGTTGAATAACATTGTGTGGTTGTATTAGTGATGGTGGTAGTAGTAGTTCCTTTTTGATGGGAGGTAAAAGGCCAAGGGAAGGATAGTGATAGGGCGACAGAATAAGAAAGAAGAAGAGGGAGTGAAAGAAGAAACACTTCCTCTTCTTTTATCAAAAAGAGGAATTATCCCTTCGTTTGTCTCTCATGCAAATTTGCATGATATTTTTCATTTATCGAGGATTACAATAAAATGGGTTGAGAGACCAAACCTGCCGATCTAAAACAAACGTAGCGTGCTTTTTTAGGGTGCTGTCGTCCAGGTTGCTATCTCATAACCATCATCCCCTCCTCCCATCATATCCTAGTCTCCACTTCACAATCCTCATTCATGCCCGAAACGATTTTGCCCAACCCAACTAACAACTCTAATATCGAAATCCTTGGATCCTTTGATGTCCATAAGACGCCATTTACGAATGAACCAAATGAATTGCTGTTCTCAATATCTCGCCGCCCTCAGGAGCTGTTTAATGATGATGACATCAGTGATGATGAGCCGTCGACACAAGGAAAGGTCGAGGATGGTTGCCTATCGTCTTCCTCTTCCTCAGCGCAAACAAGGATGACTGACAAGAAGATTGACAGCAAACCATGGACTCTCCCACCGCCCCCGGACTTCAAGAATATCTTTATGCACACAAAGGAGGAGCACGCGGCACAAGCTGATGTTCCACTCGCATTTCAACTCGACGGCGAACTTTCACCTTTGACCCTTTTCACGCTCTTTTTCTCGGATTCGGTATGTTTAAAAATTGCAGTCAATACCAACGCTTATGCAGCATCAAAAGGAGCTGGAGAAGTAGAAGGGTCACGCCACTGGGAGGATACGACCTTGGGCGACATACATATATTCCTAGACATCCTTGTCTACATGGGCATATTCCGACTACCCTGCGTTGAGGACTACTGGTCAACAAACCCAAACTAACCCCAACATTCGATCACTCACTTCATGACCCTTGTTCGCTTCCAACAGTTGAAGCGTTTCCTTCACGTCTCCCACCCAGACCTACTGGAAGAACATTAGTACTCAAAGGTAGAGCCTCTTACCACTAAATTGGCACAGGACTTCGCTCGCTACTACATCCCATCCTCCAATGTCTCCATCGACGAGATGATTGTTCGCTTTTCAGGAAGTAGCCACACTGTCCGCGTAAAGGGCAAACCCACACCGGAAGGCTACAAGATTATCGCTCTTTGCTAAGCAGGATACACCTACTCCTTCCTCTACACATCTCACATCAATTCTATCGTTGGCGTAGAAAAAATAAACGGACTGACTATGACCTCTTCAGTGGTTGTTCATCTCGCCAAAACACTCCCTTTTTCGACTCGTCACTACAATATTTACATGGACAACTACTTCTCCAACATTCCCCTCTGTACTTATTTGCGCCAATTCCAAATCGGCGCTTGTGGTGCTGTCCGTGTCAACTCTGCTGGATTCCCCAAACGACTCAAGGTGCCGAAGGCCAAGAAGCTAGCATGGAACACTCTATCTGGCATTGTCCTCAATAATCAAGACCTCGCTGTCATTTGGATGGATAATGCACCCATCAGCATGCTCAGCACCATCCACAAAATCCACATGGACGATAACTTTATCGAACGTATCCGTCGCTGTCCTCGCAACACCAGTACGAACGCCACTAATTCTCGGGCAGTATTCAATGGAATCCTACAGTTCCGCTCAAAATACCGAAATTGATCGATGACTACAACAAGAATGGAGTCGACCTCAGCGATCAGTTCAGATCATACTACTGTACCCAACTAACCGTTGTCAGGACATGGATGCCCCTATTTTTTTGGATTCTCGACACCACCATTGTCAACTCTTATCGTATCTATACCGTGCTAAAGGGGACTCTTACCCACAAGGAATATCGGTTCAAATTGGCATGGGCCTTGATCGCCTCAGAAGCACTCAACCAACACCATTCCATAATGAAAAAACACAAACGAGAGTGCGATGCGACGTCTGACAACCACCCCAGGAAGACCATGCACGTTACCAAAAACACTGAGCTACCCCCCAGCCGTTTTGTCCCCGGTTTCCACTATGGCCAATACTCCGATACCCGAGAACTCTGTCTCCTTTGCCGCTACAGAGCCACTGTCCTCAAGGACAAGAGCTACAAGAGTTCGACGCAGACAAACTGAGTCTGTAAGGATTGCAAGGTTCCTTTGTGCATGTCAAAAGCCCGTAACTGCTTCGAGGATTTCCATCAGAATAGCAAGAGGACAAGAAAACATATGAAGAATGAATAAAGCCCTCTACTGCAACATTCGCATGAGTGTTACGCTTTTCACGCAGTTGGGTGGCTTAGACGCGAGATTCATGTTACGGAATCAGGTGGGTTCGGTTGAGATATTGTGGAGTGGTTGTTACACTGACAGTTGAGGTTGATGTTGTGAATAAGGGAAATGTAGAAGAAGGCTGTTGAAACTGGGGGGGATCCTATGGCACGATACGCAAGCAAACAATACACACTGAAATAAACGGCGTCGGCTAACTCAATCAATTGCTTCGTGAAGTTGTCTTTTGAAAGGACATGGAGCAAAAGATCGAGCTGCCTCGCTATTTCTACTACTGCAGTATCTACTTTGGTCTAAATTACGGTGAGGTCAAGGCACTGCAAGGAATGGGCTCTCTGTAACAATGTGTAACGCGGTCGCTCACAATTATTTTGGCTCCTTGACCTTTCCACCATCCACACACCAACAAACACCACCCCCTACACACAAACAAACACCAACAAACAAACACCAACAAACAAATCCAAACGAAAACATACAACTAGCATACACTTCTGAACACCGACCTCCCCTTTCACCTTGGTATGACCGAGCACAAGCCTGCTTGCAGCTGTTTGCTTCTAGGTGTTGCCATTGCTAGAGGACTGATGCTAATCGCGGCTATTTTTTTCCCTACTTTTAGTCGTCATCATGGGTGTGGACGACCTGAGCGCCAAAATAAAGAAAACTACAGGAAAAGTCGACTCTCTCCTGGACCTCTCCTGGACAAGACTTGTCATGTCGACCTCTTCGGATCATTCTACGCCCTCCTCAACACACGCGCATATCACACGACTGCCAAGCACGTCGCCAAAGAGGCCAGAGTGCAGGTGTCTTTTGAGGTGTCGTTCGATCCCGTGTCGTCGGACAAATCGTTGAAGCGACCTAACATCGCCCCACATCCACCCTGCAACATCACACGAGCTCGACCAGCAAAAGCACCTCATTACACCTCGTCGGACCCCGTATCTCCAGCTCAAAATAACGCAGGATCAACTACTACAGAGATCGATCTTCCATCTTCCTCGAATCCAGCAACTATGCTGATCGACACAGGGCTACAGAATACGGCACTATCCTCCGCTGGATCCAGCTCACACGACCCAAATCGATCAGGTCCGCCAGTAGCACAAGGAGGAGCTGATGGTGGCAAAGATTTGGCTCTGCCCGACACAGACCAGCCAGAGCAACCTCAGCAAGTCACGCAGGTCTCACTCGTGGAGGCAATCGAGGAATTATTACTCCAAGAGCCCAAGGAGATATACATCGACCTGGATGGCCATCCGTCAGTGACACCCCAGCAACGAGAGGACAAAGAGGTATATTTTCGTGGCCACATCCAATGCACACGAGCGTATTTGCGCGGATAGATTCAAAAATAAGGGATATGATTGAACATAATGCATGACTCATTCTTTTAATTATTTAGCATTTTAGTACTTTGGACACATCGGGCTGGTCCTTGATAACCTCATCTCAAGCAGTTTGTCCAAGGTGCACACTATCATTCACGTCGACGGACCGCGTTCTTTGGAGAAGGAGGCCGAGCACAAGCGACGCGACGAACGTCTCCAGAAATCGCTCGACAAACTCACCCCCACCGCCACCAAGGACAAATTAGAATCCGGATTGGGACTCAAGGCAGTGTATAGGATATGCCGCTCAGCATACAGATTGCCGCCAGAGGCATTGGAACAGGTGCTGGGGGTGATGGAGAACAGTGGTTGGAGAGTATGCTGTTGTTCACACCAATCAGACCTGTGCATTGCATCGCACGTCCGTCGAGCTCCTGACAAGTCCGCCATACGTGTCGTAACCCACGATTCCGACCTTTTGGCCTATGAGGATATTCATTCCATCACCATTCCGGCTGGGATTTCAAGGGACTGGACCACATACTACAAGGACGAGCTCCTGATCAAGTTGGATCTGCCCTCCCCGGCCCATCTCGTATTCGTGTCTATTGCAACAGGAAACGATTACACCCGAGGGGTTCCCTACTACGGATAGGCGAGCAACATGGCAATTATCCGGCATTTCGACTTCGGGGTTTTGGGGGCAATGACAGGACAGGATCTGGTAGAGGGGTTTGAGAGACTGGTGGGTGACTATTTGGATGTGGTGAAGGCCAAGGCGGAGGATACTCGGAGGTCGGCAGGCCAACGACAACAACAACGGCGACAACGCCGAGCGCAACAAATTCGCCGCCAGACACCTCCACCAGATTCCAAAGCGGAACACAGGGATCAAAAGCGCATAGATCGCGCAGATATGCAGCTGGCCGTGACCGTGGCTGATTTCCAAGGTGCAATCGGGGCGTTCGTGTCCTGTCAAGAGTCTCCACAATCAACCGATGGGTCCCGACCACCTCTTGCATATGACGCCGTCCGTTCTACACTCTTGGAACTAGAAATGAGGAAGGCCAGGATCAATTCTTCCAGAGTCAAGAGAATCGGGGTTGCCGCCGAGACAAGAGATGCCTCGCTTGTAGCCGAAAGCTTGATGGATGCGGGCGAGCCTTCAACTCTCATAGTCCCCGCAGCGAGTGCCGGTCAGCAGGGCTACTTCGACTCTGGTCGTGGCGGTAAGGCCAAGGCGAAGCGGACAAGGAAGCACAGAGGTCCCCGCAAAAATCGAGCCAACAGGAAAAGGTTCAACAAGTGGAGGAAATCCATGTGAGTGGAAACTTGGATAACTTTTGCGTATTGGCGACCAAATTGCTTTCTGCAGGCTTTTTACTAATACTCTCAATGTTGATATTATTTCTTGTTGTTAGGTTCCGAAGAAGGACCGATCTTGCCCGCCCCTATGAACCGCATAAGGTCTTTCTTCCTGATGCCAGCCCAGTGGAAGAGGACGCGCTCCAGCATCTAACGCCATCAACACCTCGACCATTCAAACCCAAACCCGACTCCAGCAATAACAACAACGACGGTAACGGCAACAACAAGAGCAACAAAAAGAAGCGCAAGAAGCCCTTAAAGCTACCCGCGGACAAGGAGGGGCATAAAGCTCTAAAGAAGTCATTCGGTGGCGCTTTCAAGATGTTGGTACTGACAGCTGGATCACTTTGGGGACTGTCTCCGCCGCGCAACCGATCTGACATCAGAAGAGATTTCCCGATCGTCAACAGGATCGACCGCGCCGTCTTCGCGATGAACCCCGCGAAACATGTCGTCATGAAGATGCTCGAGTTCTTATTCTACGATGTCTGTTGCCTGCGCGAAACCAAGAGGGCCGACCCCAAGACAGTCATGAGGACGACGCTATGTTCGGCGACGATGCTCTTGATCTTCTGCTTGGAAAGGACAGCGCAGGGGTCATCATTCGAAATCTCATCTCATTCGCCCTTCGAGGATCCACATCGGCGCAGGCTGGACGGAGAGCAGAAAAGACCGAGTCTATTAGCGCATATGCTCTCGCCATTTCTATCTTCGAGCAGTTCCGAGCTTTGCACCCATCAATCAAGGCGCTCAACCCTGACCATATACCCCTCTCGAATGTCCAGCAGGATTTGGCGCCAAAGATCTGTTTAGCGATCAAGATGCACTACCGAAAACTGCCAACAACTATAGTCAACAAGGTAATGCTCTACTAACAAGTTGCATGCGAAAGTGCGCATTGAAAGTGGATAATACATAGATAAAATTATAATAACGCCAATTCATTCCTTTTTCCTTTATGAATCTAGATGAAAAAGCTTGGTTTCGAATCATCGACAATTCCCTCCTGTGATGGAGAAGAGGAGGAGGAGGAAAAGGAGGAGGAGAACGGCGATGAATTTCGGGATGTAGCGGAGGAGACCACCAATAAGTCCGACAAGATTGTCTTCGAGGCCGGTCACATCAAGACCTAGTGGGACGAGATGCTCCGACTCCCATACGACCAGAGACCGCGCTTCTGTATTAGTACGCACTTGGGTGACTCGTTTCTGGACATCAGCGAGGAAGCTCTTCTGGCGATTCTCTGGGGAGAGTCATCGGGAGATGTGGGCAGGACGACGGAAGCCAATGTGCGGAGTAGGACGGAGGCCAAGGAGGACCAGGAGTCTGACTATGGCGGGTTGATGAGGCGTCTCGTTATCGGCAAGCCGGAGGATCTGGTGAACAAGGAAGTCGGGCAGACGACATATGGCAAAAAGACTACGACCATGCAGGAGCTCTCTACCCAGCACCCATAGATCTACGGACAAGGATCCCTTGCACGCTACACCATCCGAAGGGTTAACGTCCTGCGGGAAATACACAATCAAAATCTAACAACACCCACACAGCCAACAGCAACAACATCAACATCATCATCAACAGCGGCGCCACAGCTACCCGCGCTGCCTTCACCCACCGGCTCCATGGCGACAAACAAACGATACGCATTGAGCAACTATCTAAGAACTGATGGTCATCAGCTACAACTACTCGCGTTTGATGTGCGACGAGGTTGGGAATCCTCTTTCTCCAAGAACAAGCTTATTCACAGGATCGAGACAGACTTCCCGACGAGACAGTCCATTGTCGATTGGTTTGGGGATGACATGTCCTCTGTCGTTGTCGTCGGTGTGGACCCAGGAGAGAAAGTCAGCGGCACCTTTTGTGTGAAGCTCGGCGAGGATTGGGCCGTGAATCTGTTGGTCAAGAGAAGCTCTTTATACCAGCCAACGTTAGCGCATTGGAGCTGGATGCAGGACTTGAAAGGAGCCCAGCCGGCGGCGGACTCCGGGGGGGGGGGGGGGGGGGGGCACTAGATGGAGGCGTGTGGGCAGTCCAGGACGTTCGATATTGAAGGAACACTGCAGCCGACCTCGTACGAAACATGGGACAAGATGGTCGAAGCCCACCGAAAGTACTTGTCTGCGGAACCACTGCTTCACGAGTTCTATGGACCGCGTACTGTCAAGTTCGCCAACTACGAGCACCGCTAGGCCAAGTTGTCGGATATGGATCTTGCTGTTGCTGGTGTCATGAGGTTGGTGGAAGCGGCGGTATCAAGGATTCCCGAGGGCAAGACCCCTACCGTACTGTTTGCATGGGGAAACGGATCGTTCCGTTCTGGCTACAACTTAACCTCGCAGCATATGACATTGCAGCGACGGCTTGCTCAGAAGGTAATAGCACAAACGGACACGGTTCAAGTGAAGCGCCAATTCAATGAGAATAAGTGCAAGTACCAATCAAATTGCTTTATTTTCTACAAACTCGTAGGCCCGCGAAAGAGGGTACTTGGTTCTGTTAGTCGACGAGTACCTGACTTCTACAATGTGCCCCACTTGCGTTGCGGTTGGAGTGTCAACGAGATTGGCGAAACCCTCAATGCGTGTTTGCGCCTGTTTGAAGTGTCAAAGGTGGATTCATCGGGATGTGGTCGGGGCGCATAATATTGCGCTTGTTGGCGAGCAGTATGTGCGGACTCTTGGACGACCAGCGCCCCTACTACGACCTCTATAATTTCAACATCGACCATGTTGTAGAACTATCCTAACCCTTAACAGGGGAAGGGATAAACTCTGTTACAAAAAGATGTGGTGGCTAGACAGTGGCGGCGATGCCTTAGGTTAGCAGTCATATTCTTTAGTAGACATAGTATTAGTAGTGCGCCGAGCCCTCTTGTCTGCTCTTTGTCCTTTTACACATCACTTGGACGAGAGCAGTATTGACAAGAGTTTCGCTGGCACGCTGCAGGTAACAACCCCCTCTTTAATAATATGAATACAAGGTCCTTTTACACATCACTTGGACGAGAGCAGTATTGACAAGAGTTTCGCTGGCACGCTGCTATTATCACTTCCTCTCCCTCCAACCTACAACCCCCTTCCCCCCTCCGTACCAATTGAGGACCTAACAGCGGTCCTACAACTCTGGCCGTCGACCCTCTCCCCTGAGTAACAACTCTGTTCCCAAGCGCGCTGACTGACAGTTCTTTTTTCAAGTCCGAGAGTGTTATTGATTGTCTGCCTAAGGTAGGCAAACATATGGCGGGGCCAAGCTGCCAACGAATTGAACGCGTGTCTCAATTTTGTTGCATGGAATTGAACAAACCAAGCAGCAAATCTTCAACAGAATTATTGGGCGCGAAGGCCCGAGAATTGGCAAGTATTAAAAATGCAACGAATTGAACGCAGCTCTTAATATTTCAATGATAGCATGTGCATTGTAAAGTACGAATTTTGAACATACGCTTGATCCCACACGGTCTCTAGATCGTGACGTCTATTGAATCAATTTTTCTAATTCGCCATCATAGATCCATTCACTCTTTATTGTCGCTCTTTATTTTGTGATCACTCTAATTCACCCTTCACTCACCTTCAGCTCCTCCTTTACCCTTTCGAACGAGTCCCAGCTCAGCAAACAATCAACATGAAGCCTCGTACGCGATCCATTAAAGAGATAGCCGTACAGCAGCTTGGACAAGGAAAATCGACCAGGGCAGTTGCATGCAACCTTCGGATCTCTGTCTCATCGGCGATCAGGATCAGGAACGAGGAAAAGGAAAACATCCCTGAGCCCCATCCTGGCAGACCTAGGAAGATCTCAACGAAGACGAGGACGAATCTCGCGCGCCATTTCATCTAAGGCGACTTAACATCGCTAAAGGATGGACAACGATTTATTGAATCAACCGAGGGAGAGCATGTCTACCTTACCACTATACAGAAGAATCTACTCCAGGAAGGAATGAGGGTCTACTCAGCACCAGACAAGCCGAATCTCACACGGGAACAGATCACAAAAAGGCTCAGATTCGCAGAAGAACACCATCACTGGAAGGTCGAGGACTGGAAGAACGTGATGTTCTCTTATGAGTGCATCTTCAGCCGCATTGGGTCCTTCGACAAGAAGTACTACTACCACAGACGCCAACAACAACAACACCTGCCTCACCAAGTTTGGCCGAAACAACAAGGCGGTGGAAGGAAAATAATGGCCTGGGGTTGCATTGCACATTCTGGCGTCGGAGACCTCTGCTGGATCGAGGGCAATATGGATTCGGATGCCTATCTCAACCTTCTCCAAAGGCGTGTTCGTCAGTCCCGTGATTGGCTAGGCATGGACAAAAAGAAATTCATATTCCAACAGGACAGTGCCCGCATATACACTGCACTCAAATCCATACACTTTTTTGCGAGGCACAGGATCAAGGTTTTTGAGTGGCCACCTAATTCGCCCGACCTCAACCTCATCGAGAACGTTTGGTCGTACATCAAAAAGGAGCTGATCGGCAGCCAGAGGCGGCTGAGGACCAGGACAGGCTGTGGGAACGTGTAGAGGCGATCTGGAGGGAGATTCTGCCGGAGTACCTTCACAAACTGTACGAGAGCATGTCCGACCGCCTGGAGATGGTGATTTAGGACAAAGGACGCGACACCAAGTACTGATGACCGCGGTAGATGAAGGGCATGCAACAGATTCAGTCATTTAGAAAAACTGATACAATGAACTTATTTATTTTAAAGCGATGTCGATGACGATTCTACAAAGTAACCCTGGTTGGGATTTCATGTGAACAATGAGGAGGAGAGAGTATAACAATAGAGCGAGACTTGGGAGTAGAGGGTTAGGATGAGAATGAGAAACGTTGATGAATGTCAAAGACTGCAATTCATCGAACCAGTTTTTCTAAGCACTAAAACACCCCCTGTCAGTGCAAAACTAACAGGGTGTGTCTGACAGGGTATTCTCAGTCATTCCCTTTCAGAGTAGAAATGCTTTTGAAAATTGTCCTTGTTTGTGGGTTTGTGTTCGTTGCTGCTCAACGTTTGTTGCTTGCACGCCTTGCTTGATATCTCGCTGGAGAATGATCACCGCAGCCTTTGCTTAAGTAGCCTTTCTTCCAACTTATCCTCCTACCTTCTTTGTCCCTTTCTTTTTTTTTTTTGTCTCCTTTTCTCTTTGTCTCCCTCTCTCCCTGTCTCCCTCCCTCCCTCCCTCCCTCTCTCTTCCCTCTCTTTCTATTTTTGTCTCCCTCTCTGTTTGTCTCCCTCTTGCTGCATCTCAGTGTCTGTTCACTCACTCCTCATTCTCTATTAAAGGTAGGAGTGTTATTTATATTCTCATAGGGCTCAATAAAGAACCCCAGCTTCTTTCTCACCATTTCCCTCTCCCCAGCTGTTCATATTACATTTTTTTTGGCGAAGAATCGAGGGATCATTCCCACACAACTTTGAACAAAAACACACACACACTTTAACACTCACAAAAACGTACTTACTTATTCATTCACACACACAAACGCTTATCCATTCACTCACTCACACTCATCGACTTATTCATTCACACTCATCGACTCACCATCCATCCATTCATTCATTCATTCATTCATTCATTTATACAACAAAGACACAACAAAAAAAAGAAAACAGAAAAAAAGTCATTTTGTTACCATCCACTTCACTGCTTTTCTTTGTCCACAAACTCGTGCCTCGTTCTCACAGGGGGAGGAGAGCAGTTGCATCTCAGTGTCTGTTCACTCACTCCTTATTCTCTATTAAAGGTAGGTAGTATTATATATTCTCATAGGGCTCAATAAGACCCCCAGCTTCTTTCTCGCCATTTTCCTCTCCCCAGCTGTTCATATTACATCTCTCTCTCTCTGTCTCCCTCCCTCCCTCTCTCTTCCCTCTCTTTCTCTTTTTGTCTCCCTCTCTCTTTATATATCCATCTCTCTTTTCTGTCTCTGTGTGTCTGTCTGTTACTCCCTTCTTAGCTGCAGGAAAGCGAGGCCAACGAGCGAAGACTTTTTCATGGTTACCTTCCCTTTTTCTCGTGTTCGCCTTGCCTTTTTTGTTTCATGTTCTTGGTAAACTTGTCCTTCTCTTCCCTCTCCATCATCTCAGCTCGTATGCACACACTCACGCACAACACACAACACATACACACACAGACAAGCACTCGCCCATACTCTCTAACTATCTCCTCTCACCCTTGCCTCTTCCTTCTTGTCTTCCCCTCTTCTTCCCCTCCTTTCTGATCGGCACTTGATTCTCACACCCATCCCTGAAAACCGAAAGAACCCGCTGCAACAAAACATATATCCAATGGTAATAAAAAGCGTAAGTTTTGTATTCAAGGCCATAAACTTGGCATTTGCTCTCCTCCTAAAGATTAAGCATTACTGCCCTTCCCTTTCCTTCCTCTGCCACGTCCTTTCCCCCCTCCACGTCCTCTCCCTCTACCACGCCCCCGCTCTTCAACGCGCTTCGATCCTCGGCCAATGTTCCAATGATGCCCCCTCCTCTTCTTCGGGTTTTGGTTCTGATCCTGTACAGTGCCATCCACCTTTCGCTTTGCTTCCCACCACTGATTAAATTCCTGAAAGGCCTTCATCTTCTCGGGATACTCCTCGAACGTCGCCATGATGGTCTTGAAGTCGTTGGTATAGCCGAGCTGCGCCTCCTCGCTAACGTCCAGGTCGCTTATCGTATTCGTAAATTTCCTCACGGCACTTGCGGTCTTCGAATGCACAGCCTTGATCGCCTTGCTCCTCTTTGATACGGCGGATGGTGCCTTAAGGAATAGCTCCTTCAACCGCGCGGCAAACTCTGACTGAGACAATACAGGCCTACCTCTCTCCTTCCTACCCTTACCCTTACCGCGCCTATCCTTGTTAGCGGCTGTGCTCTCAGCATAGGTATTGGCCCTGACATGCTGGAGCTCGTCGAGCGTTGAATTAAGTCGAGGATTATCCTGCATGCCCTCGGTGTACCATCGCTTTTCAATCATCCCTGTGAAAAAAAGAATATCACCATCGTGCCTCATTACATAGTAAAAATGGCGGCAGACCCAGCCCTTATTCTGCATTGAAGCGCATGAACAAAAGTGGGTACTATCCATCATAAGCACCATATACTCCGGCAACGTCGTCGATTCTGTACTTGAAACCGTGATCAAGTATACTTTGTCAACCTTGCACTCAACGTTCTCGACAATAGTGCAAATAGATCTCCTGAGAAGGTTTTCTCTGCTCAAATCATCCTAATTGAATGAAAAAAGGAGTAGAAAAAAAGGAGTAGAAAAACAATGAGAAACCACTAACGGGATTTTATACTTTGACAGCAATCATCATACAGACTTACTTTGGAGATATCTTGAGAAAAGCTTTGAGGGTCGATAACTCTATGCTGGAAACCATAGGACTGAGCAAGCTCGATTCTCATTTGGCTCATAGCATAGTGATCCAGGAACCGACTGGAAGCAGAGAGCACCATCTTCAAGTCACAAGCAATGACCCCGTCGAGGTCTTTGCTGTGATTGGTCACTCTACCGACGATGGCAAAAGCGAGCTCCTTGTTGAGCTTCGTAGAGATGAATTCCAGGAGTCGCTGCAAAGGTGTCTGACTGTTGACACCGAGCATCTTGATCAACCTGTGGGTCATCTCAACTCGCTGCGAAGACCGCATCCCGGCGGTAAAGATGGTCTTGACCCAAGGGCCCAGTGCTCTCGACGGCGGCGCATTCTTCTCAGGTACTTGCCCCAGTCTCCCCACTCGTACTCAACAAACATATGATCGTCTCTATCCACAAGCTGGTCGTCCTGGCTCGACGAGTCCTTCTTTTCCTCACCTTTGACCTTCTCTACCTTCTTGCCCTTGACCTTGCTTTTGATCTCAGGCTCGCGACGCTCCCCTCTGCCTTCCCCACCAAATCTTTGACAAAGACCCATCCATATCATCCTGAAGGCATCCTCTGTAATAGCTTCTCGGGCTTCATTGAAAACATCCATGAACGCCTCCTGATCCACGCGTTTTGGGAATACTCTCTTGATGTGTCGACGTATGTTCTTGAGCATATGCCAAATACATGATACAATATTGGTCCTGCCCGTCAACACCTGATCGGCTGCCGCCTCCATCGCCGCCTCCTCGTCCATAATGATTGTTGTAGGATAAACGTACCCAGTCTCGGTCTTGGTGGCCTCCAGCTACTGCTGCAATCCCCAGGCATAATACTCCTGGCTCGCACAGGCAATCAACCGTGTACGATTTGTGGAGTCAACGACGACAAAGCAAGTCAAGCTCATGCCCAATCGATTAGTTTTGGCGGTATTGTCGTGTACAACAATACAGTGGTAACGCTTGTACAAAGCAACCTGCTCTGGAGACATCCAGAACAGTCGATCCAGACAGCATTCCTCGTCCACCTCAGAGGAAAAAAACCACCGCTCCTTCTGCATCTTCGTACACAAGTAGGCCTGCAGTAATGTTGCTTCCGCGTTCTGGGATGGTGGTCGGCGAGCATTCTTATACATCTTCAGTCGGGCGTCGATCTGTTGCTTGTTGAAGACCTTGTTGGAGTTGGTGTATGTCTGTTCCAGCTGTAACATTGTTGCCTCGATCGAAGAATCCGTCTGTGCACGCTCCTTTATAATCTCAACCATTCTTGGGGAGAGACGATTGATCATGTGGAGATCCTGCCTAGGCTGGTGACCATTGTGTTGGAGAGATCTGATCTTGGAGAGGCGCCAAGCAGGCCTGATCTCTAATGGACTTGTGAAATTGAGGCCGAACAGACACCCACAACGTGTGCTCTTTTGGGAGTCTCGCGACTTTTCTGGGTCAACGCTCTGTTGGGCAATGTGAGAACCCTCTCTGCTACACGCGAAATAAACTGTATAACAAAAACAGAGCGCAAGAAAAGAAAGTGGCGTAAATAATTGGTTCTGGATCATGCACCACACTTTTCAATTCTCTAAATTTTATCCTGGCTTTGTCGTTATTTCTCCCCTCAACTTACCATGGAGACCTTTCTCAGGACTGGTCGTGTTCGAGGAACGAACTTTGATGTCGACGTTTCTGCTCAAGCCCCAGTCCTTGACAAAGTCGATCAAAGTCTCTGAGTGCGGGAAAATGTCTCCCTCGTGTGGTTCCCATTCGTCGGCCAGTCTCACGTGGTCCGTATTCAGTATTGATCCGTGAGCGTACACTTTAAGAATAGTCGGATTCAAGCAATCCTCCTGAACCTTGCACTCGGTATTAGTGGACGCGGCAGGCATACTGGTAGCGGCTGGTTTTTTGGTGGTTAGCGTCTCAGGAATGTTGACGGTGTATGGTCTGATAATAGTGGACAGGTCTCTGGTGGGGACAGCACAGCTCTTTATCACATCCTCGAATGAAGGAAGATCGGACCCCGAGTCTGTGTTTGAATCCGAAAGGTTATCGTCCTCATCCATAGAGTTCCAGTCCTCGCTACCGCTCATTTCCTTGCCATTGTTTTGGTCCTTGCCGTCATCGGTTCTTTTGCCATTGTATAGTGGATCGTCCCATGTCACAAAGTTGGCGATTGCACAACGAAGTAGGTCAATCTCTGTCTCCAAACTCCAGACCATTGGGGAAACCGAGGCCTATTATTTGACAGTAGGAAAAACAGCGAATTAATAAAAAACAATAAAGTAAGACGATGGCCAAGCATATTAATCGTACGTACCCATTGGTGAGCAAATTGAACCGACTTGTATTTTGGGGTAGTATCCTCAGAGTACTGCCTGGTCTTTTGCACGCCTTCGCTCTATTAGATGAGCAAAATGCACAAGGTAAATAAAAATAATGATCTTACAAGGACATTTTCATGTTTATGTCTTTGGCTATTATCGACACAAACGTTACAGGCCGGCTGTCATCACTGTTGGGACGTACTTCATCGTCAGCGGCCTTACTTTTCTCTTTGCTCTCATCGTTCGTCTCCTCCTTGCTCTCACCGTTCATTTCCTCCCTGCTCTCACCGTTCATGTCATCCTTGTCCTCGCCGTGAGTTTCGCCTCCTTTTCCCATCGTATCGTTACCGCTCGTCTCCTCCACACCATCCCCTGACTTTTTTAAATAATGAAGGATTAGTTAGTATAGAACATTAAAAAGATGCAATAGCAATGCATTGTTATTAATTGTCGTTTCATTCCATTACCTTGGGTGCAGACTTGATGTTCAAGAGGGGGAAGCCTTGCGCCTATAAAACAAATACTGCCTGCGTTATGAATCACATTTTTTAAAATAGTATAGCTGAAACCATGGCGCACAAGATCGCAGAAAATAATCTTGTTACCTTTTCGTAGCCTAAGACCCGCGCCAAATAAGCGGTTCGATAAATCGGAATGTTCTTTTCCTCCCATCCATAGCACCCGTTCTTGAAGAGAATGTCATGTTCGACTGCAAATGCGGCAATAATTCCGCACGAGACCCCATCCTGTCTGGGCACCTTGATAGAGGCAAGAAAGGCGTTGTCGATTTCCTTCCAAGGCGATTTTTCACGTACACGGCACACGGAAATGGTTTTTTAAAACATCCAACTCTCTGTCAACGAACTGTGTACCATTCGAGTTGACGTATACAGTCCGAATTTGCAAGAGAGATACAAAATAAATAGGCACCAAGCAAGATGCGATTTTTTAAAAACTAGTCTCCTATCTGCATTTCATGGCAAAGATGCAACATAGTCAGAACAAGTTTTGAAATATCATCGACAAGATCTAATGCCCTTAATTTCGATGCGAAGGATGCGATCTGTTGATGGACATGTACATTCAAGAGAGATCTATGCAAAAAACTATGGTACATTTCTGTTTGGAAAAGTTGGCGGTGATTGGTAGGACTATTACGCCCGGAATATTACAATGGTTAGCATACGTGATTGCCGTTATACAAATACTCTTGTCTGATTGTCACTATGAACCTCATCAAGAAGGACATAGATGTGGAAGATACCACGTTGTATTTGGATCTGAGTGGTCTCCTGAGCGTACTGCGCTCCAATGCAGCTCTGTCTAGAACATCAGCGATGGGTTCGTCCAAACGAAAGGCGTGCATGAACTGACCGGGAAGATGCAAATGCAACCTGGTGACGGAAGGATAAGCACTGTGTAGGCGGAATCCGAATATGCGCCAAGCGGACTCGGAGGCAGAGACATAGCGACCGTCGATGAAATCAATGATCTCGTTGACTTCTGGCACAGGTAGATCACCGGCTCTGGCTTGAGCTCCGTCTTGTGCCGGCTGTTGGACCACAACAGTGGCTCGATCGTGGCCCTTGTAGACGTACTTGTACAGATACTTGACGGCAGTGGAAGAGGTACAGCTCTCGACATTGATATGTGCACCATACTTCGCAGCCAGATAAGGATTGTGCGGAACGACCCAACGGTTGTCAATCTCGAAATCTCCTCGGCCATCGATCCTGACCGTCCTTCCATCCATGCGGCGCCGGTACTGTGGGTATCTATTTGGTCCGTTTGTGGTGGTTGCGAGGAAGGGCTTGGCATAGCCTTTGGTACATACGCCGTTTTCCATGCATGGAGAGTTCCTGTTCGCCGGTCCACATGGGCCATGGATCATGGATTTTATAACAGTCTCGTAGGCGGCTGGATGAGTTGCAGGGTTGGGAATCTCGGCAGAATGTATTTGTCGTAGTCCTCAGGCGATCCAGGTTTGTGCTCGGGGCCCATGATGAGCAGAATGTGTGCATGGGGGAGTCCACGCTTCTGGAACTCAATAACATGAATCATGCCGACAACCTTTCCAAGGACTTGGCTTTTCAATAGATCATGCAGGAGTTCCTTCAGCTTGATGTGAAAGACGCGGGTCGTCAGATCCGGACGGTTCGCCGCTGTCTGGTTCGGGAAAAGTTCAGACGTGATTTCCGGCCACTTGGGGTTACAGGTAAAAGTGACGAAATAATCCGGAGTCGATTCGAAGGCACGGACAATGGCCATTGCATCTTGGTACAACTGCTGCATGTATCGGGGTCCGCTGACATAGCTTGAAGGCAGGACAACCCGTCTTCCAACGGCGGCGGCGTCGACATCCCCAGCATTCACCGCATCTTGTAAGCCTGTGGAGACATCATGCCAAAAAAAAATTAGAATTCTGAGAATGACCATCAAGTGATTTTCAAAATGTCTTTAACATTTCATTTCAAAAATGACCCCGTTGATTACCTAAGTAGAGCTCAATGCGCAGGGTCTGCTGATTATGCTTCAGAAAATTGAGACGATTCATGTCCATAGTGCAAAACATATCGACCATCAATTGCTGAAAGAGCCGTTTCGAACGAAGCATATACTCGCTGCTATCGTCAATGCGGTACTGGAGCCGATACGCTAAAAATCCATCATGGTAATCCTGCGAGGGTTGTTGCCTTGAGCTTGGTCCTGGTCATCTTCATCGTCCTCATGCTCGCCCTCATCGTCAATTGTCGAGATCCATTTCCATTCCAGCTTGTGGATCGGCGTCGTCAAGGATTTCATCATTATAGCCCTGGTCGACCTGCTCCTCGAGGTCGTACTCAAAGTCATCGTTGTCGCTGTCGATGTCGTTGTCGTTATCGTTATCGTTATCATTATCATTGTTACTGTCGTTGTCGTTGTCACTGTTGATGTCGATGTCGCTGTCGCTGTTGTTATCGTTGTCGTCAAGGTCCATCTCATTAGCGTTGGGTTGATCCAGCAGTGGCTGTGGATCATGAGGTGGAACAGGATGTTGATAAGCAAGTTGTGGATCTAGGACATGTTGCAAGACATTGTTACTCAGGGGAGAGGGTCGACGGCCAGAGTTGTAAGACCGCTGTTAAGTCCTCAATTGGTACGGGGGGGGGGGGAAGGGGGGGTTGTGGGTTGGAGGGGGGGGGAAGTGATAATAGCGTCCTAAAAGAATCACACGAAACGATACACTGCAGCGCGCCAGCGAAACTCTTGTCAATACCGCTCTCGTCCAAGAAGTGATGTGTAAAAGGACAAAGAGCAGACAAGAGGGCTCGGCGCACTACTAATACTATCTACTAAAGAATATGACTGCTAACCTAAGGCATCGCCGCCACTGCCTAGCCACCACATCTTTTTGTAACAACATGTACATTCAGGAGAGATCTATGCAAAAAACTATGGTACATTTCTGTTTGGAAAAGTTGGCGGTGATTGGTAGGATTATTACGCCCGGAATATTACAATGGTTAGCATACGTGATTGCTGTTATACAAATACTCTTGTCTGATTGTCACCATGAACCTCATTAAGAAGGACATAGATGTGGAAGATGCCACGTTGTATTTTGGATCTGAATGGTCTCCTAACAGCAGTGAAGAATGCAGCACTGAAAACAGAAGCATTACTCTCGGACACCATTACCCTCTCACCCAAGGCCAAGGACAACCTCGACTGGCGGATCACGCAGTTCAGCTATGGAACGGATTGTCCTGGATCCAAACACCAACACAGCTGAATGTCTATACCAATGCCTCGACCAGCGGCTGGGGGATTGTGATCAACGACGAGTCGTGGAGTGGACAGTGGTTAGGGACAGACAAATATCAACACATCAACTGGCTTGAGTTGCAGACGATCTTCAAGGCGGTCAAGTTCCCTCAGGTGCAGGGGAGAATGGTCAATTTAATGGTGGACAACACCACCACCATCGCTTACGTCAATAGGTTCGGAGGGACTCGATCACCAGCACTGATGGAGCTGGCGGAGCAGATATGGCAACACTGCCTCCGGACAGGAACCCGACTCAGAACGACCTACGTCCTCCCCCCTTTCAACCCAGCGGATGCACCGTCCCGGCAGATGGTGCAACAGTTGGAATGGTCGATCGATAAATCTTTCTTCCAGCAGCTGGATCAGATCTGGGGCCCCCACCAGATCGACCTCTTCGCGACGGCATAGAACACCAAGACGCAACGGTTCTTCTCCTGGATGCCGGACACGAGAGCAGTAGCCACCGACGCCCTCCGCCACACCTGGAGCAACCTGGGCAACTTATACCTCTGCCCCCCCTGGAACCTGATCCCTCGAGTCTTGTCCCGCCTGTGTCACGAGACAAGAGCTTGCTCTTGTGACTTCGCCCTAACAAATATAAAAGGGCCTTAGATAGTAAATCTATAGCTCTTTACTTGGTATCGCCAATATAACATACGCCTTAACCTATTCCTCATACTCATTTCCTAGCCCTTGATCAAGGTTCTCTTTATCTACTTCATTCTATTGCTTGGTCTGCTTTCTTGACAGCCTGCAGCAGGAAGGCCTATCGGCAACGATCATCACTCCCTATTGGCCAACGACGATTTGGTTCCCGACGGTCTCCCAGATGTCAATTGCGGACCCGATCCCAGTCCCACGCCACCTCGTTCTACCGGCTCCAGGAAGCGCAAGCGACATTCTCTCCAAGAACCCTCACTGGACCATGATGGCTTGGCGGGTAAGCGGGTCAGGACAATGGTAGTGGACGGTCTCTCGCCCACCTGCGCCCAAAGCCTCCTTGAGGCGTCTACGGCCCCCGCGACAACGCGTCGATACGCGTGCATTCAATGCGAGTTCACCTCATGGATGCGAACAGAAAGTCGGGATCCAGAAAAATTTGATATCCCCTCCATCGTCGAGTTTTTGTTTCAAGGCTGGACAAAATCGGACTGGAAGCCACAGACAATCAACACCAACAAGTGCGCCATCCTCGCCATGTATCAGGAAGAGAACGACCTCTTCAACAGCCACCCATACGCCAAACATCTGGTCACTCTGGTCAAGCGCAAGGATCTCAAAGCAATCAAGAACACGCCTGTGGACATTTCCCCTATTCTTGCCCTTTTTCGTGCATGGGGTTCGAACGACTCTCTCCCTATCGACGACCTTGTTTGCAAGTTAGCCTGGCTCCTCGGCATCTGCGGTTTCCTACGTCCAGATGATGTCCAATGCATCAATGTCGCCAGGCCAACGATCAACGCCGCCGGTATCCTCTCCCTTCAGGTGGTCGCACCAAAGGAGAAAGTGGGCGGCTCCAGCACAGTGGTGAAGGTGCTCATCTCTCCCGCCTCCGACCCTCTGATCTGCCCAGTCCAAGCATACTCAGCCTACCTTACACGTCTTCCTGCTGATCTCACAACCTTGGCGCACCACAAGTCCACACGCACAACCCCAAGACCGGACACGGTCCCTCTTCTCCATCACCAAGACGATCCATCCCTGGCAATCGCCAGCTCCACGATCGGAACAAAGATGAACAGCATTACCGATCACATGACTTTTCCGCCAGACACCACCCGGCCAAGTTGTCGCGCTATCGGCAGCACGTTGGCAGCTTTCCACGACGTATCCGTTGACGAGGTCAAGAAGCACGGTCGATGGTCCCTTCTCTCCGCCACTTTCGAGAAGTTCTATCGCCTGAACCGCAATTCGGCAATTAACTTCAGTTCCATTGTTTTGGCAGGCTCTGGATCCACAGCATCGGTTTCTGGTCGTCACAACGGAAAATGAACAGGTGAAGTCTATGCAAGACGACTTACACCCATTCTCCTAGTAGACCAGAGACCGAGGATGTGCCCACCCACGTCCTCCCTTTAGTTAGCTCACGCAGATAGTAGATAGGGATCCAGATCCGACAGTTCCTTCCATTTTATTTTTATTTTTATTTTCTCGATCATAATTAAAAGAAGGTCACATCACATCCTCGGTCTCTGGTCTACTAGGAGAATGAGTGTAAGTCGTATTGCAAAGACTTCACCTGTTCATTCTCTTCTCATCTTTATAGATGTTTTCTCGATTCCATTCTCTCAATTCATGTGTTGATCACGTTTCAGTCAAGTTCATTGCCATTGGGTCATACAAGGTGCATTGTTGACAAGATTCAAGCAAGTCAGAGCCGCATGATTATGTGTTTTTATTGTCTTTTTCTTCTCATCATTCAGATTGGTCCAGGCTTTGGTATTCATGACAGGGTGGTATTGTATTGATGAAAGTTGCTCAGTCTTTGAGGGGGGACCATGAAAGCATTTTCATGCACTTTCATCTGTAAGTTGCCCCGAACGTTGTTCCCATTGTCATGATTATGGTGTGCAGGAGTGAAATTGAGTAAGGTGGGAGGCATGGAAGGTGTGTGATGGAGAGAACAGTCAATCATGTCCCTCCCCTTCTTCTCATACATGCAAAGTCCTCGCAAGGCACCTTCATTGTTACTTGTAGGTCATCTGCTATTGGTTCATGCATAAATCACGCAATCTCTCTTAGGGACAAAACGAACGATGACATCATCCTTTATTTTCAACATCATGTGACACTAATCATCAGTGGAGATCTTAACGGCGGTGAGGATTAACCTCTGCTCAAGCATCGCAGTCGATGCAAGGTCGTGCTTTCGATACCATAGAGTATAAGCAGTAGTGGTGCCAGTGTTTTCAGACTGGAGTGGTGCCAGTGGAGAGACGGTGCTCTGTCAGCTGCATCGCTGCATGGCTGACCTTCCATTCGGTGATGGGAGTGCATTCACTTATTCCTTTCGTGTCTTTCTTTTTTTTTTTTTTTTTTTTTTTTTTTTGAAAGGTGAATGCATGTAGGGGTGTGTGAAGTGGGCAAGATCCCTATTGTGAATTCGTTAAGAAAAATGGAAAATAATAACCGGGGTTGTGATAAGCAATGATGAGGTTATGAGGAAATGGAATAACGAAACAAAGAGAGGGGTCTGTTTATTCAGGAACGAGCACCCTTCGTTCCCTATGTTACACGTGATTATAGCTAAAAGGAGACAGCGACATTCTCATGGAACAACGATTCGCGGTTCAGAGACCTGGCCTGAGTATTCAGGAAGGAAGCCCTAGGACCCAACCCCCTCTATACACACAATACCGCCACTACACTAACATACAATATCACCATACAACACCACCACCACACATCACAACCACCCAAGAACACACACCACCTCATCAACAATACACACCACCTCACCACTCACACACAATATCACCCTCCCTGGTCTTCCACACATGACGTACTCCACGCCAAGTACGCCTCTGCGCCCCTCCCTTGGACTCACCCACTCAACAGTGGGTTCAAACCCCACTCTGACCAACAATTAATGGTCGGAAATCAAACGTAAGTAAGCGAGCACTTTGTTGTCGTCATCATTATTAAGGTGAGACGCTAAAGAACTGCGGGCTACCCCCTATGAGTTATTTATTTATCATGGACGACATTGCCTGCGTCATAACGGACACCTGGGACTTCAAACCAACGAGTGATGTTTCGTAAGAGCGCTGTCGGTTTTCAATAGCGGATATTCTCTCACTGAGCTCATCCAACGCTGCCAAAGTCGCTCGCATCATATCCCTTAGGCTGTCGGTGGAGTGAGGGGCTGGTTCATCATCCTGGGTAGGTGGGTCATAGATAACTACGACGCAACAATCGGATCCTTGAGAGGCAGGGGCATCATTGATCGGCCATGCATTGACAGGCTCCGTCTCGACGTCCTTGATATCGTGGAAAGGCTTGTGACTCGTCCGAACACTATTGCTGACCTCGACGACCTTCTCGCACACCTTTCGCCTTTTTGCAGCATGATCGGAAGAGCCTTTGACATGATTGAACAAGCTTTGTGTCGAATTTAGCTTGGAGTCGCAAAGGCACCTGTACTTCATGTCGCTCTTGGGATCGCGCCGGAACCGAAACAGAACGTCTTGATAAACGAGATCTGTGACCTCCAGAGAGTGGTAACTTGAACAGTGGCTTCGCTCTTTGGCAGACAGCTCCTTCTCGCTCTTTGCAAGATAGCCTTTTGAGCATATACAGAACGTACATGGACGGGACTTGCTGGACATGCTTTTGGAAGGAGTAAATGTAGAGGATAAAGATTACTAGAATGGTGGGCTTGCTTTGTATTAATATTGAGATCTGGTTAACCACAACAATAAGCGGTCACCAGGAGAAATTGGACGATGACATCTCTCAAAAAAAACTTAGAAGGACCCAGACTAACTGGATAAATATGGAAGGAAGGATGAAGAGATGATAAATGACAGAATAGTCTATATTTGACTAAAGGCCTAGACTAAACGACAGTATGGTCACCCAGACCAACCTTAATTGGACCAATTGTGCATAAACAGATGCGGGATAGTGGGATGATGGGATGATGGGATGATAGGATAGTCTCGACAGATGGGATGAAGGGATGGTCACCCAGACCATGCAATGATCAGACAGGACTCGGAAAAATGTGTACTGTTTTTGTTATATTTTATTATGAAGAAAAGGAAAGAGTAAGAAGAATAGTGTGCAGAAGAAAAGGCAGAGGACAGATGGAAGTGAGTTGTTGCAGACTGAAGAATAAGACAGGGGGAACAGAGGGTCTATTTATGCTAGGAACCGGTTAAACAGAAAGGGGTCAAGAGAAGGCCTAGAATGGAACCGGAATGGAAACAGGCAAATGACAAATGACAAAACGAATGACAAAGACAAATGGGCGATGAGGCAAAAAGGCGAAGATGGTTAATGGATTGGTTCTACACAAGTAGCTCTTCCAGGTACCGGCCTAGACCAAGGGACAGAAGAATATAGGCACAAGTAGAGAGACACCCCTAGGAACTCAATCCGGTGGCAAGAATCAAGTTGGTGGCGGAGGTCACGTGACGGATCGAAATGCAAGACGCGTTCAATGGAACAAGGAAAAAACCTAAACCTGGCAATCTGGGGCTAAACGTGGCAGACCAACCTTAACTGGAGGTCCAGACCAATTGTGCATAAACAGATGTGGGATGATGGGATGTGGGATGATGGGATGATGGGATGATAGGATAGTCTAGACAAGTGGGATGAAGGGATGGTCACCCAGACCAATCTTAACTGGAGGTCCAGACCAATTGTGCATAAACAGATGTGGGATGATGGGATGTGGGATGATGGGATGATGGGATGATAGGATAGTCTAGACAAGTGGGATGAAGGGATGGTCACCCAGACCAATCTTAACTGGAGGTCCAGACCAATTGTGCATAAACAGATGTGGGATGATGGGATGTGGGATGATGGGATGATGGGATGATAGGATAGTCTAGACAAGTGGGATGAAGGGATGGTCACCCAGACCAATCTTAACTGGAGGTCCAGACCAATTGTGCATAAACAGATGTGGGATGATGGGATGTGGGATGATGGGATGATGGGATGATAGGATAGTCTAGACAAGTGGGATGAAGGGATGGTCACCCAGACCAATCTTAACTGGAGGTCCAGACCAATTGTGCATAAACAGATGTGGGATGATGGGATGTGGGATGATGGGATAATGGGATGATAGGATAGTCTAAACAGTTGGGATGAAGGGATGGTCAGCCTTAACTGGAGTAAAATGTGGCCCAGACCAATTGTGCATGAATAGATGGTGGGATGAGGGATGATTGGATGTTTGAATGATGGGTTGGTCAACTGATGAATGCAAGAGCCAGTATTATGACTGCTGGGAAACGAATAAATGCCGCACGTCGTACCTGTCAAAAATATACATATATAAAAGCCATAGCTCCCAGATAGTAACCCTGAAAACCATCTAAACACTCTCCTTCCTTCTAACTCTCCCCAGCCCTCAGCCCTCTCCTTGTTTAGGAAAGGTCAAACGGCCTCACCCCACCTAGATCCTCGACAGTCCCTTACACTTTCAATCTCTCTGCAACATCTCCTTGATAATGTGCGACACAACAGCTAGTGAAGATGGAAAAAACGAGCTTGGTCGGAAGCAATGCGGTTCATCTGTGAGGTGCGCTGGATCGACTCATCAAAAGGATGCTGCATACCTTAGCCCGTATTGCATGAAAGGCGACATTGCAGACCAAGGCATCCCATCTACTACATGGGAAGAGTCGTGCACTTATGCGAATGCTATCACCACTGAGCTTCTCGAGGCACCAAAATCCATCTGTTGCTCTGCAGGGCCAACCAAGACGATGCTTTGCCGTGACAACGATGGGCCACAAGAGCTATGCGGCAAGATAGGGCAAAACAGGAAATCCTCACATGTTGATGTCGATAGCATGGTATGTTTTTAAAACTGTGCATGTTTTAATCGATTTAAAATCGTATATTTCGTATCTTTATTAACTCCATACACTTTTTTTTAAAAAAAAATATCACCTAGTCATGCACCGGATGCAAAATCAGCGCCGAGCCTTCTGAGGAACCGAAATCCACCTGTTGCTCTGCAAGACCAATCAAGAAAAAGGCGTGCCTTGAAAACGATAACCTACAGGACCAAGGCAAAATTCAAGTACTGATATGCGACGGGGACGTTCAAAACTGGAAATCCGCATGTTTTGTGGTCGATGGCATGGTATGTTTTAAAGCTGTGCATCTTTTAAACGTTTTAACTTTGTACATTTCGTATCTTTATTAACTTAAAACCTTTTTTTTAAAAAAAAAACAACATCTAGACATGCACTGGATGCGAAAACACTTTGAATGCAGCTTTAGAATCTCATCTATCCATCGCTAATGTCAAGTGCAACATGTTCCTCAACAAAGCCGAAGTCTGTTACGATCCAACAGCATTAACAACAGACGACATCATCGACATTATCAAAGCCGCTGGTTTCTCCGCACAGTTTCAGCACTCAGCATCTGGCAACCAGGCTTCTTTCATCATCACACGTCAAACCATCGACTTCAACCCAGAAAAGGATCGGAGCATTATCAACAGTACCCTCGATGCAAATGGTATTGTAACTGTCGACGCAGTTGCCAACTTCACCGGATTTTCTCTGGATGTGACATTCGATCCTGATGTCACTGGGACCCGTGATATCGCCCGCGCACTACGATCCCAAGGCTTCTCTGTCGAATTGGCCCAAAACGACAATGGTGAACGAGCCAGGAAGGGCAGATCCGAAATGATAAGAATGCGTCGGTTGCTTATTATTAGTATCATTTTCGTGATTCCCGTCGTATTTCTGGCTTTTGTCTTTCCGCACGCAGGGACTTCTGAAGTCGTTCCAGACCTGCCTATCCGCAACCTCGCGCTCTTCGTCCTTGCCACTCCGATTCAACTCTATGCTGGTGCACCCATTTACCGTGGCGCTTGGAAAGGCCTCGTTTTGTCTCGTGAGCTCAACATGGATTCTCTCGTCATACTCAGCACATCCTGTGCTTATTTTTATTCAACGATTGCGACTGTTGTGGCTATATCGTCGTCACGCTATCAGGCTCCCGAGATTTTTTTCGAGACCAGCGCGATTCTCATGACCCTCATCATTCTTGGCCGGTACTTGCAAGCGATGGCAAGAGGTCGAGCAGCCGATGCCCTCAACAAGCTCAAGAACCTTCAGTGTCCGACCGCCAATCTTGTCATTCTGGACAGCAACAGTGACCAAATCGTCGAGAAGATTGAGAGTGGCTACCTCCAGCGCCGGGACATTATCAAGATCCTACCCTCGGACAAGATCCCCGCTGATGGAGTGATAGTACATGGAGCTGCGGATGTGGATGAGTCCAACATGACGGGAGAATCGGTACCTGTAGGCAAAGGAGTGTCAGATGAAGTTATGGGCGGCAGCATCAACATCAACGGCACATTGGTGGTACGCGTCACTCGTGTGCAGAGCGAGGGCAAACTCAACGATATCACAAAGCTCGTGGAACAAGCCCAAGGATCCAAATCGCCCAGCCAAGCCTTTGCCGACAAGATCGCCACCTGGTTCACTCCGTCTGTGATCGTGCTTGGCATCATCACATATCTAGTATGGCTTACTCTTGGCCTTCTGGGTAAAGTGGACACCAGCGAGTATCCATCCGGAGTACTAGCGCTGACGTACTCTGTTGCTGTACTCGTCGTATCATGCCCATGTGCCATTGCCCTGGCTGTTCCTACGGTTATCGTCGTCGGCACCGGAGTAGGAGCAAGAAATGGCGTCCTTGTCAAAGACGGCGGTGTATTTGAGGAGGCAGCTGCAGTTACCCACGTTGTATTCGACAAGACAGGGACGCTGACTCAAGCCGTATTCCAAGTCGTTGACTGCCTCGAGTTACAAAACGGTCATCACCAGCATGCGTACGACTTTGCCGTCACTGCCGCGTCCAACAGCGAACATCCACTCTCCCTTGCCGTTGCAGATTATTGCCGGGGAAAAAGATCGCAGTCGCTTAGTCTTGAGGAATCAACTGCATACCCCGGCTTCGGCATATTGTGCAGGATTGGAGGCGTAGAGGTGCGTGTTGGTAAGGTGGCCTGGGTCTTGGACGAGAATATCGAGCTGCCAGCTGAAGCCAAGGGATTCCTGGCTCGGTCCCATCAACTTGGACGGTCAATCGTCGCTGTCTCCTCGGACCTGGCGCCTACGTTGCTTTTCGCGCTTGCGGACGGACCTCGGCCTGAAGCTGCTGCTGTAGTGAACCACATCAAGATGATGGGATTGCAGGTTCACATTATCTCAGGTGACCATCAAGCTGCTGTCGATCATATTGCGCGGCAGCTCGGTATCGAACCAGCCTATGCCTTCGGAGATTGCACACCTTCTGACAAGCTCGCACGACTTGTGCAATTGCAACGCGCCGGATATCGCGTGGCATTCTGTGGCGATGGTACCAATGACGCTCCTGTACTCGCGCAGGCTCAAGTTGGTGTAGCGATGGGAGCAGGGACCAGTAGCAATGTGGCTATTGCTACAGCAAACGTTGTACTTCTCACTAATGACCTCAAAGGAATGGTTACGACACTAGATCTAGCACGCCATGTGATGACTCGGATTCGGATCAATTTTGCGTGGGCTTTCTTCTACAATCTTTTGGTGATTCCCCTCGCAGCCGGATGCTTTGTACCTGTAATGGAAAATGCCCGCATACCACCTGCACTTGCAGGCTTGGGAGAGCTAGTCAGTGTCATGCCAGTACTAGTTTTTGCATTACTCTTGAAACGATATCGCTTTCCCAGTTCTCTTGTGACCCCACCTGTTCTTTTTGGTCGGCAAAATTAATAATAAATTACAGTTATTTGATTTCATTGAAGACTCGTAACTTTTGCCATTTTGTCAACTTTTCTTATTCTCCATCTCGACCCTCCATCCCAGACTGTTACAGGACCATAGTATGCACTAACATTGTACATACATGCCTCAGCCTTTTATTCCCTATTCCTTTGTAAAGCGCTTAGTAAAAGTGGTCGCATGTTTCGTACATTTCAACATGTATGCACCCTTCTCTACTCATTGCAAGCCCTTCACCTTTGCATTTCCATGGCATGCATTTCTGTGATTCAAGCATCGCTTGCCCCCATTGCTAGCTCATTCCGTGCACTTAGTGCCTCATTCACCTTAGGAGGCCATTCATATCCCGCTCCACCAACCATAGACTGCTGAATAATAATATCTGTCAACACCTTTTAAAACAGCGTGCTACGTGAGAGTACAACAAATATCTGCACCTTTTTCCTTCCACCAATCTCCATTTTCTACATCCACCACCACTACTTTGTAACATCATGTCCAAGGCTGTCTCAGCTAAAGTGGATGATGTTACAAAGTAGTGGTGGTGGATGTAGAAAATGGAGATTGGTGGAAGGAAAAAGGTGCAGATATTTGTTGTACTCTCACGTAGCACGCTGTTTTAAAAGGTGTTGACAGATATTATTATTCAGCAGTCTATGGTTGGTGGAGCGGGATATGAATGGCCTCCTGAGCAGAGAAGTGGTGGAACTGAGTAAAAAGGTGATGGAGCTGTCAAAAAAGTGATGAAGCTGAGCAGAAAGGTGATTGAACTGTCAAAAAAGCGATGGAACTGGTTAAAAAAAGTTATGGAACTGAGTAGAGAAGTGATGGAACTGAGTAGAGACGGGATGGAACTGAGCAGAGAAGTGATGGAACTGAGCAGAGAAGTTATGGAACTGAGCAGAGAAGTTATGGAACTGAGCAAAGGAGGCCTTTCAAGTCCAAATTGTAATATAGTATATGTTACATCTTTACAGACCTTGACAATATCTACAGCGACCATTAGAGGAGAGTGTATGTATAATATCCACCATGTAAAACAACCACTGTAACATCCCTTGCATAACTATCCTACTAAATACCAACCTATTCTCCAAACAACAAAGTCTTCTTATTTTTCGCACACCAATCTCTTGAATGTGTCCATCTACTATTAAACTGTAACCCTCACTGCAAGATTAAGGGTAGTACTTCTTGTATGTGATCATCTAAAGCACTTGTATCCTCAGCTGTATTTTTGTCGTGAAATACAGGGGAGAGATTACATTTTAAAAAAACATGTGCTATCTATTGCTATTTTATTTCATGTTCTATTGCCGACTTTAAAGAGATACATCAGCTATGGAAGCCAACACTGTATTCCTTGGGCTTTGGATATTTTGTATATGCCTTGTTATCTCCTTTGCACATGGAGAGGGCCGCATAACCCATATCTGGCTGCAAAGTACGGCGCTCATATCAACGTCGAAAGCTGCACCTCTTCCACTGCCGTCAAGTATCTGTACAAGTACGTCTACAAGGGCCATGATCGAGCCACTGTTGTAATTCAACAGCCGGCACAAGATGGAGCTCAGGCCGCCGGTGATCTGCCTGTGCCAGAAGTTAATGAGATCCTTGATTTCATCGACGGTCGCTATATATCTGCCTCCGAGTCTGCTTGGCGTATATTCGGATTTCGCTTGCACAGTGCCTATCCATCTGTCACCAGGCTGCATTTGCATCTTCCCGGTCAGTTAATTCACGCCTTCCGCTCGGACGAACCCACCGCCGATGTCCTAGAAAGAGCCGCACTGGAGCGCAGTACGCTGACTGCATTCTTTGACTACAACAGCCAACATCCTGATAAGCCGCCATCAATGTACCATAGCTTTCCTCAAACCCACGTTTATGTCAAGAAGGAAAAGCGATGGAAACTCAGGCAGAGAGGGTATACGGTCGGCCGACTGTTTTTTGTGCATGATACCGCAGGAGATCTGTTTTATTTACGGTTGCTGGTGCTTTCGGTACCAAGTCCTAAATCGTTTGAAGACCTGAGAACAGTCGAAAACGTGGTCCATCCCACGTTCAAGGCCGCCTGCATCGCCCTTGGCATGCTTCAAGACGATCGCGAGTGGGAGAACTGTCTTCGGGATGCCGCTGTCAGTTAAACGGGATACCAACTCCGCTCCCTTTTTGCAAAGATCCTTGCCTTTTGCAACCCAAGAGATCCTGCTCAGCTTTGGACCACCTTTCGCAATGAACTGTCTGATGATCTCCATCCAAGGGAACGTGACGTTACCAGTCTGGAGCAGCGGACATCCTTTGCAAACCAGCGTGCAAATGCTGCCTTGGTTCACTTACAAGTTCTTCTGAGAAATCTCGGCAAAGACTCTCGACGACTATGAAGGCATGCCAGAGCCCATCATACTGGAACAGCACGATCTCAATACGAATCCACTTATTGAAGACGAGTTGAATCATCCTTTGTCAAGCGCGGAGGAGTTGGTCGTGATGGAACAGTCGCTCAACGCGGATCAAAGGGAAACCTACAACCAAATCAAGCACTCCTATGAGATGAACACTCCCGATGCATACTTCGTCAATGGTCCCGCAGGCACAGGGAAGACCTTCCTTTACTCCCTTATCCTATTTATGGTCCGGTCAAATCACGATATCGCTCTTGCCGTCGCTGGATCTGGAATCGCCGCAATACTCCTACAAGGCGGAAGAACCGCTCACTTGCGCTTCAAGATTCCCATCCCTACCCACGAGGATAGTGTTTGTTCAGTCAGCCACGGGTCAGAAATTGCCGATCTTCTCATCCAGGCCAAGATCGTTGTTTGGGACGAAGCCTCTATGACGCATCGGCATATCTTTGAGGCCGTAGACCGCACTCTCAAGGACCTGATGATGACTGTGGACCCTGAGAACGAATATCGTCCCTTTGGAGGGAAGCTCATGGACTTTGGCGGCGACTTTAGACAAATTCATCCAGTCATCAAGCAAGGTCGTAGAGAGGAAACCATTGGAACCTGCCTTAAACGATCTCCACTCTGGCGGCACATCCAACACCTTCATCTTTCCGTCAACATGCGCCTCCTCAGAAATGCCGACGCTCCCGACATTGAGGGACAGAGCGAGTTTGCAACCTGGCTTCTCCAAGTCGGAGAAGGAGCTGTTCCTGGCCCGTCTCCAGACAATGGAATTCCAGATGGTGATGCCAGCCAATGCCAACATTGATGATCTCATTGCCAAGGTCTATCCTGATCTCCAGCACAATATTGGCAATACTCGGTATCTCAATCAGCGCGTACTTCTCTGTCCGACAAACGACAATGTCGATGAAATCAACAACCACATCATGTCAACAATAGAAGGGGAATCAAGGGAGTTTCTTTCGGAGGACCGCATCATCGATAATGAGGACGATAGAGTGGACGCTCTGTTTCCTGTCGAGTTTCTGAACGGCCTCAAGTCGTCTTCACTCCCTCCTCACCGCCTGAGATTGACCGTGGGTTGCCCTGTCATATTCCTTCGAAACCTCATGCACCAGGAAGGACTTTGTAATGGTACGCAACTGATATGTACGTCTCTCCCCCGGTACGTCTTAGGAGCCACTATCATTACAGGGGCACATGCCGGCGACCATGTATTCCTTCCACGCATCAAGGTTCGTCCTTCTGACATCGATATGCCGTTCAAGTTCCAGTGGCTCCAGTTCCCTATCCGGCCTGCCTTTGCAATGACTATCAACAAGTCCCAAGGCCAGACTTTGGACACTGTTGGTATCTATCTCAGGAACCCGATATTTGCCCATGGTCAACTGTACGTTGCCCTATCTCGAGTGACGAACAAGAGCAATGTGCATGTGTTGATTGAGAGGGGGGATGCCAATACACCATATGGCTGTACACCAAATGTTGTTTACCCAGAGATTCTTGCCCTGAGTGACTGAAAGCAACAAAAAACAAAAACCCAAAAAAAGAGACTGGACAAAGGGAGGGAGAAAAGGAAAGTGACAACAGAAATAAATATTACAACACAAAACCACACCCATATCATTTTTTTTCCACCCAACACATTCTCCACACCCTCCGCGAGCGAAGCCGCGGGTACTATTCTAGTGCATGTAAAAAAAAGGGGCAGGTCGCGCTCTCTCTAAGCATTGGTGAATATTTCGCATGGGGAAATTAGGAAAATGTGAATGATGTGAATGATGAGAATGATGAGAATGATAAGGCAGAAAGTGAATGGCGAAGTGAAATGAGCATACAAGGCGGTGTAGAATGAGGCTGGCAATTATCAATGTCTTAATCAGCGTTCCGAGTCTTGAACTTTGATGCTCACCCAGAAGATCACGGCAGCTTCAAGGTTGCAACAGACTAAGGTTACTGTCAGTCATAGTTAAAACAGTGAAGGAGGTCAGGCGGGAGATTTACTCATTGATGACGTAATTATCGTGCCCATTGCTCATACCTCAGGGCTCAGTAAAGTCCCAGGGTTTCTTTCTCACCATTTTCCTCTCCACAGCACACTCCTCTTCCTCTCTCCAGCGCACAGGATCGCATGCAACCGATCGCTGTGTTGTAGCAAAGGGGAGTTATGATAATAAAGTAGTGAGGGAAAGGTGTAGAAAAGGATGTGTCAAGGAGGCGAGCGGGACAGAAACATATCCTCTTTATTTTGGAATCTGTCTATCTTAAATAACCCTCTTAGCACGTGAGTAAACATGCACCTACGCCACTAGCAGATGCTAAACATCTC